CTTCTTTTGCGAGACCCATGCCTTTGTCCAATGTGGGAGAGCAAAAGCTGGGCAAGCTGGGGTGAGGACCATTTTTATTTTTGTTAACTACGTGGCCCCTGTAAGGATTTGAATTTGTGGGCCCCCCACCCCCCACATGCTCACATGACAGCCAGAGCACCCATTCTCTGGCTTAGGTAGACCAGGGGTCGCAAACAATGGCCTATGGGCCAGATGTAGCCTGTCGTTTGAATTTAATTAAAATTAAAAAAAATTATTTTTTAATTACAGTTTATATGCACTATTTTTCTTTTGATCTTAGTTTCAGGTATACAGCATAGTGGTTGGATAACCGTATACTTTACAAAGTTACCGCCTCATCCCAATATTTCCAGTTACCCAGCTGGTACCATATATAGTTATTACATTTTTCGGTGCCTGTTTCTGTAAATAAAGTTTTATTGGCCCACAGCCACATTCATTCCTTCGCGTATTGTCTTTGTCGCTTTGTGCTGTGGTGGCTGAGCTGAGTAGTTGTGACTGAGACCTGGTGACCTGCAACTATTTACTGTTTTTCTAGGGCCCTTTAAAGGAAAAGTTTGCCGGCTTCTGGTGCAGACTAAGCTATTCCAGAAGTGAGCGAACAAGTCTTGTCTGTTTTCTTGCTAAGCCAGCCTGTGGGAGAAGCAGGGATATCAGAACGTTTGTTCACAGAGCCTGCAATTATCCTGGAATAACACAGGTTGCAACCTGTTTGCTTTACCAGCAGGCCGGTAACGCACCTTGTACTTCTGGGGGAGAAAAGTCATAACTCATTTTACCTGAAACGATTTGCTTTTCCTGTTTTAAATGTTCCATATTGGTTATCAGATTGTTTTGATGGAGCAGGAAACATTTACAAGCAGCAGATAAGGCTGGTATCTGATTGACGAGGAGATATCGGGGAGCTAGGTCTCAGCCACAACTTCCCCACTTCGGGAAAGGACAGAATCTCCTGAGAAGAGATTGGATTAGCCTGGCACTCAGCTCCTCTGGATCCTCCCAGGAGCACCCATCCCCAGCCAGGTGTGGGGCCTGGGCAAGGGCACGAGGGAGACTTCACTTTGGAAGGGGCAGTGCCCGGGCTTCTGTGGGATAGGAACAACTTCGGTTGCCGGTCAGGGATGTTAACTGTCCTATTTGAATTTTCCAGCGAGGTTTAGATCGTAGCTTAATGAAGGGAAGTTGGGCACTGGCAGAGGGCTTACTGCTGTCTTGCAAAAAGCCGTGAAGGCACCCAAGAAGACCCTGCTCAGGTTAGAGATAGTTCTGCTTGCTTGATACAGGTACAGTTTATCTTTCAATAGGAGTTTCCTCTCCTCTTCGAAATGCACCGCAAGAAACTCACACCACCATCTTCCTAGTCAGGTAGCAGGCCGCTACATTAGTAGCTCTCAATTGAGGGCAGTTTTGCCCCCCAAGAGCCATTTTGCAATGTCTGTAGACAAAATTTGTAGACAAATTTTGGGCTGTCACAGTTTCGTGCACAGGGGGCTGCTCTGCGTCCTACCTACAGGGCACAGGACTGTCCGCCCCCCTCCGCCCACCGTCCCCAAGAACTTTCTGGCCTCCGTGTCAACGTCAGTGCTGATGTTGAAAACAGTCGCTGTAGACGCTGTGTGCCTTTCCTTTCCCCATCTATTCTATTTCTAGTGTCTTCCTAATTTTCAGATTTTTTTTCCCCACCAGTTTTTTTTTGTTTGTTTGTTTGCATTACAGTAGAAATTATTTTTGAACTACAGAGATTGTTCTCTGAGGGGATCATTCATTACCAACATCTCTTCTGCATCCCGCGTCCTCTTATATGGGGAAGAGGGGTCAGGGAAAGTTCTGTGTTAGCTGGGTTTGAGGCCTTGCTCTGGGTTTGGGGGTCAGATAAGGGTTTTTGTTTTTTTCATTTTATTTTTCAATTACAGTTTATATATTTTGTATGAGTTTCAGGTGTACAGTGTAGTGGTTAGACAATCATATACTTTACCAAGAGATCCCCCTGATACTTCAAGAACCCACCGGGTACGATACATGGTTATTACAGTATTATTGATTGTATCCCCTGTGCTGAACTTTTTGCATCCCCAGGACCATTTTGTAACTACCAACCTGTGCTTTTTAATCCCTTCACCTTTTCCACCGCGTTTCCCCCCACATAAGCCTTTTTGACCTGGTTTTCTCATCGGTCAAGAAAGTCTAGGAGCATGTACCCGCCTGTGTGGTTGTGAGGATGAAAGGAGGGTGGCAGGTGTGACAGCGTGTTGAAAAACGTGCCAAGAGAAGAATGTCGCAGCAATGACGTTATTCTCTGGGACCCAAGTAAATGCTCCGTCTTAGCCGCTGAAGTGAAGCAGGGAGCTCCCGGGGCTCAAAAATTACATAATCCCGGAGCCAGGCTGTAGAGTGCTAGCTTCTCTGTGTCCCTGGGCTTGGTGCCATTTTCTGAAACTAATAAATCTCTACTTTCTTCGCTGCAAACTCCTGTTTGTGTTTTATTGGGCCTTGATGCAGGCAGGGAAAGGGACCCCTTTCGCCTGTTTACAATTTTGGCCCCTAACCTTGGGCTTTTTTTGCCTGGGGATCTGCTGTGGCCCCCACCCCGGCTCGGGGCTCGCCACCAGGCCCCCGAGCCTGGCAGCCACCCGGGCCTGTTGTGGCTTGGAGCTGGAGGCTCGATGGCAGTTTGTGACCCGGTGGCCCCAGCGTATGGTGCTTTTGTTTGCAACATAGGGAATGAGGAATTGAAAAGGCCTAGATTTGGAATGTGCCCTGGTTTTGGAAATTAAAGACGTTTTATGCCCCAGGCTCATGAAAGTGGATCAGCCCTACCTACCACACCATCATGAAAGTAGACAGGATGACGCCGTGGTTGACCTCAGGTCCCGTTACAGTGACCACATGCTCCCTCCCCTGGTCCCACCCAGTCAGTAGAGCCCAGGACCTGAGCTCCCTTCGTCACCAGCATTTTTATTTTCTGGTTGATGGATTTTTTTATTATTTTATTTATATTTATTTTGTTTTTAGGGAACAGTAGCCATGTAAGGTTTATTAAATCAGTAATGAAAACATGTTACTGCTTTGTGAATGGACAAACAGACACAAAAAAAAGCTTAGACACTGACTCAATACATATGGGAATTTAATAAGCCAGTTTCTTCAGAGCAGTTCAAGGTGGACTATTCTACCTTGTTGGACCTTTTCTCATTTCTCTAAATCTTTGATTCTTCTTTTTTTAAATTAGTCACCACGATGCATAATAATTTTTCCATAACATTTTGATCCCATGTGGGCCATGGGGCAGGTTCTAGAGCACTAGCTTACCTGTCTCCAGACTTGGTGCCATTTCCTTAAACTAATAAGCCTCTACTTTCCTTGTGGCAAAATATGTAAATAAAGAAATAAAATAAAATTATGTAATCACTGTTGAAGTCTTTTTCTAAGTAGAAATGAGAGTAGGAGCCTTAGAAGTTTGGTTAACAAGGATGTGCTAGGCATCTGCGAGGCCCTGTATTAAGGAGTAGAAAGAGCCGGCCTTTTGAGAACACTAAAACCTTATAATAAAAACCAGGAACAAGACTGAGGTACCTGCGGTCTTGGCCATTTTCCCCACCTGGGGTTCTTACCATTAAAATAAGGGGAAAGATAAGTAATGTAAATGCATTAGACACGAACAGACAAAACTGATGTTACTTAGAGATATGATTTTTAGTCAATAAACTGTTAGAACTGTTCACACATGAGGACGATATTAAAAATCTAACAGCATTTCTATGTACCCACAATAACTATTTGGAAAATAGAATAGAAAAAAATGCCATTCACAGTATCAACAAAAATTACGCAGTCTCTAACCAGTATATGAGATCTTTATGGAGGAAACTAATGTTTTACTTAAGGAGAGAAAGAAATGTTATACAAAGAGACATATTCAAAGGTAGATACTGTGGTTGTGGCTGAGCTCTTACCCAAGGAATCGAGGCTCAAAGTGGGTCGAGCAGCGTTCTTAAGGTCACACAGCCAGTTACAGCAGGTCATTTTGATGTGGACCCCCAGACTTTCTCATACTCCCTACACAGGATTTCTGGCCGGTTTCTGATTGACATTTTTCCTAATCAGTTTCTTCTGAGTGATTTTACGTGTTTGGAGTGTGGCTTTGCTGGATTCTATAATATGTCAATAGGGAAGTATTTCTCTTGATATTTTGGGATAGAAAGAGGTCTGGCTCCCATGAATTGGCCACCCCTCTCATCTTTCTGCCACTGTTGGGTCTGTGCAGGTGAGGTAGCTCTGGGTAGAAAGGGACGACCTACTGTTTCTTAGAATTATGGCTTTAGGTAGTCTCATGTTGGCTTATAGTACTTGATGCATTCAGTGTAGAGTTAAAAAATGGGTGATCATTTTTTAAGTCCATTTGATCTGTTGTCCAAAAGGCTTCTGTTGAAAGAATCCCAGGATAAGCTGATACTATCTTGTTGGCTTTGTACATTTAGACTTAACCATATTTTGGGCTCTTACATTATATCAGCAATATCAGTATTCGTGACCCTGTGTTAAATGTGTACATTGTATCATCCCATTTAATCCCAACCATAATACCAGGAAGTTAAATATTATCATGCCCATTTTACAGATGAGAAAATTGAAGCTGAGAGGTTAAGAGATTTATTTGCCCAGCATCATGTAGCTAAAATGTAGCTGGTAGAACTAAAATTTGCCTTGGTTGTAGCCATTCTGCTATCCTGCTATAGGCCTGCTCATTAACTCTTAGACTCCAGCTTTTCAATTTGTGTCCTATTAAAATAGAAGAAAAAAAATCTTAATGTGTAATGATCTGTAAACCCTGTATTTAGTAGAGTAACCCAAGATGACTTTTTAATGAATGTATGAAATGCTGTGATTTCTTTTGTTGTTATTGATGTATTTGTTCAAATTCCTTTTGAGAATGCACATTTGTTTTGAAACCAAACCTGTCTTTCTTGCCTACATTTCAGTCAGAACTAAGACATGGTCCGTTTTACTATATGAAGCAGCCACTCACCACAGACCCTGTTGATGTTGTACCGCAGGATGGACGGAATGATTTCTACTGCTGGGTTTGTCACCGGGAAGGCCAAGTCCTTTGCTGTGAGCTCTGTCCCCGGGTTTATCACGCTAAGTGTCTGAGACTGACATCGGAACCAGAGGGGGACTGGTTTTGTCCTGAATGTGAGGTTAGTTCCTGATGAGTGAATGCATTATCCGCCTCGCGTCTTCTCCTTTCTCTTCCTCCCTTTTATTTTTAACTCTTCACATCATCCAGATACAGGGAAAAGAGAAATTCCTTGCCTCCCACCTGCTCTGTCCTGGTCATTCCCTTTCTGGACCAAGGTTGGCAGTGTGGCTTCTTGGAAAGACAGTTGCTCTATTATTTTTGATTCTTCATGGGTCTTTGGATCGCTTCGAGGTCTGCAGCCTTCGCTGATTCTTTTGTAATGAACACTTTTGAAGCTAACTTACAAGTCTTTACATATTTTGGAAGGATCTCATGCTCTTTTCCCCCTTCTTGGACGTCTTCTGCTGCATCATTGACTCATCGGCAGTAGCCAAGCTAGGAAGACCAATTTTGGTTGCTTGTTCCAAGTGTTCGCTATCTGATGCTTTCATGCAGGCAACAGCAATTTCTTGTGAGTTTTTTAGGTACTAGAGTATCAGCAGTCAACAAAAAGAGGCATGACTCATACTTTTTTCAGGGGAAAAGGACAAAAACCAGAATAAATTTAGTCATATACAGTGTGCTAGGAGAAGAGTGTTCTGGAGAGAATGAGTCAAAGGTGAGGATTAGGAAGTGAGGAGGGTGCAGGCTGTTTCCATTTCAAATGATGAGATCCAGGAAGCCTTACTAAGATTTGAGAGCGACTTGAGGAGGAAGAGGTAAGAGGAGGAGGAGGAGGTGGAGGAGGAGGAGGAATGAGCCTGCAGTCATGCGGGGGATGGGGGAAGACCTCCGAGGCAGAGGTGCCGCAAGTTCAGGCACACTGGCACAGCGAAGGGAAAATTGTATTTCATTTGTAGCAGAGAGTAACATGCATTAAAACAGTCAGTACGGTTTCCACTAGTCTCAGGTGTCTTCCGTTCTTGATGACATCCAGTATGATGCTTTTTCAAAATGCTGAAAATAAGAATGTCATCCACAAAATTACTTAATACGGAATGTCACTTGGATTGAAAGGTATCCTGGAATTAGATCTTGAACGAGGGAAGCAGTTTAGGTGTGACATGGAAAGCTCTCCCAGATGTCATTAGTGGGGAGAAAAGCCAGCCAGAGGAGTGTCTGGGGTGCCGCTTTCGTGTAGGAAAAGGAGAAAAATCAACACAAGGAAAGAAGTTAGACATTTGCCGGGAGGGTGGTGGCCCATCAGCGGTGTTCGGCCTCTGGTGCTCTGGGCTGCTGCTCGAGACGGAGGGGTGTCGAGGATGTGTGTTGTTCAGCTGCTCCCTCTTGTTCAGAGCCTGCCCTCACTCTTCCGCATCTGCCTTGGAGCTTTCATCTATTTCTTTGTCTTGACCACCAACCCTTCCCTTCCTTAAAATTACTATTTAATAACTTTGCAAAAAAGATAGTGGCTCAGAGAGGATGCTTTTGCTGCAAATCAAAGAACTCGATGAAAGGGTGCTGAAACCGTCGAGGTTCGTTGCCATGTGCAGAAAAAGCCCAGAGGCAGAGCCAGGCCAGAGTCTGTTCAGAGCCAGAGTCAGGCTCAGGCTCTTCCCATTCCATCGTTGAGGCCATGTCCCCGCGTGGCCCTAGGATGGCTGCTGGGGATTTTATCACATGTGGCCAGACAGAAATCCCCTAATAGGAGTGTCTCTCTCCACATCCCTTTTTATCCAGCATAAGGACCTTGCTCAACTTCAGCGTCCAGCTGACTTGCCCTTGGCTTCATCGGCCAGGATTGGATCACCAGTCCTTATGCCAAAAAAGGCTTGAAAAATGCGTGTCTGGCACTTTTAGTCAGCATTGTGGGAACCAGGCACGGCCAGGGGAGAAGGGGTTGGGGGCGTGGGGCGCAGGAGGCGAACGACAGTTGAGCACGCCGACCGAGTGTGTGCCAGGGGTACGTTACCTGGAAACAGCCAGGAATTCAAACAGACAGGCGTGCCCATGTCTAAGGTTTCAAGCCCTGGTTCTCTTCTGGGTGAGCTGGTAGGGCAGTCGGCTGGGAAGACCAGCCCATTCAGGCTCTGATAGCCAAGCAATTAGACACTTGAGTCATTTACTGTTTTCAGCTTCTGAGCGACTCTTGCGTTGCCCTTTTCCTCGAAAGTTCCTTTTGGAGGATCCAGAGATAGGAAGAATGGAAGTGAAATCCAAATTAATTGGAGGAAACTTTTCTCAGCTCTCTCGACACAGATGGTTCAAGTGTTTCCTGATAGCATCAGACTTTGCTATTTTTGTTGTTGCCGCTACTTAAGGATTCTGAAGCTCAGAGATGCAGCACCAGAATTACATAGCAGAATCCAGTCTCAGACATTTCTCTGGGTCTCTTCTTTGATGGGAATTTCCCTTACAAAACGACACGTATCGCCCGTGCAGATAGACAGCTAGGCTATGCTTCTCTCATGCACTTTGGCGGAGTGTCCTCAGCGGGTTCACATCAGTGGTGACAGAGAATTAAGTCATGTTTATTTTTATTTCACCACCTTCCCTTGGGTCCTTCCTACTGTGAAGACTGTCCCTTTCCGCCAGCGATGTCATTGAGTTAGTGCTGATTCATCATGTGTAGAGATCACCCTGAAACCATCCGTGGCCTTTCTTCTCATCCCGTTCTTGAAACCCAAGGTTGTCATAATGATGATTTTCAGGTCCCTTGCTCGCTGCATCTTTCTCAGATTCTGTCGTCTTCATGAGTGCAGGATCCCTTCGGACAAGGGGATCGGTAGATTGCTGTGCTCCTTACTTCCGTCCACGGACCCATCCGTTCTACCCTCAGGTAGATTGGAGGCCTTGTCTAGCGAAACAGCTAGTCTCATTTGGAAATTATTTTTTTATGTGTGAGCTTACTGGAAAATTAGGAGGAAAGGGAAATCAATTGCGCATAGTCCCTTTTCTCCTAACTGGACGTTTGTGTGGTTTTTGGCTTGTAGAAGATCACCGTGGCAGAGTGCATCGAGACCCAGAGTAAAGCCATGACGATGCTCACCATCGAGCAGTTGTCCTACCTGCTCAAGTTCGCCATTCAGAAAATGAAACAGCCAGGGGTAAGAAGAAAGTTCCTCTTGGTATAAGTGTAAATGGAAGCAGTGACTTTTGTCCTGGTAACATCTTATTCCATGTAGCTTTAACTTTTCAGATGCCTGTGCATACTCTGTAGGCCTTCTTACGTGCCCGAATTCAAATATCTGTAAATGAAATGTAAGGCATGACGGCCTGCAGCTCTCTGGCATGAGCAGCTCTCTGTCATGAGCACTCTGTGTCCTCGGGGACTTTAATTGGGAAATGACAGAGAGTAGAAAGTTGATGGAGATTTAAAATTCTGATTGGTTATGTATGAAACCTTACACCTCATTGGGTAAGTGGAAGTTTATGCCTTCCCACAGGAGTTGTAAAATTCCATTGCAATCAGAAAGCTATGTACAACCCCGTTTATTTATAATCAAGGTCTGATGATCGAACCTTCAAGTAAAACAGAACCAGTGAGATTTCCCATAAAGGGTGAGAATTTGGTTAGTTCCTTCAGTGTGGCAATGAGATTTGATATACCGGCAAGGCAGGGCTGCCACGTTGAGCTGGAAGGTTCTGTCTTTGACGTGGTTTCCTTCCTGAGGACCGGTCTGTCGGAGCCACGGTGTTTTTAGTTTTTTTTGTGACAGTTTTCAGGAAGATGGCTGTAAAATACCTTTCTTCTAAAAATAATCAGTCTGTGATGCCAATATAATTAATATATTATGACATTTTTCCTACGGAAACTTGACAGTGGAGTTCTCTTTCTCTGATTGGCACAAATGCACCATACGGACCAGTAGTGACCCTTTGTGAACTTGTGAGAGTTTGCTTTCTGAGTCAAATGAATACATAGAAATGTAGAATCTCAGGGTATTTAGTGGAGCCACTGTGGTTTAATTTCTTTAAAAAAGTAAGCTTTAGTTTTGAGATTGTATAGTGAAATTTGATACTGTGATGAAAAAAATTCAGAGCATGCCATTTGGGTATTGCTAAATGGGGAACCTATTTGTCTTTTTAATAAAATGCCTGTCCGTGGAAGCAAGAGTGTATAGCCTCAGTTTGATTAAAAAGACAAGCTTTTTTAAACCTATGGAGTTTCATATGTTGAGTGACAAGGAATTACTTTCTGCTTTTCATAGGCAGAATTTCACGTGCTGGGGACTGGTTACAAAAAGAATAGAGTCATGCAGATTTGTCAGCACTGTAGAACTAGAAACCAAAAAGAGAAATTGGAGAGGTTGTTAATTTCTCACATACATTGTTTGATATAAAATCAGTCTGGGCAGAAAGGTGCTGCTTTTGTGGTAGCATCTTTTAAACTTACAATTGGCTACACTCATTTGGGATAAAAGGGCTCAGATGACCGCAAATGGTAACCCAGTCAGAGTATATTTTGGTGTTTAATTAAATCTCTCATATTTTTTTATTCATAAGTAAACACCATCCATACACAAACCAGCCTTACATTTTCAGCTGATTCAAGTAGGGCTTAAGAAAATGGATCAAGATGAAAAACTTTTACACAGTTCCTGTGTTGAAGGTAATTTGGCTTCTCAAAGGAGGAGCAAAATCTCACTGTTTAAATTTCTCCCCCATGTGTAAAATATCTGTTGATACTTAGGGGAACTTTACTTGGTGTATCATCTCTAGGTGTAGCCAAATTTTGCCCTCGTTCAGTTTTGAATATGGGTATTCGCAGCTTATAGATAAGCTTCATCCAGAGTTCATCGAGTTGTTTTTGTCAGTCCTCGTACAGAGTGGGGCAAAAGGAGGTTTACAGTTGTGAATACATGAAGTACAGAGTTTATTCTTGAATTATTATTTGTTGTATTATTTTCCATTTGAACACCAGCAAACCTGCTTTTGCCTCCACCCTGTATCAGAGGACAGGACCTGTTATCTGCATGTGTCTTGAAAGGAAAACAAATGAAACCAGACCACAACGGGACCCATGATTATTGATAAGCAGAATTAGAAGGGGAACTGATTTGGAAGCTCCTCGAGACCATTCTTTTTGAAAACTGTTAGAACCATGTTGTCTGAAAATTTGTCTCCATTTTTAAAGGGCTTTGTTGGCGTGAGTGCTTGGTGTTCCACCGCAGTGATGGGTTGCATCTGTGTATCCATCTTTTCTTTTATAGACAGACGCATTCCAGAAACCTGTTCCTTTGGAACAGCATCCTGACTACGCAGAATACATCTTCCACCCCATGGACCTTTGTACATTGGAAAAGGTTGGCCTCCATCAAAGAGCCTCATCTTGTAGCCCCCAGTTGTCGAGATGACTAAGGACTCTCCCTCCCTTTTCGTGCCCCATCTCAAGTTAGATGATTTCTCTCTATTTCCCCTGCCCCATTTTACTGGGATGGAAGAAATTGTATCCCCTGAGTTGTTCTGTGACATTCTTTCAGGGGTTGCAATGGAGTGTTGAAGTCCACTGATTAACTCCAAATACTACTTCTGCTAGTGGTTCTAGTTCTTTACCTGAAAAAGTCATAGCTTCTAAGAATCAGTGAGTGGGTGGGTCTGAGTCTTGTCTCCTCTCCCTTTCGGAGGTGCTAATGAGAGCAGCAGGAGGGAAGAAGAGAAAATTAAGTGCCTGGGAAACCTTCACATTAACAATACGTTTATGGCTTCACAGAACTTGATTAATTCTACTGACAAGGGTATTTCTTTAATGTCCGAAGGTGTTTTAAGAGTTCATGCTAAGTTTTCATGCTGAAAGTTATACTCGTAACCCTTTAGATTGTAAGTAACATCCTGTGGCTGGTTTTCAAATTGTTGGCACCAAAATCTGGGTCAAGAAAGCATGGATGAGGACGGATGACCCCCAAACAATAAATCCAACCCTTTTTTGGAAAATTGCACATACCCCCATGGTATTCCAGAAAAAAGACATGGAAGAAAGACAGCGTTGGAATTCATAAATTAATCGCTTTGGAACTCTGGATACTTTCCTTAACATTCCAGTATCTTGGTCTCCCTGTCTATAAAAATGGGAATTCTAATAACGTCTTCATTGAGTTCTCAATTATGAGGCTACGGGAGGCTATTACAAATAACAATAAATTCATAAACATATATACATATATATATATATAAATACTGTGCTGGCTGATTCGAATAAGCTGCTTGATAAAAGACAGCTGCCGTAAAATGAGAAAATTCAAGTTAGCATGAGAAATTCAATGAGTGCATTTTTATAGAGTTATAGATCTCCACTATGATCGCATCTTGGGAAATGAATAAAAGCATTAATTAATTTGGCAAATGACTGCTAAGAAGATTATGTGGGGAAAGCAGGTGTTATCGGCTGTGGCTTGTGGAGACTCACTGGTGACTATGCTCTGGCTCCCCTCCGCAGAACGCTAAGAAGAAAATGTACGGCTGCACGGAGGCCTTCCTGGCCGACGCCAAGTGGATTCTGCACAACTGCATCATTTACAACGGGGGTGAGTGGCGCAGACGACACCTACAAGAAAGAGTGCGCTGTGTGCGCTGCCCATTCTTGCACTCTCCAAAAAAAGTCAGGCTCTTTGTTCATGCATCAAGGCCAATATCAGAATACTTGAGTATAGGTCGCTAATATTTGGGAATAGGGGCCAGTAACTACGTGTATTTTAAGTATGAGCTGACATCCAGGCTGGCTTGTGGCTGCATGATGTTGCTACCTGTCCTTTTTAAAAAGCTTTATTGTAATGGACGAGTAATTACATGCAATAAAATGCACAGCTCTTTGTGTATATTCTATGTATTTGACATGTGTAACCACAACCCCCCAAGTAAGATCTAGAACATTTTCATGGTCCTATTGTGCTCCCACGTCCTCCTTCCCGGTGAATCTGTCCTATTATTTTTTCTCTGTCACTGTAGATTAGTTTTGCATATTCTAGAATTTTATTTAAATGGCGTCATAGAGATTGTACTGCACTCTTTTGTGTCTGGTTGCTCTAATGCAGCATAATTTTTTTTTTTGGATTTATCCATGTTACGTGCATCATTTCTTTTTATTGCTGAGTGTTTTTTTTTGGTTTATTGTAGCAACATACAGTTTATCAATTCACCTTATTGCTGATGGGCACATGTGTTTGTTTTCACCTCTTGGCTGTTACGAACTAAACTGCTGTGAACATTCTTGTATAAGTCTTCATGTGGACACATGTTTTCATTTTTCTTGGGTAAATACCTAAGAGTGTTATTGCTAGATCACTGAATAGGTTTGTATTTGATGTTATGAGAATTTTTGCCAAACTGGTTTTGCAAAGTGGTTGTATCATTGTGCACTCCTTATAGAAGTCTGTGTGAGTCTTAGTTGCTTCACATTCTTGTCAGCACTTAGGATTGTCTGTCTTTTCAATTTTAGCCATTCTTGAAGGTATGAAATATTATATTACAGTGGTTTTAATTTGTCTTTCTCTAGTGAATAATGGTATTGAGTATCTTTTCATGTACTTATTAGTCATTTGTATACCTTTTAATAAAATACCTTTTAAAATCTTTTGACCCTTAAAAAATTTGGGTTTTTATGGTTTAGTATTGTTGAAGGAGAGCTTAATATTCTGGGTAAAGTTTTGTGAGTTGTGTTTGTGGATTTAGAACATTGAGCTTCTGGACAGAAAAATCTCCCCACGGCACCTTTACCATTGCCCCAACTTCTCTCCCACAGTCCTCTCTGTTTACCTTCTGGGTGATAGATCTCTCATTAGACCTGCCAGATCCTGTTCCTCTTGTCCCCAGGTCTTCTTGTCTCCTGCTGGAACAGCCTTTACCTCTTCACCTTGCTAGCTTTTTCTTAGTCTTCAGTCTCAGCTTCTCAGTCCTCGTGACCTAGACCGTATTGTCAGCTATTGTGAGGGGCTGTCACAGTACCTGTGCTTCCCTGCGGTGGCATTTATGACACTTTCTGGATGGTACTGTTTGTATTAGTGTGCCTTCCTCACCAGGATGTAAGCTTTTTAAGGGCAGACACCGTGTTTTGTTCCCTACATACCCTTGGATCTAGCGTAGACTTTTAGGTAATGTTTAATTAAGAAAAGCTGTACGAATAGGTAGATGTTTGCTTAAAGCTCATGTCACTCAGTAGCAGGGATGGGGTGCGGGGTGCAGGGAGGGAAGAGAGTCAAGGCATTGAGAATTTGTGTAAAGGTTATAAACTCAAACATATAAACAAGTGAATGAGGACTGCCTGGAGAAGCATATAGCACCAGCCAGGATAGACACCGACTGGGGCGGGACAGGCCCCTGCGGAGAACAGGGAACTCCTACCTGGTCCGCTGGTGTTGCCACTGGATACCCCATGGTTTGTTGGAGACAGAGTTCTCAGATCTTCTGAGTTTTCAAGACCAGCCAGAAACCTAGGTGTTCATGTGTATGTACGTGAACTCTTTTGGCCAACAAATACACAGTTTCTGAAAATAAAGTGACATTCGAAGAAAGTGTGGCTTTCTGATCGCTTTGGCCTCTGGTTCAGTGCAAAGGTGAGGGATTTAGACTTAGACCCGGGGCCGCCTTTAACTCGTTAGCTGAGTGGGCTCGTGGAAGCGACGTCTCCTGTGCACCTCGGCTTACTCATTAATGAAGTGGGAACATTCGTATCTGTTTCCCAGGATGGCTTCTTGAGGGGTTAACAAGAAAATGTATTTTGAAGCACCAGGTACAGCAGAGCCACTTAATTCAATGTCTTAATTCCTCCATACTCTCGTTGGGTTGGAGTCTGGGACAGTGGGTGGAGTAGACCTCCTTTCCAGTAACTTGAGCCTTTAAAATGTGAACTCATTTTTCAAATACTAACCCGTGACTTGTAGGGAAGCCCCACAAATTGCTCAGTTTCAGAAAAGATGACATCAAGACACCAAACATTGGCTGACTTTCATGGAAGCAGTCACCCGGTTTGAACTGGCATTGGAAGGTTTTAAGCCTTTCAAAGCTTCACCCTGGGGGGGAAGCAAGTTAAAAGGTTGTTAAAAATGTAGTCCCAGGGCTGGGTGTTACATGTTTTCATTTGAATTAACCTTATTTTCTTATTCCCTTAGGAAATCACAAATTGACGCAAATAGCGAAAGTAGTCATCAAAATCTGTGAGCATGAGGTATGTGTTTTCCCCGGCTGTGCTTTAAACATGCCCAGAGAGGGAGGGTCGGGGTGGCTGACGCTCCCATGTGCAGAACCTCAGTGGGTAGCCAGAGAGTGGTTTTAGCACTTGTTGAGGTCCAGATAGCTTCCCCTCTCTTTAAGGAAATGTAAGAGCAACAAGGAGGGGACCCTCAGTATGTTACAAAGCACCCTTACCTTAGCCGTGATCTCAAGGAGTGGAAACGACCCTTTATTTTTTAGCTTTGAGTCATGGTCAAGCACAGGACATCCTGTTTTCTTGGGTGCATAGAGAGAGTTCATCATTTCTTCTCCGCCGAGTCTGTGGCATTGAGTCGGGTCTGTTTCCGTCTTCTTGCAGAAGATGGTTGGTTTTTGACATTATTTGGGGAAGAGTCCTGACTCTTTCTCCGAGCAGCCCAGGTGTCCTGGAGAATCTGTCCCTCTCGCAAATGCCAGTTGGTTTGATAGTGTGGGTGAATCGGACCTCCTGGGCTGTGCGCCCTAAGGCTCGAAGGGCTGGGGGACAGGTGGGTGGCTGACGTGGTATAAGAAAGGCTTTGCTTATGAGATCCCCGTCATAGGAGTAAAAACCTCAGACGTAATGGCCTTCCCCCTGTCCGTGCGCTTCCTTTCACTCGTTCATAAGGGAGACATTTGGCTTAGGATACGTTCATGTCTACAGACTTACATAGGGTTTAATAATCTATGTTTTCTGCCTAGTTTGAGTGTTTTCCTAGGTAACTAAACACACAGGAAGAACAGGGTTTTTTTCATGGCTGTTCTGATGATTTTTCTTAGTATAATTGTTAGAAATGTACCTACCGGGTCCAAGGCGGTAAACATGGCAAAGGTATTAGGTATTGTCTTTTGGAAAAACTGTAGCAGTTTATATAACAACTGGGAATGGATGAGCCTGGTAGTTTTTCTGTGTTCTTTCCAACACGGGAAGCTCTGATTTGGGGGGGGGGGGGGAATATATTTTTATATATAAATTATATATATAATACGTTTTCCCCTAAATCAGTGTGATCTATAAAAACCCGTGGCATCTCACTCTGATTTTGGTTTGCCTTTCTTTGGTGACAAGCGATCTTGGGCTCTTTTTGATAACTGTAAATTGGCGATTTGGAGATTTGTGTGAGTGAGTTGTTCAGTTGCCTGCCCCTTGGGGAGTCATTTGTTCCCTTGGATTTGGGAGCTGAAGCGTAGGCCTTTAATTGGTGGGTGCCCCGAGGTGGAACATATTGATGAACCCAGGTACTTTCTGTCTGGCAGTTTTGAATCTGCCTGTTGGCAGCCACTGCTGCTTTGTGGGGCTGTCCTGGACTTGATGTTCCCGTTTGCTTCTACCCAGTGCACTTAGAATAGAAGTAGACTGGGTAGAAAGAGGTATTATAGTCCAGCATTCATTTGTCAATTTTAATTACAAATTGTAGTTATAAAATGAATAAGTAATAATTGATTGAGCACCTGCTATGTATTTGGCACCTTGCAAGATGCAGGAGATAACAGTGAGTCCCATGGTGCTAGGAAGATGTAGCGGCCGCAGTGCCTGAGGCGCATGAGCTTGGAGCCCGGCTGCCCGGAGTCAAATCTCGGCCCTGCCACTTTGCCTCAGTAAGACCTTGGCCATGTTACTTGACTTCTTCTTGGGGCCTCCTTTTCCTCTTCTCTGAAATAGTGAGGTCTGAATTCAGATCTGTGATGGATCTTCCAGGGCCCTTGGTCCTAAGTCACGATGATACTTAGGGGAGACACACTTTCTTAAGAGGGAGAGGGATAGCAAGTAATAGAATTTTCAGATTGTTGTCAGTAAAATAGGGCAACATGGTGTTAACTATCCCCTTGGAATGATGTGAGAGGAGATGCACTGAAGTTGAGCATGGCAGGTGGAGGCCAGAGTGGTGGGAAGGCAGTGGGGAGCGCAGACAGGTGCGCCGAGGCCAGATCACACCTGGCCTTGAAGGAACTGATCGGGTGTTCAGATTCCTTTGTTCGTTTCACAGTCTTGGCACTGCTGACATTTGAGGCTGAAGAATTCTTTGTTGTGGGGACTGTCTTATATATCTGTACATCATAGGTCCTCATCGCAACTGGTTCCCCCAACCCCGATGCAGGATAACCAAAAAAATGTCTCCAGATGTTGCCACGTTGCCAAATATTCCTGGAGGTGTTAAACTGCCCTGGTAGAGAACCGCTGGTATGAGGGGAGGGACAAGATCGAATGGATGTTTGTAGAAGGCGGCTCTGGCTGCTGAGTCTGTATGGGCAGTGAACCCTAGTGGAAGCTGGGAGACATGTTTCAGAGAGAGATGGTGGTGACTTGGCCAGCCTGGGGTTGGTGAGACGTAATTCCTCGCTGTGTGACTTTGTTCAGATGTAATTCCCCATCGTGTGACGTTGTTCAGCCAATATGATTTGCCAATATCATCTTGCATTTCTCGAGGGCTTACAAAAGTAAGGTCCCTGGGATGCCACATTCTAACTTTGGATGTTTTTTTTTGCTTTCCAGATGAATGAAATTGAAGTTTGTCCAGAGTGTTATTTAGCTGCTTGCCAAAAACGAGATAACTGGTTTTGTGAGCCTTGTGTAAGTTGGATTTTCTTTCCCTCCTTTTTTGAACCCCATGCCTGGATGACTGGCTACCCAAGACAGCTTCTTCTAGGTGGCTTATTCAGCTGAACTTCGGGTGAAGTTTTTAAATAATTCGTTTTACTGATAAAAGTTAAGGCAGAGCCCTGGCCGGTGTGGCTTATTGGATTGAGCGCTGACCTGCGAACTGAAAAGGGTGCCTGTTCAATTCCCCGTCAGGGCACATGCCTGGGTTGCGGGCCGCGTCCTCAGTTGGGGGCATGTGAGAGGCAGCCGACTGATGTTTCTCTTGCACATCATGTTTCTCTCCCCCCTCCCTCCCTCCCTTCCCCTCTCAAAAAATAAATAAATAAAGTAAAAAATCATAAAAAAAAATTACGGCAAAGTGAAGGTAGCACAGGTAGGAGAAACCTCTCCAGCTGGACTGTCCCATAGTGGAGACAGCGTGGTGAGTGGTTTATTAGCCTGGGCAGCCTACAGGGTCCAGAGGAGAAGGGAGCCCGAGAGAGCGTGGATTCGCCAGAGCCTTGCAGATAATGACACCCGCGGTCAATGGATGTGTCATTGGCAGATCGGTTATAAGAGGCTTGGAACTACCTCCTTCTGCCTCCCTGGATTAAGACTGTGATCTTTTTGTATATGGGGGTGAGGGGGTCCGGGGAAGAAAATCACCCTTGTTTTCCCCACAGATCTGCATTTTCCAGGCTGGGGTCCTCCGGGAAGAGGTGTGATTCTGGAGGGGCTGCTGGTGGTGGTGGAGTGTGTGGGGGGACCAGAGGGGGCAAGTCAAGTTGAGAATGAAAACAGTTTGTCTCTTCCTGCCTTTGGAGATGAACACCTCAGTTGTTGAGGGTTTGAGCAGCCCTCCCTAAAGAATAAAAGCGGCTAACACTACCCCGTTGCCACCTAGATATAATGTACATTTAATCCTCCAGCCTGTCGGAGGCTGTAAGTGGCACTGCCTGTGGGTCACACAGACGGGTGGCCTCTTGTTCCCGGCTGCCCAGGCAGTGACGGCACAACCAGGATTCCAGCCCGGAGATGTCAAGCGTTGCGTGCGTATCTTGCTGTCCAATACATACAGAGTCTGCATTTTGTTTCTCTTTTCCTAGAGCAATCCACATCCCTTGGTCTGGGCGAAACTGAAGGGGTTCCCATTCTGGCCTGCAAAAGCTCTGAGGGATAAGGATGGCCAGGTCGATGCCCGTTTCTTTGGACAACACGACAGGTGGGAGTTAAAAACGGGCTACAGACATGTAGCTTTCACTGAGCCTTTGATACTGTCAGCGGGTAAGAGAAAGAGCAGAGGGTCTGGCTGTCATTTTGTTGAACGTCATGATGCCCACCGGTGATCTTGTAATCAGTAGTTTAAAAATGTGGTCCTGTGCTGTGTTAAGCCTGGTGCGGTGGGGGCTTCAGTTTCTCCACGTATATTAGAGAAAAATCTTGCTTTCCTGCTTTTGTTGGTGAAACCAGCACTGGAACAAGGTTCCATGGCTGTTATAAATACTGCTGTTCTTTTTCTAAAAAAATTTTTTTCTGGAGTAAATCAAACCACTGGGCAAATTGGTTTTCAAAATAACATTGTCAGGGATCAGAAACATTTTCCCAGATTACCAGTAAATGGATCTCCTATCATTGTGCTGGGTAATCCCCGCCTCGCCCCCGCCCCGCCCCCACCCCCCGCCCTGTTCCTTTTCTCTGAAGCTAAAATGGGAAATTATAAGGGGTTGCTGTTTTGACAGGTGTGAGCCCTCCCTCCCAGCCTTTCTGCTTTTCCCTTCCCCTCACTCACAGCGAAGTAAATTATTCCAGCGATTAGCAGTTCCCTTAAAGCGCAGCCCCCTGCATGCTTGAGAACAACAGGTAGGCCGAGATGAGCAGCAGTTAATATCTTAGCTCCATTTTAACGAGTTAAGTTATGATTAAATAAGGCAAAAGCCCTTTGGAAGCCTCACCAAGCAGTCTGACAAAGCGTGGGAGTGTGTAGGGGAGAATATTTGAAAGACATAATGCTAAATACAGGGTCCGGCACAAATAACGCCCCCCCTTTTTAGTATAAACTCTTTTCTTACAAAATCATAAGCATGCAATTCTGTAACATAACAATATCACACTCAAGCGCACCGTGTGACATTTTAGGTGAAATGTTCAAATTAAAGCTAAATTATTACATCCGTGTTATTTCCCTACCAACCACACTCAAGCAGGCGTTACTTCTGCCGGGCGCTGTGGTAGACACAGCCACAGAATATACAGAACATGCTGTTGATGATGTCATACAACACCGGAATCTGAAGCTCTGCTCTCTTTGTTAATTTTTACTTGTCATCTTGCAAATCAAAGAAAAGAGGGGATTCCAAAGTAATCTACAAAATCGTTTACTAGGAGCCCAGGCCGTCCAGTGTCAGGAGGAGAAGTGGAAGTTAGCCGAGATGATCGTGGGTTTGCTAGGAGGTACAATATTACCCTTTATTTGATTTTGACCGTTTTTGTTGGAAATCTTTTAAAAAGTCAATTATTTGTTCATCCAAAGAAGTCCATATTTGGCGCCTGCGGTGGGCCAGGCTGTGTGCTGGATGCTGGGGGTTTAGGACTGGGGAGGCAGACGCTGTCTCTGCCCCTCCAAAGGCTGCCATGCTGGTGGGGAGGACAGATCCGGACAAGGAAACAGGCACGGTGGTCTTGGGTCCGGAGGTAATGGTGGGGTCCAGTGCAGATGTGGGTAGAGGGGCCGGAGAGAGCAGAGATTCGGGCACGGAAGCGCTGAGCCCGTTGCAGGATGAGGGAGGAGAGGATGAAAAGACACGGGGTTAGGGGGTGGGTCAGCGCCTGGATCACGTGGGCTCTTGTCAGGAATCAGGCTTTTTTTTGAAGAGCAGAAGTGGGTGGCAGGTTGTATATCTCCCTGCCTCTTCGTTAGAGCACTCAGGTGTTCACCATCTTGATGATTCAGGGTTATTTTTATTCTCCAGTATAACATAATAGGGATAGACTTAGCATTTAGACCCACATGCACCAAATGTTCCCAGACCCTTAAAGCCTTTGATTCTGTGTTTAGCTGAGCCACTTGCATGGACCTCTTCACTCCTCCCTGAGAGCCACTGAATGTGGCTCAGGGGCATGAGCTTTGTTGGCTCTGTTTTCAGATGCCGTTCTCCCCAGAGGGCCCCTAAGTTTTTGAAAAAGACAGCAGCCCCAGCCTGATGTCCGTGAGGTTTTCTTTAGCCCCCTTGGTGTCTTCTGTCCCTTTGGAGGGAATGTGCCGAGCTGTTGGGCTTGTTTGGGGGTGAGGGAAGTGCACTGGACAAGGCGTCAGGGGCACGCACAGTGGTGGAGAGTCAGTGTGTTGTCGGCCTTGCAGGCATGCCTCAGTTGGCCTTGGGCAGGGAGTCCCTGACAGCCGTGAGGGAAGCCCCGCCTAAGAGGATGAGTGTCCCTCCCTCCACGGAGATGCCCTTAAAGCAGAACGGGGCCTGCTTGTCCGGGCCTGCTCTGGGTCGGACCCAGGAACACGACGGGAGGCCGCAGGCTGCGAGAGGGGAGACGCGCTCTTTTGCAGGGAGCTTGCTTTGGGGTGGTAGAGCCAAAATGTGAGCCTGGACAGGTGTCAGCAAAATAGGTCAAGACAGCAGAGTAAGAACTATCACAGACCATTCCATGTTCATTGTCAAGACAGTTAATGAATCTTGGAGCCAGGGAAGGCTCTTCGCGCAAATCCAGGCATGTTCTGAAGAGTGCTCATCTCATGCCTTTTGTCCTTTAAAATATTTTGATTTCTTTTTGTTTTATTTCATAGACACACGCTGTATTATCTAAAACCATAGAAAATATTCTCTTAAATTCCTGCGGAGCTGGCATTAACTGAAGCCAGCTACGCAGCAGGCACTGTTTTCAGTGCTTTTTGTAGAAGCTGCGTTTGTCCCCATTTTACTGATGATAAATCTGAGGCCCAGAGCTGAAAAGCGTAATCATAGCTCCCCTGTGTGACTCTGTGGCCTCTGGTGACATTGCCCCCCCACAGACTTTCTGTTGTTAAGCAAATCTAATTTTCCTTTGACTATTTCCGGGGCCTGCTTAAAGGAAAAGAAACACTCACTTTCCTGAAATCACTTGCCAAGCAACTTCATTGAAGGCTCTTAAGAACCTGGGAAGAAAAAGGTAAGGCCCTGATACCAGGTGACAGTGTGGGGGAAACGTGGTCACAGTGACCGCTGGGCTCATCGGCGCCTGTGGTGCCAGGACTGGGGCATTGCCTTTGCTCCCCGTGGCACCCCTCCAGGTTGAGGCTCATCCTCCTTGTACGCAGTGGCAGCGCTGAGGCTGGCTCAGGGCAGGGGAGTCACTTGTCTGCAGACAGCCCTGGGGATCCTGAGGGATCCCCAGATCTGCCCTGCCTGGTCCGGACTCTTGCCCACCCCGCTGTGAGACGTGGAGTCTAGGTTGTCCCGACTGGCTGCAGAGGGGGGCTCCTCAGGGCCCAGCGGGGAGACAATGGCCGCGAGTTGGAACGGACGAGAAGCTGGCTGTTGCCGGCATCTGAGAGAGCAGATACGCTGGGGTGTTCAGTGTTACTAGCTTGTGTCGCAGTCTAGTTGCACACAGCCTGTGCCCTGAGTTCTGCCTGCTGCACCTGCTTTATTTCTCCTGGGTTGCTTCTTCTTTTAAAAGTAGGGACGAGATGCCGGCTGTTAAAATTTGGGTAACACGTAATAGAAGAAGCTCCTATTTTGTTTCTCTTTGACACCGTGGAAGGCTTGGTAGAGTTGGGTTCAGATTCCCGCACGATAGCACCCAGGTAGGCTAGATGGTGCTGGCCGCAGACTGGCCCTGACTGCCCTCCCTCCTCACGGTTCACTCGGCTTCCTGCAGCTCGATGCCGGGCTTGAGTTTATGGTCTGTGAAGTACAAAAGGCCGCCTTGGAAAGCTTACTCCCGCCAGGTTCCCAGCTGCAAACTGGCTTGAGATTGGGGGGTGAAACGTGACCAGGTTCCACATGGGCTGTCGGTATCGGCTCTGCCTTCCGCAGAGCATGGGAGTGGTGTGCCCAACTCCTGCCCATCGTCACTTGGGGTCACCGATTCCAGAAAAGCAGCTCATGTTCTCATGAAGTCCCTGCAGAGTGCACGGGGGTGCGGGGTGCGGGGTGCGGGGTGCTGAAGGCGGGAAGACGGAACCACCTGGGAAGCGGAGAGTGTGCACTGGAGGGCTCAGGGGCCGTCTGCTCATTATTTTCCATGTGAGTTATCTTCTCATTCAAAACCACGCTCCTCCTTTCCGGGTTACGGTTTTCCAGCATTTCCTCCTAGTCCCGTGGAGAACTCCAGTTTTAAAAGAGAAAGCTTCTTGTTGTTTGAGTGCAAAGGAGTGAGATTGGGGAATAATTTTCTCTTGGGAGGTGTGGTCTAGGATGTAGTGACAGTTTTGTTATTCTCTACCAACCCAAAGCCAAAGGGGAGTTATTATTATTTTTTTAATGGATTAAAATGACTAAGCCTATCGAGCCTTTTAATGGTTTGGCTAAGTTCATGTTCACGTTCAGTCCTGATGACAGAATATGTTTGTTAAGTAGATCATTTATTAAACCATTCAAACCAAGGTATTTTTTAAAAATGAAATGTGCATTTGAGGCTCTTGGCAGGCATACTAGGCTAGTTTGGTTTGCATTAAGGAAAAAAAAAAAACAATTCTGAAAACAACTGAAATGTTCGTTCCACCAACAGTTGAACGGATAAGGGAAATGTGGTATGTATACACAGTGGAATACTTTTCATCCTTAAAAAGTGTGCCACAACACGGCTGAAAGCTTGAGGACATTATGCTAAGTGAAATAAGCCAGTCATACAGTGACAGCTACGACATGATACCATGTCTGTGAGGACTCTAAAGCAGTCCAGTTCACTGAGTCAGAGTGGGATGGTGGTTGCCAGGGGCTGGGGAGGCCCAAATGGGAAGTTGCTAGTCCCAGGGCATAAAGTTCGGGTTAAATAAGATGGATACATTCTAGGGACCTGCCCGCCTTCCAGCCTTGCCCCTGCAATCAACAGTCTGTGTTGTATACGCACATATTTGTTAAGAGGGTAGAAGGTAGTACCGGTGTTACGTGTTCTTACCGCAATGAAGTATATTTAAAAAGAAAAAGTTAAAAATAAAAGTCTTGGAAATGACCAAAGGTGACGTAGCCTCTCTTTTTCTTTTGCCCTCCTAGGGCCTGGGTTCCGATAAATAATTGCTACCTCATGTCTAAAGAAATTCCTTTTTCTGTGAAAAAGACTAAAAGCATCTTCAACAGTGCAATGCAGGAGATGGAGGTGTACGTGGAGAACATTCGCAGGAAGTTTGGGGTTTTTAATTACTCTCCGTTCAGGACACCCTACACGCCCAACAGTCAGTACCAAATGCTGCTTGACCCCAGCAACCCCAGCGCTGGCGCTGCCAGGATAGACAAGCAGGAGAAGGTCAAGCTCAACTTTGACATGACGGCGTCCCCCAAGATCCTGATGAGCAAGCCCATGCTGAGCGGGGGCACCGGCCGCAGGGTCTCCTTGTCGGACATGCCTCGCTCCCCCATGAGTACAAACTCTTCTGTGCACACGGGCTCCGATGTGGAGCAGGACCCTGAGAAGAAGGTCATGTCGAGCCACTTCAGCGCCAGCGAGGAGTCCATGGACTTCCTGGACAAGAGCACAGGTCAGCCCCTGGGCGGGGAGGGCGGAGCAGGCCCTGGGGACTCAGGGTTTCCATTGGTGGGACATCTGGTGGGTCCAGGCTGGCCAGCACCACAGAATCGAAGGGAGCTTTGTGGGGTTTTATACTCCAGTGGGGAAGATTTTAAATTTAAGGTGAGCAACACAACTGGATTCTTGCAGGCCGGTTTGCAGGCCCTTCCTAGAAGCGGGCAGAGATGGCTAGATGTCCTGCCAAGCTGAACTCAGATTCCTCTTAGATTAATCACAACTTCCCGTGACAGCTTTTTCTGTCTCAAGAATTTTATTTTAATTGAAACATTATTTTTCTGTCATAACTATGTTCTCACATCATTTAGTGCTTAAATAACAGAAAAACATGCCAGGTAACCATTAATAGTTTTTCCCCAAGAGCCATCCCCTTCCTTAAAGGTCACCTTGTTGAATGGTTGCCTTGCAGTTTTCAGACTTTACAGTTGAGTGGTTAAGGATGAGGACACTGGTCTCAAATTCCAGTTCTGCCACCTCTACCTATGTGGCTTTGATCAAGGTACCTAACCTCTTAGGCCCTAGTTTCCTCATCTGTAACATGAAGATAATAGGACCTGTCCCTGAGGGTCTTGGAAGGATTCAATGAATCAGTGTACAGAGGGTTTAGGACAGTGCGAGGAATAGTAAGTGCTACAAAAAGGTTGGCAAGTGTTCCTTTCTTTTGGTGGTTGCTAATCAGAAGCCTGTGTGAGTTGATGCCAATGAGGGATGCTGGCTGAGCGTACGGGAAGTACGTCATGGTGATTTGAATTCTTTCTACCCAGATGTAATTTGGTTATATGCTAAATACTTAAGAACTCTTATTACTTACTTCCATGAGGAAGTGGGTTTACTTTCGTTTTTCTTGAAACATGTCCTCTGTTGTTTGTTCCTTCTTACTCCACTCTTGAGAGACATGGGCCCAGAATGGCCTCCACACTAAGCATGGTGATAAAGGCGGTCAACACGCAGGCTCTGTGCGGGAGAGACTGCGGAGGGGACAGGGATGGGACCGGTGGGCCCCAGGGCTCACGCCCCATCTTTTCAGCCCATGAGAGCCAGGCAGGAATGCGGACTCATGGTTCTTAGATCTTAACATACTTCCAGAGACCTGGGAAATCTGCCTTCATTACATTAAAATTTTTTTAGGTAAAATCCCCAATTATTACATGTTAACTCAAAATATCTCAGAATATTTTTCCGAATGAGTAAAGCACATCTACAGATTGGATTGCCGGCCTTAGACTTCCTGCCAGAGCGTTAGCCTTGGAGAGCTTTGCAGACTCCTCTCTCCCTACTCCTTCCTCCCTCCCTCAACCCTGAGAACCCTAAGGAGCAGGCATCAGGTCTTCAAGAGACCACAGAAGTGCCCACAAGATGAAATGATAGGGATTTAGTTCATTGTGAACTCCATTCCATCCATTTGGGGGTTGTTGTTTCTTCTTGGTTCTGGTTGGTTGGTTATATTTAGGCACTGCTTGTAGCCGTTCCCAAAGTGGCTGTAGGTGGAGTAGGGACACTTAATAGGTACCAGTGGCTTCTGGGTCTGGCAGATAAAGGCTGCAGTCTCTTTCTCCAGTTCTGATCATAGCCAGGTAGATCTAGGTACTCACAGTTGTATTTCAGCGCTTTTTCCCAGGACGTTGGAACTCGAGTTGACAAACTTCACGTGTCAGAAAAACTTCCCTTTTGCCCTGTAGTGTCTGACCAGAATCCTTAAAAGCTTACTTGTATTCCACAACACGATTCCATTTAACAGAACGTGGTGCTTAGTCACAGCCTGGTGCACAGACGCTTCAGCCAGTTCGTTCCCACGGAGCCCACGCTGTTGGGAAAGTGTTTTAGCCTCGGCAGCCATCCCGGGAGTCACTGTTACCTGAACTTTCATTGCCACCTTCTAGCACCACCTATTTTATTAACATTCTTCCATATTAAACCTCCAACGTAGCTTCATCCTAAGCTAAATAATAAAACGTCCAAACTCATGTGTTTGAATTGCTTGTGGTACTTTTTTCTAAAATACATGACATGAGTACATAACCTGTAAAATAACAACACGTGGGTCCATGAGCCCACGCCTGGTTCTCCTGCTCCATATTTCAGAAAATGTAGTTTTAAATGGATACGAGAACATGTAGAATGTGTTGACTTAAGCTTCTTTCTTCCCTTGGGGAGGGACAGAGATTGCAATGACATCAGAGGTCCTGACAAAATTCCTCATCATTTGAGTAGCTTTGTAGGGGCTTAGTGGACATGCAGGTTCCTTTCCCAAAATATAATCCCCATACTGGTATTTGCTTGGGGTATTCGGCTAATCAGCATGAGTACAGGAAGAGGTGTGGTACTCAAAATTGTTTTAATCTAACAAATTGCCCCCTTTTCTGTTAGGAGCCAGACAGTAAATATTTTTGGCTTTGTATATTTCAGGGACTAGTACTCTTTTTGATTCCTTCCTGCCCCCGCCCCCTGCCAATCATTTAAAAAAAGGTAAAATAAATACCTTTTTTAGTTTGTAGGTCATACAAGAACAGGTGGTATGCTAGATTTGGCTCATGGACCAGTATGCCAACCTCTGTGGCAGACTAAGAGAAACGGAGCCAGCCTCCCTATTTTACAGAAGGCAAGTTGAGGTCCCTGTGAAGAGTGTAGGAAGGCGCCCTGGTTCCCAAACCTGTTCCTCCCCCGCCCCGCCCCGCCCATCTGCTGGGTTTTTTTTTTGCTGCACTCTACTGCCCTCTGCTGTTTGCAGTGACAATAGCATTTAGTGGAAGATGGGGACTTTATTGAAATGCTCCCATAATCTGACAAGACTGTGATTTATCCAAAACTGTGTTTAAAAAAAAAAAAAAAAAGAATGCCATAGGAAGAGAAAAACCAGATTAGTATAACAATGAAAAATTTGGGACCAGCAACATAAAATTGAAATTACATAAAACTTATGAGAGTTGAGAAACCCTTCTTTTTGGGGGGTGGGAGGGTTGAGGAGCTCAGACTCATGTGTCTGTAATCCTTAGAACTGGATTGATCCTTCTAAGAAACACTTTGCTCAGCTAGAAGCCTGTCACTCCTGGTGTCCTGGAATCCTGTTGTTTTAAAGGTCAGAGTGGTTTATCTTAGTGATGTTTCTCATTCCCCTTTTATCTAGAGTTCTTGGCCGGGATGGATGCCTTTGTCAATATTTGCTTCTGGGGTCCCAATTCAAGTCATTAATATGCGTGAGGGTCCAGGGGCCTGGCGGCCACCACCCTGTGAGCTCATGGTCCTTCAGTCTTATCACTTAGAGTTGCTGCTTAGGGAGAAGGGACAGTATTTTCATAAACTCTTTTTTTATTGTGAAATCATTATGTGTTCTTTGTAAAATAATCATTATTTATAAGGATTAAAGCCACCGAGTATACCACCTCCCACAGTCAACGCTTCGCTTCCAGGACTTTTCCCATGTTGGTTTATCAGTCATATTACTAATTCGATGGTTAGGCAGGCATGGGGAGGAGTGAGGCTGGCAAGTGGTAGGGACTGGGGTGAACTGCAGCAGAAACACTCCTTACCGTGACTGAAGCCACGTACACATGTATGCGTGTGTCACACTTCCCAGAGCAGTGATGCTCTGAGCTACGCCTTTCTTCCCTGAAGGGCAATGAGGGCCTTTCCCTTCTCCTGGTTGTAGCCAAGTGGGAATGGGAGCTCAGTGTTGCCAGATTTCGGGTTGTTCAAGAGAAGTCTCATATTTTTTTAAATGACTTTTATATATCGGCTCAAATGAAAAAAAAAAAGACTATGTGCTACATCAGATGTATTTGTCAATTCCTTGGTTCATGGATCACCTGTATGCAATGTCTGGTGTAGACTGTTTAGCTTTGCTTGGTTTGCTTTTATTTAACCTGTGCTCTGAATACTTTTTTCATGTTAGCAAATAATCCTTCAACACAGCATTTCTGTCCTATCACAGAAGGTGCGGTAACATTCTGCCATCAAGACTCGTGTAAGACAGCACTTCGAACATACAGGTTGTTTCTAGGGTTTTCTAAGTAAGTGGAGGAGACTTAGCATGAATCAATACCTCCTTCATCCCACCCCACCCTGCCCAGAGGGCTAGGGTGCAAGGGAAGGAAGGGACTTTTTCTAATTTAATTCTAAGACTCAGGTTTCCTGTAGTTAGCACAGGACTTAGCACAGGCTAGGATTTTGCAAATGTAGATAATAAATGATGTGTTTTAGCCCACACTTGTGAATTGTACATCAAAGTATAAAATCTTATTAAATTATTGGTGACTTCAAAGGCTATTAGTTCTTCCTTTGGGCAAGATTTATGGCTCTATAAAAGGATTAGCATTCATTTCAAAGCTTAATTGAAACACGCATTTCCCAACGTCTTTCTGCTTTTGAGACTGTCTAGAGTGATTTAAAACAGCGTTTCTCAGTCTTGGCACTGGTGACATTTGGGGCCGGATGACTCTGCTGCGGGGCTGTCTTGTGCGCCGTGGGATGCCTCGCAGCATCTCGGGCCCCTACCCACTAGATGCTAGGAGCGCACCTGTTCACAATTAAATGACAGCCAAAAATGTCTCCAGACATTGTCACGTGTTCCCCGGAGGGCACAGTCACCCCTCCGGGTCCCCATTGAGAACTACTGATTTAATGTATTGTGCCTTTGAATTTTAGTTCTGACAAAATTCTGAATGCTTCACATTTATCTTTGAAGCTCTTCCATATTTACGTTTAATATCATCTCATTTAAAATGTTCCTTTTAAATTTTAATATTATAGAATTAATAGCACATCATTTTACCCTAAAGAGGTGACAACTATTAAGAACTGGCTCTTCGTTCAGATTTTTAAATGTATGTAATCACATTGATAATAAATTTTTTGGTGATGGAATAGGATCACACTGCTAAGCTTTTTGCTTCTTTCAATTTAGCAATGTTTCTTTGACTTCTTTTGATATTTGTGCATATAATTCTTATTGTCAGTAGTATATAGATTGTACATGAACATGACAAATGTTGGGATCATGACTATTTTGGGAGACATTACTTGGTGAAGAAACCTGGTTTTATGAAGTAGTATGAATGCAATTTTTTTCCCTTTTATCGTCATCTGAGGACACCCTTTCATTGCTTTTAGAGAGAGAAACATCGATGCGAGAGAGAAATATAGTTATTTCTTGTCGTAGTTCCTTGGCAGTACCCAGCGGTGCTTTGCTAGCAGGCTAAGGAAGACCCTCTCTGCTGGACATGCTGGCTAGTTTGTTTCAGAGAATATAATATAATTAGAAAAGCCTGGTTTCTGGTCCTCAAGGGGAGCGCATTATACCCATTTCTTCAGCCACTGCAAATCTCTTGGGAACAGGTAGAACATACATGAATGAATGATTTTAAAAAGTGAAAAAAGCAAAACTCAAATATCTTAACACGAAAGATTTTATTGTGAATACTGAAGTCTTTTAATATGGCTTCAACGTGATTCCCTTGTGCTTCTTTGTGTAACAAGCCCTTCAGTTCTGCTTGTTACCACAAGAGAGGACCCAGGGCCGGGGCTTGTACCAGTAACGGTAGCAGTCTAGTCCGCAGGCGCGAGGACGCGGTCCGCCGGGCCAGGCATTCGTTAATCCTTACAGTAATGCTGACTTAATTTAGGACTGACAACAGCTTAATTCTGGAATTAATTTTGAGTGTTTGTTGAGCACTTGCTAAGCACCAGTTTACCTGGGTTACCAGCTCGTCCCCACCTCCTCCCTTCATTTCCAGAGACACGGCTGCTTAGTCCCTGTGTGGACTGACCCACCTCAGCACTGTTGACATCTGGGGCCAAGGATGATTCTTGGCTCTGGGAGGCTGCCCTGTGCACCGCGGGATGTTAGCAGCGTCCCTGGTCTCGGCCCACTAGGTGCCAGAAGCCAGCTGTCCCCTCGTCTGACAGCCAAAACTGTCTGCCCTTGTGGCCCTGTGTGCCCGGGGGGGCGAACGTCACTCTGGAATGAGAACCACTCTTCTAGGCTATTGAAACCAACGCTGTAGAGGCGAATGGGGAAGAGAAAATGACAGTCCGCTGAGCACAATGATACATAATACTTAGTAGATGCCAGGCACTGTTTGGATGATTAATTTATGTGGTTGTTACAACGTGATGAGGGTAGGTACTCTTACCCTCCCTCTGCACTATGTTGTTAATATTCCCTTTTGCCAATGCCAGGAAAGGAGATTCAGAGACACCAGGTAACTTACCCAACGTCACCCAGCAAGTCAGCAGCAGCGCTGGGGTTTGTGCCCCGTCTGGCTTCCGGTCCGCGCTCGAGTCCACTTCCCTCTGCGTCTCGAGTCTTTCCCGCTGTGTTACATCAAGTATGGTGTTGGCAGGTCCTGGCACTGGACATGGGGTTACCCCGTGTCTATCGAGTAGCCAAGCTGGGGCACAGGTTTATCCTGTGGAACCCTCACTCCGAGCGTCCCTATTGGGCCGCTGAGGAAACCAAGGCGAGCACTTTTGAAGTCCCCATGACGTCTTGGCGCCTAATGTCTTTGCTGTCAACGGCTTTCTCTTAAGGACCAGGTCACCTCAAAGTCAGTGGTCACTGTGCATCTGAGGAAAGCTGGCTGTCTTGTGGCCTGTCCCACATTTAGTAGCGGGACAGTCCCAATATCGTCTAAGGGCAGGATCTAAAGGATCTCTAGGAGGCTCTAGGTGGCCCACCTGAACCACCTCGTTTTGTTGAGTGCTTTGGTTTCTGTCCCCCCTTCCTCTCCGCGAGTGGATTCGGGTCAGGGGAGCAGCGTGTGAGTAGTGTTGAGGGATTTATAAAAGCCTTGAGAACGATTCCACCCTCCTGTCAAAGTTTGGGACACAGTAAAAGGGAGATAATTTACCAACATCTCATCACTCCATCTGGGGCTAAGTTTAGCTTCATTCAGCATTGCAGAGCCTTTGAAATGGGAATCCCGGGCTCTCCCGAGGGGCCAGGCGGGCCCCCGGCAGGTGCGGTGGCTATGGGAGCGGCCCCTGTCCCCTCGAAACGGATGACGTGCCATTTGTGAACCTGGCTCAGTCTCTGCATCTGGACCCTGGTGGGGGCTGATTTAATCGCTGTTTGTTTTGAGATTTACACCCATGAATGGGCCAAGCTCATTTCAGTGGCAGCTTAGCCGGTTTGTCTTAGAGCTTTGTGTCTAATAGAGTAACCGGGAGGCCTCCTTCCTTTGTGGCTTTAACGGTTTAACATTGGGCGAAAGCCCTTTGCTTCGACAGAAGTGGCCAGGCCTGCCTGCTCCACCTCGTCTGTGGTGCTCTGCTGGCCTGTTGCAATCAGATAAATTTCTCTCCTTTCCCTCACCCCACAACCCACGAGTTTTATTTGTTTATTTCTTTGTAAACCTGCCTTTTAACGAGTGCCGTCCTCTTTCAGCGTCCCCGGCCTCCACGAAGACGGGACAGGCGGGGAGTTTGTCTGGCAGCCCGAAACCTTTCTCTCCTCAAGCGTCCACGCCCATCGCGACGAAAACGGACAAGACGTCCACCACCGGGAGCATCCTGAACCTTAACCTGGGTCAGTTGGGATTTGTGGAAGTCTTTTTCTGTGGCAGCTAGGAGTATTTTTACAAGTTGTGGTGTCTTCTTCTGTGTGTGGTTCTTGAACTCCGTGGTCCTTGAACTCTGAACTCTTTGAGCAAGCCGTTTAAAAGGTGCAACGGATGCACATGAAGAGAGAGCAATAAAAGGGACAAGTTAAGGGATTTCCTGGGCTTGAAGACATGCATAGCTCTTCGTCATGGAGTAACATAGGCCAGTGTTTACAGCCTTGCTTGCCCTTGACCATAGTAACCCAGTTCTCATATGTAAAAATACATACTTGAAGTTATATATATATCTACTTGACATATATTAAGTATTTATGAATCAGTATTTACTTTTTCTTTGTGCAGTACATTCTGATATAGTGTGTCCTCAATTCTCCTCTCTGAAAAAAATAAATTTTATTTATTTATTTTAAGGGAGGGGATGGGAGAGAAACATCAATGTGTGGTTGCCACTCATGCACTGCCTACTGCGGACCTGGCCTGCAACCCAGGCATGTGCCCTGACTGGGAATCATACTGGCAACTTTTTCTTTCAAAGGCTGACACTCAATCCACTGAGCCACACCAGCCAGGGCTCTATTATTACTATTATTATTATTATTATTATTATTATTATTGTTTTTAGAGCACTACCGTAGGCCAAAGTCTTCAGCAAAAATTGACCCTGGAAATGCTAATTCCCTGACTTTCTGAAGTTAATTATTTTATTGATTGCTTCCCCCACGGTTCCCCGTTTTTACTGAGCACCTGTTGCGTGCTGTGCACTGCTTCAGGCACGGGGCAGGGTGCGGTGAGCAGAGGCCCTGCTCTCAGGGAGCGTGGGGTCTAGAAGGGACAGAGAATAATGAAGGTAGATAAATGGGACAGCGTGTGCCATACAGTAAAATGTGCAAACAGGATAGGGAGAGAGATGGGCAGGATCGGGGTGGGGGGAAGAGGCAGTGGTTCACAGGGCGGGAGGGTTAGGGAAGGTCTGTTTGAGTGGAGAGTTGCATGACAGGAAGAAGAGCCATGCCAGGACCAGGAGGAAGAACATTCTAGAAGGAACAAGAAATGTACAGGCCCTAGGATGAACTGCGAGTGTTAAAGGAGTGGCAAGTAGGCCCAGGCGGTGTGTCCCGGTGGGTGGAGGGCAGGTGGGGAGGTGAGGTCGGAGAGCGCAGGGACCGTAAGGACCGTGGTTTGAGGGACGTGAAGTGCCTGAGCGTTTCAGAAGGACCTCTTGGCTGCTGACTGGAGAGTAACCCTTGTCCACCCGGGCAGTTCCTCCTGCTCCCCCAGGGACCCTTGCGGTGTCTGGAGACATTTGTAGTTGTCTCATCGGGGGGCGGGGGATGCTGCTGGCATCCTGTGGGCAGAAGCCAGGGATGCAGTTACACGCCCTGCAGCGTGCAGAACAGGCCCCCTGCCCCCCGCCGGGAGTTACGGGGCTGTTCCAGTAACTGTGTTGACAGATTGGCTGTGGCAGGAGGAACAGGAACCAAGAGCACAGTTTTAGATTCTGTATATGTTTGGGTGCCCTGAGGCCAGGCCCAGGCAGGAGGTATATTCTGGGAATCTTGATATATACACAGGGTTGGGGGAAGGGCAGTGGTTCTCACCGCGCTGAGGCCGGGGGGAGCAGGGCGATCGATGCCTGCTCCTGGCATCGAGGGATTGAGTGGCTGCAGGACGTGTCATGCTGTTACACACCCTACACTGCCCAGTCCAGTGTCCCCCTCACCCCCACCCCGCTGGCAGTCCTGCTGAGATTCAGATCCGGGTCTGGGGCAGAAAGGGAGTGAGGGCCCTGGGACGCCTGAGTTAGGAGGAGGGCGTGTCAGCAGAGGTCAGCAGAGGCGGCTGGAATGAGCCGGGGACAAAGAGAAAGCCACGCCCTGGCGGCCTCCAGCGTGGGGTTTCAGGAAGGATACTTCCGGGCGGATGCAGAACCTCTGGTGGTCAGGCAGTGCGTCCCGTCCAGGTTCCTCTTGTCCTGCAGTGCCCTTTTCGGATGGGGAGACTGAGGCCTGGAGAGGAGGTTTCTGGTGCCCAGAATTGCGGAGCCCGAAGGTGGAAGGGCTCTGTGTCTCCATGGAGGCCAGGGCCTGGGTCACCCCGGGTCACCTGTCAGTGCAGCCCCTGATGTGATCGAACAGTCAGGGGGTGGCTTCAGGGGCTCTGGTTCAGATCGACGGGTGGGAATTGCTCACTTGAAAAAAAGGGGACCCATTTGCTGCTCTGGGGAATAGTCATCGTTCTCAGCAGTGTGGTTTGCCTTCTCACACCCTCCTCCCGCCTCCATGCCCCAAATAAAGCTGCTGTGAGGAGGCGTTCTCACGGTTCCATTTCCTCCTTGCCAATCATGCGTGGCAAGAATAGCTCCTTCCCTAAGCCAGGCAGTCCCCGGGCACCCTCCTGACACCGTGGTCTTCCGGTTTGGCTTGACCGTGGTGGGAGCACACGGTGTCTTCCAGCCCTGCGTGTGGGCGGTGGGCACAGCGGAGCCCGAGCTCCGAAGCTCCTCGCTAGCTGTTCCCGTTCCGGGACACGGGCCTCGTTTTGTCAGCAGGAACAAACGCACTGGCAATGTGGGCGTTCTGGGGCTGGGCTTCCAGTTACTTCCTGGGAAGCGGAGCAGATAGGGCCCAGTGGAAAGTGTCATGGGTGGGAGGAAAAACGGGAAAGTGGAGGGAAACGCTAAGTGATTCTCGAGCATCCCAGGGACAGGGCGTGTGCTTTATGGGGCTTGATTATGTCTATCATCTCTATAACTACTTTGAGCAGACAGAAATGAGACAGCGCTAGAGATAATGGTGGCATTTATTATATCTAGCAATATATAATTTAAAAATTACATTGGAAAAGACAGAATTATAGAGATGGCAAACAGATCATTGATGGCCGGCCAGGGGTTGGGGGTAGGGCCCGGTTTGACCACAGATCCTAAATAGTTTTCTGTGGCTGTTGGAATTGTCCTGCATTGTGTTTGTGGTGCTGGTTACTGAAATCTGCGCAGGTGTTAAAACTCAGAGCTGTATTCCCCTCAAAGTGAATTTTACTCACTGCAAATGAAAACTACGGGGGGGAAAAAAACACCACCACCTTCTAGGTAGGTGATAGCCCCATTTCACAGAAGTGGAAACTGAGACCCAGAGAAGTAAAGTTACCCTCCCAGGATCACACATGGTTCGAGGTAAAGTTTGGCCTCTTCTGCTGTGTAGCCTGGGCTCTTCCCTGGGATACAGGAACTGAAACGCTTCAAGACAGGGCCCTGCTTTGACTTTGATGTGCCCTTGGATAAGTTGTCAAGCTGTAGGGGTCACGGGTAAGGTGATGGTCCTGAATGGGTGATCACACGGAGGGCAAAGTGCTTTTTTAAAGGAAGCAATGCCCACTACTTGAACCCGTGTTGTCAGATACTAAATTTTCAAGAAAAACAGAAAAGCAGATTTTTATGTGAATTCTCCTAGTTTTTATTTTATTTAATTATTAATTTAATCCTCACCTGAGGATAGGTTTTATTGATTTTAGAGAGGAAAGGAAGGCTGGGGGGGGAAGGGGGTGGGGGGGGCAGGCATTGATGTGAGAGGAAAAACATCGATCAGTGGGTTGCCTCCTGTACACACCCCCAGCCAGGAATCGAACCTGCAGCCTATTGGTGCGTGGGATGACATTTCAACCAACTGAGCCCCCTGGCTAGGGTGAGTTCTCCTAGATTTTAAATTTTGGCCTCAATTCCATCAAAAAATAAAAACTCTACTTGGACCAAATAAATACAACTAAAAATACAAAAACTAGCCCATGGGTCACCTGTTGGTTACCAAACTACTCTTATCATTAATTTCGGTGCGTGAGCGAGGGGACAGTTTTTGCAGACTGTCCTCCCTCCACTGCTGACACATGGCCCCTCGTTGGCTGTCTTGGGCCTCTTCTCTCAGCTCCAAACAAGGAGCTAGACCCCGGAGGATTGTCACAGCCCGTTCTGTGCCTCTACAGTGATAATAAATAAGTTGTAAATAAGGTTGAGTTGGTGAGGCTAGGAGAGAGATGGAGGCTCTGATTCTTTTCTTCTAGATTCCGGTTTGGGTCTCTGCGCATTCCCATCTCCTCTTATCTCACAGAGGGTGTCTGCTTTGGGCTGATCACACGCAGCCGTCCTGGTAGTGACAAAAATGTGCCTTGCTCCTCTCTCAGTGCTGCTGACAGACAGTGGAAAGTGGTCAGAATGAGCACTTCTGCTTGCTTTTTTGGCTGCTGGGAGGTGTCCTTTCTTTCTCTGCATGAAGTGGGACCTTGGAAGTCGGACATTCTCGGAAAGCTTGGGTGGGTGCAGAGTGGGGGCTCGGTTTCCCAGAGGTTGTCGTGATTTTTAAAAAAAAAATTTTCGCCCGAGGATACAGAGAGAGAGAGAGAGAGAGAGAAAGAGAAAGAGAGAGATCAGTTGCCTGTTGTCCACATCCTGACCAGGGATCAAACCCACCACCCAGATGTGTGCCCTGACTGGGGATCAAACCTGCAACCTTTTGGTGCACAGGACAATGCTCCAACCAACTGAGTCACCCTGGCTAGCGCTTGATTTTTTTTTTTTTAAACAGTGAATGAAGTGAGGAAGATCTCTGTGTGGCTTTGATGGATGTGAGAGCATCTGCCACGGTTTCTTGTCTGAATATTTTTCCCTTGAAGGAGCTGCCATTTTGAGGCTCCTGGAAGTCCATCCGTCACAGTCTGCCGACAGCTTTTGAACAGAGGAATTTTTTTTTTAAATGAAAAAGAAGTGGTTATATTTCTCTCTTAAAAAGTTTATTTTTTTTAAAGTACTGAATGCACCTGGTCAGAGAAATTTCAAACTACAGAAAGATGTTTAATGAAAAGCCACGCTGGCTGCCACCTCTGGTCACCTGCCTCCGTACCGGCTCCTCACAGGTGACCTCTGTCACCTGCTTTTAGTCTCTGTGGAGAGCGCTCCTCGATGTCTACCAGTGGTTCTCAAATTGGAGGATTTTGTCCCCCAGAGGACATGGGGCAAAGTCTGGAGACACTTTTATTGCCACAACTGGGATGTGGGTGCTACCGGCCTCTAACGGGTAGAAGCCAGGGCTGCTGCTAAATGCCCTACATTGCGCAGGACAGCCCAGCCCTCCACTGCCATCTCCCCTGCCAGAGACCGGTCCAGCCCCAAGCATCAAAGTGCATTGAGAAACCCCATGAACACATATGTATTTATATCTATATTCCATTTCCTTCTTTCCTCCCCCACACCGATGCTAAAGTGTTCTGCTGACGGTTGCCTTTTGCATTAAACGGGCTGGCTGCCCATGTCAGCATGCAGAGATCTGCCACTGTTTTGTTTCAGCAGCTGCATTTTAATCCATTTCAGGGTGAACTTCAACTTATTTATCCAGGCACCTTCTTTATGGACTCTAGGTCGTTTTCCATTTTCTGCTGTTGAAAACAGCTGTGATAAAGACCCTTTTGTTCACATGGGAGTGTGTTTCCATCGGGGAAATTCCCAGAAGTGGAACCCTGGGTCAGGGGCCACGTGCCGTTGACATTTGGCGAGATACTGCCCCATTACCCTCCAAAGGGGCTGTTCTGATTTACGCTCCCTCCAGAAATGTGAGATCGTGCCTCTTTCTCTAGCGTGGGTATTTTTTTAAATCCCTGGTTTCCATTTATAGCCTGAGCTGTCTTCATATTAGCTGAAAAGTTCAAAATGTTGGCAGTACGTGTGGATTCTGAAGATAGTCCCGATATAGAAGGGCAGGGGTGGAAAGAGTCTCGATAAGCTGCTGTGAGCTAAATGAGACAGCAGCCCTTCACTTCTCCCTGTGGCGGAGGCGCGCCAAGCACAGCTGAATGTCCCAGAAAGGTAATTGCATTTGGCTAAACTGAAGGTCTGTCCCCAGGGACCTGATCCCAGCGCTCTGGCTTTTGGTGGTCTCTCATTAGAATAAACATTGCAGTAGTGCCTTGACTCGAGCAGCCTTATTTTGTAAAATGAGATACTTTACCATCTTTCCATTCCTCTCGATCACGAGGTGCAGGTCTCTTTCTCTGAACCCCCAAGGTTTGGAAGAGTGGTTCTGTTCACGCAGATAGGCCAGGGTGGCAGGCCAGGTCCCCCGTTGGGGTCGAAATTTCTCTTCCCAGGTGCATTCATTACAGGGTCAGGCAGATCATGAGGAGTTTTCTTTACTCGCCTTGGTCTGATACAGGGCTGTCACCCGTAGCTGTCAAAAGAATCCGCCAGGGGACTTTTCAAAGGCCAATGCCCAGGCCGTACCGCTGGCTATTTAATCCAGAGTTAATCCAGAGTCTCCGGGGATGGTGGCCAAGACATTAGGATTAAACAAAAAGAATTCTACAGGTCATTTCCTTGTGCAGCCAGGTTAATAGTCCCTCGGACCCCCATACAGGGGATGGCAGATTTTGCAGCCTGCATACCGCATCTGGCGCCCCTGCTTGTTTTTGTAAATAAAGTTTTATTGGAACACAGCCACACCCACTTGTTTACATACTGTTTCTTTTTGCTTTTGTACCAGATCCTGTGTGGTCCACAGAGTGTAGTTTACTCTTCGGCTCTTTAAAGAAAACGTTTGCTGATCCCTGGTATAGTAGTCGTGTTTTTAAGTAACTGCTATATGGAGTCTGTTAACCGTATAAGAACGCTACTTGAGAATATTGATGAGCATATAACTTGGGTAGCAGCCCTCTCCCCAACCCCACTTCATGGGAAGTATTTTTGTTGAGATACTTTTTTTAAGTATCTCAAATAAAATCTTTTTTAAAAAGAACTTATTTATTTTTAGAGAAGGGGAAGGAAGAGAGAGGGGGAGGGGGGTGGAGAGAAACATTGATGTGTGAGAGGAACATCGATTGGCTGCCTCTTGCATGCCCCCAACTGGGGACCTGACCTGCAACCCAGGCATGTGCCCCAGCTGGGAATCAAACCAGTGACCTTTCGGTTCATAGGCTGGCATTCTGTCCACTGAGCCATACCAGCCAGGGCAAGATAATTCTTTTCTAACTTACGCTTGAAAAGCCTGTCTTTTTTCTCTGGAACCCAGTATGCTTCCTCATTTTTAAAAAAATTTATTGATTTGAGAGAGAGAGAGAGAGAGAGAGAGAGAGAAACACTGATTTGCTGTTTCACTTATTTATATATTTATTGGTTGCTTCTTGTACGTGTCCTGACTAAGGATCAAACCCACAACTTGGTTGCTTCCCGGGGCCACCTCTTGTTTGCTGTTTTATCACTGCTTCCCTCTCTGTCTTCTCTTTATAAGGTTCTCCTCCAAGAAATTTGGACAGTCCTCCCCCTCCAAAGTGATTGTGTGTTCACGCCTGTGAGCTCCTTAGCATGTGCATGCGAATGCACACACGTAACATACATGTGCACACATGTATGCCTGCACACACCCTGATATGTTTTGTCATTCAAGAAAAGGCTCTAAAAAACACAGCAGGGTGTGTGTGTGCTGTCTCTGTTTCCTTAGACCATTCGTGTCTGGAACCTTCCTGGCCGCCAGCCCTGAGTGTGTTTTTGGGAAAAGGCCTTTCCTAATCTTACCTTATTGGAGGCCTCATTATGGTGATAAAATCAAGTCTGAGCAATTTGTTGCTCTGGTCACCTGTGAGTGTGCGGGGTGGGGCGTGTGGGAGGCCGCCTGTGGTCACTTGACAGGAACGAGTCTGGGCGTGCAGGGCAGCGTGGGGGAAGAGCCTTGCTCCAGGGGGAAGGAGAAGGTGCGTGAGTGAGTCCTCTTGGAAAACAAAACAAAATCGAAGGGAGAAAGTGCAGGCTTGGGACAGCTCTGGTGGTCCAGCTCTCAGCCTGCCGGGCCTTGGCCACCGCCTGGGGGTGGAGGCGGCCTCTGGGTGGGTATAGCAGGAAGACGGGTCAGGGTGTGAGCTCTCAGCTGGTGTGAACAGGCTCAAAGGTCGCTTCTCCTCTCTGTCCTTGTTTCGATGCCACAGGCTTTTGACTGGTCTTCTGGGATCAGCCCGGGCAGGGCAGATGCCCCCGTTCTCTGCCCGGGGTCGGTTGGAGGGGTGCCCGAGGTCGGCAGGCCCGGCGAAAGACGGCGTTCCTGCCTGCAAAGTCCCTTGGTGCTTTCAGGGCCTTCGCAGGCCCCTTCATTTTGTCCTCTTATGTTTCTGGGACCCTAGAGCAGGCAGCTGAGGCGGTAGGTGAGGAGGTAGGGAAGGAATTCAAGAAATGCAAACTCATGGAATCTGGTTCAGTTGGTCCCATAAAGAGCCCACGGCAGAAATTGGCAGGGGTGGCGGCAGTGGGGGAGGGGGAGGAAGGGGCGGGACCTTGGCCATCATCAGCAGTCAGAGACCCTTGCCTGGGATGAGGGTGAGCATCTCCTTTCCTGAGCCAGAAGACACAGATTTAATACCCAGGCATAATCTATTTACCTTCCCTCAAGGCTGTGAGCCAAAGGGAAGTACAGCGGGCTTGCTGGGAGGGAGGCCTGCCTCTTATTCGTCTTCCCTTCCTCTCTCATCCGAGCTCCAGGCTGGGCTGAATGAGACTGAAGAGTGAAGTCTCCGTGGTCAGTGAGGAGCCTGAACCCCCAGCTATCCTCTGAGGGGCTCGGCGTCTCTCTTGGCTACAAGCCCTCGCAGATCTGGGCCTGGAGTTCAAAGCACACTCTGGCCAGATTCGGTGTCACTTTATCTCTGAGATTGAGATTGAGCGTATTAGAGTAACCCTTGGCTTTCGAGATTCCCTAATGATGCTGAGTTCCACAGGCCGCCATCTGGCTGGGATTGTGCATTTTGAATACTGAAGGCGACCCAGGCGATTGTTTAGTAGACGGAGTAAACGTGCCAAATGTTTTCTCAGGCTATTATCTCCACGTCAGCCCATGTCATTGGGCAGATGATGCTGGGACAAATGACAAACGTGCAGATTTTTTCCCTCCTGTGTTCCAAAATGTGTGTTTGCGAGAAGGAAACTAAGTCATGAGAGTCGTTTGTTCACCCCTTTAATGCTCGGTCTTACAAGGGGGTGGCGGTGTCTTGCAGACCGCAGCAAGGCCGAGATGGACTTGAAGCAGCTGAGTGAGTCTGTGCAGCAGCAGTCGGCCCCCGTTCCTCTCATCTCTCCCAAGCGGCAGATTCGCAGCAGGTTCCAGCTCAACCTTGACAAGACGATAGAGAGTTGCAAAGCACAATTAGGTATGTCTTTGGTTTGCTTTCCTCCTCGTCGTGGTCATCGTCACCCGTAGGGATGCCACCCAGGTGAAATCAGAGTTGGATCCTGGCTGCTCTGAACCTAAGAGTTGTTTATTCAATTAAAAATATGTTTCCATTCCCGGCAGAATCTTTCAGAGTTGCTAGTTCATTGTTCACACAGGCTCTTTGCATTCCTCAGAGTTGATTCCTTGGTGGGGGCAGCCCGCAGGCTCGAGGTGCAGGTCGTGAGGTGCTTTAGAAGCAGAAAGGTCCTCCTGCCCTGCCCTCTGCACACCCCCCAGCACACATTAGTGTTTCGGCATCAGGGTCAAATGCGTCCCACAAGTGCCCAGCACAAACCCTTCTCCTCCACACGGGCTCCCCCACCCGGCAGACCCCCCCGCCCCGCTTCTGTGTCTGTTGCCTCCCTCCCTTTTCCCCCACGCTGCCTGCATTCATGCTGCCTACCTGAATCCTGTCCCTAAGGCTGAGCTCAGTGTCACCTCCTCCAGGACATCTCCTCTGACTGCTCTCCCCATCTGCCCACCCCCTTTGATACTGTATCGCTCGGAAGCAACCGTGGCCCATGGGTGTGGGGAAATCCCTCCCTCCCAACGAGACTGGAAGCTCATTGAGGGCAGGGAAGTTGCCTTCTAGGGATTTGCCTTCTCCAAGGTACTTGGTCTTGTGCACAATAGAATGCTCTGGAATATCAGTTGAATCAGTAAATAAAGCCAGAGGGCATTTATAAAGAAATAGGGGATGGTTGGGCCTAGGAGAGAGAACCCCTCCACGGTGAGATTTATGTGTCAGTGGTTGCTCTGGGCCTTTGGGTAAGAAGGGAGCTGTAGTTGGGAGTCACCTGGGCTGCCAGAGGAGCTTGGCGAGGACACTGAATGGCATGGATGACATCTTGCAGTCCATTTAAATATCTCTCTTGGGTCCTTCCACACAGTTGGTCTGACTCCTTGATTTATTGTTATTGTGAATAAGAATTTTAATATTCCCATTTACCGAGTGCTTCCTACGCACCCTGCACTGTGCTAAGTAAGCACTGCGCAGAGACTGTCCTGGGAGGTTGGTACTCTTATCAGTTGCATTTTGCAGATGAAGAAACTGAGGCTCAGAGAGGTAGGTCATGCACTCAGGGTTACACAGCCAATGAAAGCAGCGGAGCAGGATTCGAATGCCTGTCCTTTGGGCTCCAGCGCCCAAGCTTTTCTTAGCCCATGTATGGTCACGTGGTTATGCTCGTCCTCCTTATGTCTGACTATGAGCTATAGTAGCATAAGTCCGAGGAGTCAGACGTTACATCAGGTCTGGGTTTTTGTGTTTTGACGTCTCTTTTTGATCGAGCCCTGGTGGAGGCGGATGTAACCCACCAACGCTTCTGCTGGTGTCATGTGCCTGGGGCTGTTCACGGCTCTGTCCTTGGCGAGTTTGCCCTCACGGTATCTGGGTCAGGACAGTGACCCCACCCGTGGCTTCATCTCTCTAGAATGTACACAGTCCAAAGAGTTGATTGGGATTTTCTCTTTTCAAAATTTTAGGATCCAGTAGTAGTCCCCTGCCCGCCCCGTGGCTGGCAGCAGGAGGCAAGATGTGTAAACAGAACTGCTGTTGGAACGATGCTTTGCCCACAGTCATTTGTGTGTATGTGAAACACCTGTTATTTTGCTTTTTTCCCCTTCTGATAGGGACGTGGAAATATGTGTCTCTTCCGTGGGCTCCATTGCATGTGGACGAACAATGCAATGGCTGCCCACTCTCCATCACTGCAGACATGAGAGGGGGCAGGCCACGGGGTCACCTGGAGTCGGGGCTTCCCCACCTGAAGGGGCCAGTGGCTTCTGCGCCCCAGCCAGCCCAGTCGTTACCTTGCAGGTCTGTGACTCAGAGGGGCCACATCCGTACTCTCAGCAGAAGCCCCGCCCCCATCTTGATTTCTATGCAAAATTTCCTGACTTGTGAATTGGGCAACAAGTTGAAAATTCAAAAACAAGAGCCAACAACAAACTACCCTGTGAGCCAAGCCATGGCTTCCCAAGTCAGATGGGATGGCTGGCCAGGTGTGGCTTGTGGGCTGTGCATTTGCAGCCTCAGCTCTAAGACTTGGGTTTATTTCTTTGAGCCCTGGACACACAGGCAAAGGGCTTTAATGCTTTGGGGATGCGTGAGAACAGCACTGGGGTGAGTCAGGAGCCCAGGGTTCGGGTCTTGCCTCTGTCTTGGTTTTCTTTGTGTCCTAGGACAAGTGATTCCTCTGAGCCTCTATTTTCTACTCTGTAAAATGGATCAGTTTAAAAAAAAAGATTTTATTTATTTATTTTTAGAGAAAGGGGAAGGGAGAGTGTAAGAGAGGGTGAGAAACATCAGTGTGTGGTTGCCTCTCACACACGCCCAACCAAGGACCTGGCCTGCAGCCCAGACATGTGCCCTTGACTGGGAATCAAACTGGTGACCCTTTGTTTCGCAGGCTGGTGCTCAGTTCACTGAGCCACACCAGCCAGGGCTAAAATGGATCAGTTTTAATAGTTTATCTGTGGTGTCCCCTTCCGTCCCTCCCACTTTCCGTATCCCAGTTATCAGTATTGCAAAGATATAGCTCCAGATAAATTCAAAATTTATGTTGTTCGGCCCCATGTTGTCTTTGAAACCCTCTCCAAAGGCAAGTTCCATTTGTCAGCCGTCTTCGGTGGCAGCTTGAGTTCACCGTCATCCCACCAGGCCAGTGCGATGCAGTTTGAAATGTGTTTTTTTTTTTATTTCCAGCGTTTGGCGTGGAAAATGTTTGCGTTTTTGGTCCTGCTCTTTATTTTGTGACTACGCCACATGCTGGGTTTTCTTTTTGAATGTAGGCATAAATGAAATCTCGGAAGATGTTTACACGGCCGTGGAGCACAGCGATTCGGAGGACTCCGAGAAGTCAGATAGTAGCGATAGTGAGTATATCAGCGATGACGAGCAGAAGTCCAAGAACGAGCCGGAAGACGCAGAAGACAAAGAGGGTAGTCGGATGGACAAGGAGCTCTCTGCTGCCAAAAAAAAGCCCAAACTGGCAAACCCAGTGGAGATTAAAGAGGAGCTGAAAAGCCCATCGCCACCCGGCGAGAAAGCAGACCCAGACTTGGCCAAGGACAAGGCAAGCCCTCAGCCGGAGAAGGACTTTGCGGAGAAAGCCAAACCCTCGCCGCATCCCACGAAGGATAAGCCGAAGGGCAAAGATGAGATGGATTCCCCAACAGTCCATTTGGGCCTGGACTCTGATTCAGAGAGCGAACTTGTCATAGATTTAGGAGAAGACCATTCTGGGCGGGAGGGTCGGAAAAATAAGAAGGAACCCAAAGAACCATCTCCCAAGCAGGATGGTAAGTGACTGCGCCGGTTTCCACTTTGATTTGGTTTCTAATGCCACCCTTCCTTTGTATGATCAGAAGCTATTCGCCTGTCTGGCTCTAGGTCACTTAGCTGGTTATCTGATAGGGCCGGGGCTTAAACGGCCTGCCCACCTCTCGCCTGCTTGATACCCAGCTTGGTTGATTCTGAGCGCAGAAAGATAAGAATGTCTCCTGGAAAGTAGTGGTTGCTCTTGGCGGTCAAGATATTTTTAGCCTAAGCAGCTTCTTTCCAGGTACGTCCGTATGTTTTCCTAAAGTGCTTGGCAACATTTAGACATGTGACAGGGCTGAAATTGTTAGAGGTGTTCACTTCCAAGGTCTTGATAAGTTTTGCTTCCCTTTTTTCCCCTCATGCTGACCAGGCATCTCAAAATGCATTCTCTTAACAGAATAGGGGACCCGTTGGTTGGGTAGGTGGTCCCAGAGCAGCAGGTGCCCCTTGGGGCACTGCATACTATGCACTTGAATTGATATTCTCCCGTCTTTGCATTTAATCCACCTGACTCCAGGGTCCTTCAGCACTGGCACTACTGACATTTTGTGCTGGATAATTCTTTGTCCTGTGCCTTGGAGGATATTTAGCAGCATCCCTGGCCTCCCCCCTGCTGGATGCCAGTGGCACCTGCGCAGCGGTACCTGTCCAGCGGTGGCCATCAGAAGCGTCTTGACTTTGCCAGATGTGCCCTGGGAGGCAAAGGCTCCCCAGGGGAGGCTGCTGTCGGAGCGTTGGCCATGCCGGTGCTGCCACTCTTCTGGCGGGCCCAGCCGCGGCTGCCTCGGAGTCTGCCGTCGCCCGGCACATCCAAAACCCCGGAAGGAGCGTGCGAATGACTGGAAGGGTATCCTTCCCATTGATAGAGCAGTCAGCACGTTTTCCGGTTGGTTTGGCAAGTGGACAATGAGGGGCTTCCAGCCTGCCCAGGAATGGTCAGGAGGAGTTAATGAGGGCCCAGGAGAAACATTCATTGCCTAAGGAAAAATTGGAGGTTGTAGCCGTAAACCCTTATGTCCCTGGTGAGTAACTGAAGGGGTCACCAGGTTTACGTTTTGACTGCTTAATTTCTGATAGGAGCTCCCTTCCGAACCATACCCTTGAGTAAGAGGGGGAGTCTATGCTCCTGGGGATTCCTCAGTCTGGCTGCTTGAAAGGTACATCTTGGGAATCTTTGCTCTGTGGTTATGTCAGCCCGAGCTGCTCTGGGCCCTCCACCCTGCACGACATTCAAACAGGTCGAAATGTCTCTGGATGGTGCGATGGAGGGAGAGAGGGCCATTGAGTGGGACTGAAGGACAGAGGGGCCGCCGCACCATCCTAGGGTCTTCTCTTAGCCTTACGGATGGTCCCTGAAAAACGCGCTCATGTTGCAGGACCGCCTCTGATGTTTCAGAGAACAATAGGAATAGCGCTCGTTCCATTTGGGGGGCTACTTGGGTGCAGCTGAGAGTGCTCCTGTAAATGATAAATTTATGCCGATTCTTTCTGGAACAGACCTTTTCATTGATTGGTTTTATGCCTGTTCCTCTTCCTGAAAGGATTTACAGCAGATGGACAAGAATTACATAATCATGAGACAAAATGCAAATGAAATCAGAATAGGGAGAGGTTTGGGGAAAGTTTATACACAGAAGTCCATACTGTTTCAGTCTTCAGAGTTAGTAGAATTAGGCTTCCGCTTTTGGCTGTGAGCTTCCCAGCATTCAAAGCAAAAAGGGAAACACAGTCCTGTAAAAGATGTTATATTTTCCAAAAAAATTTTAAAAATACTCAATTACTTAAATGAAGTAGAGCTCTTCCTTGCACTGCTCTCTGAGGGAAATTTCTCCAGGAGACCCTGAGTGGAGGATTAAGCTGAAGATGGTTCTAGAACATAATTCAGTTAGAGCAGACTCGTAGCGGTTGGTTGAGGCACAACCGACTAGTCTTAAATCCGTAACCCCTGACGATGGTTTGGGCCTTGAATTGGCTTCGTGTTGGATGGACCCTACAGTAGAGAGAGCATCTTTTCAGGGAAGGGCCGTTACTTACAAATTTACTAAGTGAAGGGCATTGTGGAAGGTGCAGTGGTGACCTCCAACTTACCTTCAGCTGGGAACGGGGCTTCTGTGTGGAACATGAATCTTGAGATACGAGAACAGCTTTTGTAGCTAGTGAGTGCAGAACAGAGGCAAAGGGAGCTCGCTTAGACACCTTTGCTCTGCCCATAACCCCAGGAATTTCTGTCCTTCTCTTAAAAGGTCCTCCTTTATGTACAAGACAGTGACCGAACTCTGGAATAAGTAGATTAGTTTGATGGGGCAGCTTCTGGCATGCTGGCCATTAAGAAATTCGCCCTTTGTTGGGCTGTAGGTGATTGATCAGCCACTTGAATTTCTAGGACAAATGGAATTTTCCATAGCCTTTTTTCTTCTCTATAAACCATCAGAATCCCCTAGACTAGAAATTAAAATATTTTAGTCTCCAAATGATAATCCTCGAAGAGCACTTCGAGGCCAGGCGTGATTCCTGCAGAGCTTTAGCCCAATATACAAAGACTGCTGTTTGCTGTTACAAATCTAGAGAAAAAGACCTTTCTGTGCTTGCCCTTTGTGCGGGGGTGGGTGGGGGGTGGGATCAGGCTAGCTAATCAACAGTAACAATGTATTTTTTGGTAACCTGGCAGAAGAGAGGGATGCATGGAAGGTACTTCTGCAGATTGCAAATCCTGCTGGCTCACTGCCCCATGTGGGCCCTTAGAAGGGCCGAGGTCAAAGTACCCGTGTCCCCTGAAGGGAGGCGGGGGCCCTATCCAGTGTCTGGCAGGTTGCCCTGGGAAAGGATTAGGGCTCCTCAGTGCAGAAAGGGCTCCCCTTCCAACCCTACCCGGGGCTCTTGCCCTTGAACTTGGCTGAACTCTCCTCTCCAGAGGAGCAGGAGGGCCAGCCAGATGTGGTAACCACCAAGAAAGCCCCCCAGTTAGAAAAGTCAGCTTATCTTTTCTCACTTTCCTTGGGGATCTAAAAACCCACAGCTCACTGAAAAATCTTCCCTGGAATAATCAAGCGCATGTCTTTTCCAGGTCAATAACCCTAGAAAGGCTGGCAGGGTCCTTATGAAAGGAGTTTGACGTTCAGGCACATGGTCAGCGGAGTGCTGACTCGCACCTGTGTGTTGAGGGGGATCCTTGGGGACTCCTCTCTGGGGAGAGGCTCACCCCCCAGCAGTGGCTGGGGCCTCTGCCGAGACAACCGACACCCCCTTTCACAGAGGGCCCCTTCCACTGTGCTCCGTGCTTCTGGCTCTAACCTGCCTTCTGGCCACTCCTTACTGCCTGTCCTCACTTACCGAAATGCGATGCTCCCTATTCCTCAGTGCGTCTTGGCTAATGCTGCTCCCCCATGCCCCAAAATCTCACCTCTGCCTCTTGAAGTCCTACCTTCTACCCCCATAGTCCAGCTGTTCCCAGAAGACGTACTCCATAAAGCAGCTTTTCTTTCCAAATTTGAGGCAAATTTGTTATTTTTGCCATTCCCAAATCCTGCTTGTATAATTACTGACTTAATATTTTTATTTGAAGCAAGCTACTCTTTCAAAAAAAAGAAATTAAATCTATTTTAGACTTAAACGTGACCACCACACAATAGGAAAGCAGTATTGTGTGCTGGGCTAAAGTATGAGGCAGGAATAAATGTAATTCCAAGCAAGAACGAGGTTCCCACATTCTAGATAAATACCACTGTGCTGGGAAGGTTCTGGTCTTGGGGCGGGATTCCCGTTAGTGTTAGGTGCCTTGGCTCCACCTTGCTGGAGGGACTCAGAAGAGGTGAAAAGGATACTTTTGTTTCTGAATATCTGATCGATTAAATGTTACTCTCTGTTTTGGCCCCAGAAGCCATCTGGGTCTTCCAGGTACCTGCTTTATCTAGCCAAAGGGTTCCTCTTCATCTCTGGATTAATTCCGGCTGGGTGTTTCTCAGTGTCTGCCCAGTTCTAACTTCGGGAAACAGGACCCTTGGGGTGATTCTCTTCATCCACCCCCTCACCTACGAGTTGATGGACAACTCGAAGGCAGGGCCTGGGTCTGGTTCACCTGTTTCCCCCAGGGTTCTTGACCGTACTTGGGTCTCAGATGTGAGCAACCTCCCTCATGAAAGGAGGCCTGTGCTTTGGGATAGAAGGTGCTAAGGAAGGAAGGCAAGAATGTCTTCCTTGGCGCATACTTGGGAACTGAATTTGTTTGGCCTTCCTGGCTTTCGGTTGTTTTCCCCAGAACCCACTGGCATAGAGACCCTGCTGACAAACCTGAGTCCAGTGACTTTCTGTTTGTTTTTTCCATGCATTGGCTTTAGTTGTAGCTAAAGCCCCGCCACTGTCCACTACGGCAGGCAGCCAGTCTCCCCCCGAAACGCCGGTCCTCACCCGCTCGTCCTCCCAAACTCCCACGGCTGGGGTCACGGCCACCACCAGCACCACGTCCACGGTCACGGCCCCGGCCGCCACCGCCACAGGAAGCCCAGTGAAAAAGCAGAGGCCGCTTTTACCGAAGGAGACTGCCCCGGCCGTGCAGCGGGTCGTGTGGAACTCATCAAGTAAGTTTCAAACGTCCTCCCAAAAGTGGCACATGCAGAAGATGCAGCGCCAGCAGCAGCAGCCGCAAAGCCAGCAGCAGCAGCCTCAGTCTTCCCAGGGGACGAGATATCAGACCAGACAGGCTGTGAAAGGTACCGAGCCTCCCTTCTGTTCTCCGTGGCACCCGCGCCCTTTTTGCCACATCGACAGGAGAAAAAAAAACCAAAACCATTGTTTTATTTTTTTTCAGTTCCTGTTTGTTTCCTGGCCGTCATATGCTGAAGGCCGTACACATTCCACTTGGCATTATTTTTAAAAAATTGTTTTGCAACTCGATTTTTTACTTTTATTTTATTTTTTTTTAATTTTACAAACAATACGTTGTGTAGATTCTCCTTAGAAAGGGGGCAAGATACTTGCACAAAAGTCTATTGTCCCGATGGATCAGCCTTTCATTTTATGCTTCTCCTTTCTCAGCGGCCGCTGTTAACTGTAAAACCTTTTTTATGCATGTATGCATATATATTTACATATATATGACTTCATGAAAATACTACTTTTTTTTCCTTTTTTCTTTTTTAAAACATAAAAATGGTACCATTTTTTTTTTACCCATCAGCATGGTTTGGAGGTCCGTCCGTGTCCGCCCATAATAGCTCAACCTTATTCTTTTTGACTGCTGCGTAGTATTCCATACTTTACTGAAAGCATTCCCCTACTGATGGGCATTTAGGTTGCTTCCAGTTTTTTCCTGTTGTAAGCAGTGCTGCAGTGCATCCCTGTGTGTAAGTTTCCTGTGCACACTGGCAAACCTTTCGGCATTATTTTGGAAAGAGTACAGTGAGAAGTTGGCAGCAGAGGCTACCTTAATTAGTAGGGATTAGCCACGTCCATGCCAAGAGCCAGCCTCGGGAACCAGTTGCCAAAGTTACAGGATCAAAATACCCTCCAGCCATGCAGGGGGCTCCACGCAGAGCTGATGAAAGGGCGAATGAAGTGTTCATTGGGCGGGTACCCGTGTGCCCAGCTTGTGAGCACTGGCATAGATCTTATTCCACGGGGAACCTGCATCTATACCCTTGAAAGCTGGGCTCCTTGGCGGAAACTCTGGTGTAGTGTGTGCGCCCCAGTGGGTAGGACTCTTACGAGCAGCATCAGGACAGGAGGTTGAAGGCAGCTGGATCTTGCCTTGGGCCTCCCAGTGAAAGCCTTCAAAGATTGGGGGGCAGGAAGACCCGAAGGCTGGGCAGGTAAAGCCTGGGGTCAGCTGGGCTGCTCTCCCTTACTTGGAAGAGTTGGTGGTCCAGAACCTAAACAAGGGGTTTTGAGACGGGGACGAACAGCCCCAGGTTTCCGTCTTCATACTGTGTCAGCAGGACCAGCCTCCCCAGGGGAAGGCAGGCAAGAAGCGGCTCCTTGATGGTATGGTTCTCAGTGTCCATGCTGTCTGTGTTGGAGATGAACAAAGCTGGCCACTAGTGAATGTGGCAAGGGACAGAATTTGAATCAGTAATTTACTGTCGCAATAGGGGGAACAGTCCATTGTGAACTGAAGACACTTTGGTTTGTACAGAGGTGACTGGGCATTTAAAGGGAGCAGGAGGGGTAGGGAGGGGGCCACGGGGACTCAGTGGAGTCAGGGAGGTGAAAATGTACAGCAAGTGGGAGGCGGGGGTCGGTCGGTGTGAAACCCTTCTGGGTTTGCTCACGGGTGCTTTAAGTTAGGCTCCTGCCTTCCCACAGACGTTGGGAGAAAGGTGCCCATCTCTGGATGTTGGCTGGAACAGGCCAGTTACTTTGGGGGCCTTGCGTTTTCTCAGGCAGGCACTTGAAGGGAGGCTGGGGTCACCCTAGGGACGTCGCCTTGAGCTGTTAACGCGATGTTAGTGTTTGTTTAAGCCTTTATAGGCCAAGTGTGAGGATTAATCAAGAAAGGGCTCAGAGGGGCCTGGCCAGCGTTTGGTTAAGGAGAGTCCCCGTCACTGGAAAGTAGAAAAGCTCGCGCGGTGTTTGCTGGGTTTCACGCCCTCATCACCACTCCGCGTTGGGAACAGGCCTTGCCCGTGGCCGTGGGTGACCGCGGCCCTTTGTTTCCCCAGCTGTCCAGCAGAAGGAGATCACACAGAGCCCGTCTACGTCCACCATCACCCTGGTGACCACCACTCAGTCGTCGCCCCTGGTCACCAGCTCGGGGTCCACAAGCACCCTCGCGTCGTCCGTCAGCGCAGACCTCCCCATCGCGACGGCCTCGGCCGATGTCGCCGCGGACATCGCCAAGTACACGAGCAAAGTGAGTGCCAGTGGGGGTCTGGGGGGACGTCAGGGACCAGCTTCCTGATGGAAACCCTTCCGGCCATGACCTCACAGGTTTTTAGGGGCTGTTTCGGGGGGGAAGACCCTGTTTTTACTGAGGAGCTCCATACCTAGATGCTTCCATTTGGGTCTGAAGTTGCGTCTAAGTAGAGGAATGTAGACTAGACTGAGTCTTACCCCACGAGGGCTTAGATTCTGAAGTTAGGACCTACAGGAAGATGGATGACATCAAATCAAAATGACCCTTCAGAATTCAAGTCACTTACGGTAGATTTTCTCTAAGTGCTGGAATAAATTTCTGTTCCTTCAGTTAACAACAGACGTTGGTTGGTTTTGCCTTTAGAGGCCACGTGGAACCAAGGGACAGGGGCTCACATGTGGGACCTAACAAGCCCGCACCTAGATCTTTCCAGGAACCAAGATGGACTGGGGAGGAATGGACTCCCCCCACCAACTGCCTGCCGAGCCCCGCGGCCTGCATCACCCCGGCCCTGCGGCATCGTCCTTGCTGAGCAGGGTGGTGGGCAGGCTTCCCATTGTGTTCACTTGTGGTTCGTTCTTTTTCTCTCTGGATTTGCCTAGTGCTTTTATGCTCTCATTGAATTTGGACAAATGAGTTGGAGGTCACAGTGACACCTGAGTGTGCCCTGAAGCGCCGTGCAGGTACATTTCAATAGACCAGTCGGTAGTCAGGGCACCTGTCAGTGTGCCATCCCCGTAGTGACAGGACTTGGTCTGCCCCGCTCACGGCCAGGGCCTGAGCGGGCCAGGCACACAGGAGGTGGCGGATGCAGCGTTGTTGGATGAATGCGTGTTGTTCCCTAACTCTTGTCACGGGTGTCTTACCATCAGTAACTATTAATAGTAGCTAATGAGTAATAATCTCTTAAGTATTTAGTAAGTTACTCAGTAGGTAATAATAATTTACTCTTTAAGACTGAATAAATTACTAGTTAGTTACTAATAAGTAAACTCAAGTGTATAGAGAGAATGGGTGAAAATACTTAGGAATAGTTTTTCATTTGTGATACAAAGAGTTGCTATTATATTGTGTTAAAAGTAGACTCTTTTTTTAGTTCTGGATGGCATGAGATACACACACATATCATGTTTTACCAATGAGTTTTCGTTGGTCATTAAAAACACATTCTGGGTATCCAGATGTGTTAGTTACCTGTTGCTGCATAATGAATTACTGCCAGATGTAGCGACTTCAGACAACACAGGCTTCTTAACTCCCAGTGTCTGTGGGGCAAGCTCAGCCCGGTCCACGGCCTCAGAGCCTCTGGCTGACCGCAGTTCTGGTGTCTCCTAGGGCTGGGGGAGATTTGACAGGGGAGGGACCCACTTCCTCGGCTCCCAGCTGACTGCGGCCTGGAGGCCTCTCTCGTTCCGTGCTGTGTTGGCCTCCTCAACCTGGCAGCCTGCTTCCTCAAGGCCAGGGAAAGAGAAAGCCTGCTAGCAAGACGGAAGTTACCAACTAACGTAGCATGGCCACCTTCACCATATCCCGTTGGTAGAAGCAGGTCACTGGGCCAGCCATCTTAGCATCTGTCTGTTGCTAAGATGATGCTCGCAGTAGCTTAGGTTGGCTCGGCTTTCACTCTGGGCCATGCACTGTTCTAAGTGCTTTTTGCATGTCACCTACTCAGTCTTAATGGTAAGTCAATGAGGTGTTGGTATTGTTATTGCCCCCATTTTATAGATGAGGAAACTGAGGCCCCCATGAGGCTGTGCATCTTGTCTAGGGTCACATAGTCAGTGAATGATTGCACTGGGATTTGAATGGTATTAGCCAGGACCCAGACGGTGGCTTTGAGCTGGTTGGTGAATTCTCACGCAGCCTGCTGATGACAGATGCCCGGTGCCCACAAGGTGATCGTTCTTGCACATGGCTTTTTAAAGCTGACCTACTTAAGACGTGATGCGGCTAAAGAGATCATCAGAACCTAGTCTTAGGGATCACTTTGTCTCTTCTTTAGTATGCCTGTCCCCCTTTTCAGTAAAATGCATGCATTGTGATAGAGCCCCCAAACTTCACAATAGGAAGGAAGATTCAAATGTCAGTTATTTTTGGCCATCCTCGATTTTTGTCTTACCCGTTTAATCACCTAACTAGTATTGACTTACTGTTTTTATTTAAATTACATTTCATTTGAATGGAGTTAAAATTAAGTTTAACCTTACCAGATACTGTTCCTTGTCCATTCTTTCTGTTTAAAGGAGAGATTGTCATCAAAGTGTTAAAGACATAATGGCACCAAACTGAGACATAACCATCTGCAGGATTTCAAGGGAATTGAAAGGGGAGTAATTTTTTCATTACTAATTTAAGAAGATGCCTGGAATTGCCTAAATGGTCTCTTGTCCTGCTTGTAATTGACCCTTGTATCATCTTCCATCGATCTGGTCCAAGCTGTCTACTGACAGATGAGAAAACAGGCCTGGATCTGGCCGGGGTGCCCGCCCAGCCAGCTCCTGCAACCGCTTTTATTGTTACCTTCTGCCTCCCCTTCTGCTGGAGCAAAACGGAGGCGTGAATTTTCGGATAGCCGTTTCCTTTGCTCTTAAGAAAATGAACACAGTGACGTCTTTGCGGAGCCGATGAACTTCCCCGTCTCCGAGGTGACCCCGAGCGGAAGGCCCAGATCTATGTGTTTTGGCAGAAGGGCGCTCTTGATTAACGTTGGGTTCTTGGCTATATTTGGAAGTAGGAGTGAAAGCCAGTCCACGGATTCATGGTTTCTTTAGACTGGAATGCAACCGTGGTGTTAGGAACGTATTGAATTTCATCCATTTTCTCAAGTTTTCATGTAAAGCAGTTTCATTTTCATATTGTAAATTGACGTGGACGGTGCGGTGGGTGAGGGGGGCCGCGTGGAGTGGCCGGCCGTAGAGCTGCACGAAGCTCAGTGTTTCTCCTCGCAGCGCCTCACTGCGTGGGGAGTGACAATCTCAACAAGATATTTTATCCATCTTCCCCCTCCCACTTCTGGGTGGAGTTGGGGTTGCTCTTTTGGGGGCTGCCAGCATTTTCATCATTACGTGTTCTTGTGGGTTTATTTGTCTATAAAAATCAGATGAACAGGTACTTCTTTGTGAACGCCTGCTCTGTGGCAGACACTGAACCACAGGCTGCATGTAGTTTTCTCATTCAATCCTGTGCACGCCCTGCAGGGGGCACTGTTACTATCCTCATTTTCTACACGGGGACACCGAGGCTCAGAGAGGGTGTGGGTAGTATGAGGTAGTGGTGGGGACAGATCTCGGGCACCAGATGTGAGGGTGCTCTTTGTCCTGCCTTCAAGCTGCGGAACAGGGGAGACTCGGCTGCAGCCAGGCCAGGTCTTGTTTGTTCTTCTGCCTTCTCGCTTGTTCTTCTGCCCTCTCCTCTTTCTCCTGTGATGTGGATGGGGCCCAGCGGCCACGTAGGGGGAGGTAGGAGAGAACTTCATCCTGCAAAGTTGTGTGGTCATCTTGTCCCTGGGTGCTTGCTGTGGACCTGAGCTGGTGTCACAGACTTGCTGATGCCTTCATATGTCAGAGAGTTAAAAAACTGGAAGGGCAGTTTCCTGCTCACAGGCATTAAAATCACGTACCAGCCCTGGCCGGTGAGGCTCAGTGGATTGAGCGCTGGCTTGTGAATTAAAGGGTCACTGGTTCGATTCCCAGTCAGGGCACATGCCTGGGTGGTGGGCCAGGTCCCCAGGCGGAGGCTGGTGAGAGGCAACCGATTGATGTATCTCTCGCACATTGATGTTTCTCTTCTCTCCCTCTGTCTCCCTCCCTTCCCATCTCTCTAAAAAATAAATTTAAAAAATCGCACACCAGCTACACCCACAGAGTGGAATATTATTGGTCCATAAAAAGGCACGAAGGACTGATAGACGCTTGAGAACAGATAAACCTTGAGGACAGCAGAGGACCACATGTCGTATGATTCCACGTGTATGAAATCTCTGGATTACGCTAATCCGTGCAGATAGAAAGCAGCTGAGTGGTTGTCAGGAGTGGGGGGCGATGGGGATCTTTGGGAGTGTGAAGGCTAAGGGGGACTGGAGTGTCTCTTTAGGGTAATGAAAAGCTTCTGGAATTGATTGTGGTGATGGAAGTAGAACATGAATATGCTAAGAGCCATTGAATTGTACACTGTAAATGGGGGAATTGTAGGGGATACCAATGATCTCTCAATAAAACGATGATTTTTTTAAGGGGAAAGGATTGAGGAACAATGGCAACAAAAGAAAACAATTTCTCCCTCGAACCCACTGCGCTGGCCGCGCCGAACACACCTGCAGTCTGGGGGCCAAGCTCAGCCTCTTCAGCCTGGCCCGTGGCTGTAGACACTAGCTCTGTGGCTGTGAACGTCTCCCGGAAACCTTGCGGCTTGTCCCTATTCTGGTTTATATCAGGGTTTCTCGGCCTCAGCACTCGTGCCATTTTGGACTGGAAAATTCTGTGTTGTGGGGGCCGTTCTGTGCACCCTAGATGTTTACAGCATCCCTGGCTTCTACCTACTAGATGCCAGTAGCAACCCCCACCTCCGACCCCTCCCCCACCAGCCATGCGCCCCCAGCTGAGACCTGTGGCTTCACGCAGGTAGAGTTTAGAGGTGTGTTATCTAGAAAAGCCTCAGGGACGTGATCGCCCGAATTGTTTCTCTTTTTATCTTTCAGATGATGGATGCAATAAAAGGAACGATGACAGAAATATACAACGACCTTTCTAAAAACACTACTGGAAGCACAATAGCTGAGGTCAGAGGTGACATGTGAACTCACTATTTGGTATGAGTGTTTCATGGGCGCTGTGGGATGGCACATGAATCAGCGCCTCTGGACACCCCTCCGGGGGCCTGGCTCCGGGCGCCAGGCTCGCTCAGCCGATGGGGGTGGTTGGAGAGGGGGTTTCTTGTTGAGCCGGAAGGCTGAGGTACTGTGGGGACACATCCTGGTGTGCAGGATCAGTTCCTTTTTCATAAAACAGCCCAGACCAAGAGCCCGAGTTAACCCGCTGGTGAAACTGGAAACGAGGTCTTTGTGCTCCATGTGAAACTGCCTCCTTGGTCTTCTCTGGGAGATGGGACTTGTTTTATACAAACGACCCTTGTTGTCTCAGAATTGTGTCCTGAGCCTCCACACTTTGTGCGATGGAGACTTGCAGGAATCCCGTGCAAAGCCACTGACCCGTGAGGGCCTGGCAGAGCTGGGCTAGCTCTCAGGGGAGTGGGAGAGAATCTTCAGGAAGGTGTCCTAGGAAGCCTTCAACAGAGAGCGGTGTGAATAAAAGGCTTATGAGAGGTCCCACGAGGAATCAGTGAATTGCTTTGATGTTTTTGCTAAAACGATGCTCTTTCCGATGATGCTGGGACATCCAACAAGAGGGGACAATGTTGCTTTAGAAAAACCTCCCCACCCCCAAACCGCCCATGGTACTTCATTCTTGTTCATTGTTTTTTTTAACATATAATCATTTTTTAAAAAGATTTTATTTTATTTTTAGACAGAGGGGAAGGTAGGAGGAGAGACAGAGAAACATGAATGTGTGATTGCCACTAGTGCGCCCCCTACTGGGGACCTGGCCCGCAACCCAGACATGTGCCCTGACTGGGAATCGGACCAACGACCCTTTGGTTCGCAGGCCGGCGCTCAGGCCACTGAGCCACACCAGCTGGGGCTAATTATTTTTCATTTACATTTGACCGCCATTATTATATTAATTTCAGGTGTATACGCCCAGTGATTGGACACCACATAACTTACTAGTATTCATCCCAGCAAATCCTGTACCCATCTTATCCCATGCATAGTTTTTACAACATTATTGATTATATTCCCTATGCTCTGCTTTACGTCCCTTGACCAGTCTGTAATAACCAGTTTGTACTTAATCCATTCACCTTTTTCACCCATTCTCCTAACCCCCCTTCCATCTGGCAGCTGACAAAATGTTCTCTGTATCTATGAATCTGTTTCTGTCCTGCTTGTTTGTTGATTTTTTTTAAGATTCAATTGTTGATAGATATGTATTTATTGCCATTTTTTTGTTCATATTTTTAATTTTTTTTTCTTCTTAAAGAAGACCCTTTAACATTTCATCTAGTACTGGTTTGGTGATAATGAACTACTTTAGCTTTTTATTGTCTGGGAAGCCCTTTATCTTGCCTTCTATTCTAAATGACAGCTTTGCTGGGTAGAGTGTTCTTAGTTGTGTGCCTTGCTTTTCATCACTTCGAATGTTTCTTGCCAATCCCTTTGGCCTGCCAAGTTTCTATTGAGAAATCACCTGGGAGTCTCATGAAAGCTCCCTTGTAGGTAACTGCTTTTCTCTTGCTACTTTTAAGATTCTCTCTTTGTCTATAAACTTTTGCATTTTGATGGGACCCTCTGAACTTCCTGGAGTTGCATGTCTATTTAGTTCACCAAGTTAGGGAAGTTTTCTGTCATTATTTTTTTATATAGGTTTTCAGTTTCTTGCAGCCAGTGAGAGGTCAAGCTTCAGGGAATCTGTTGGTGAGTGGTGCCCAGGCCTGCCTTTTAAGTCTGACGCTGACTCTTCTGTTGCAGATTCGCAGGCTGAGGATTGAGATAGAGAAGCTTCAGTGGCTACACCAGCAAGAGCTCTCCGAGATGAAACACAACTTGGGTAAGGCCTGGCGAATTGGTGTGTACCGAGCAAGGTTTGGGATGTGACCTTCTCTGCTCCCTGGAGTGAGGTGCAGATGTGAATTCAGTCAAATGTGGGCTGGGGTAGTACCGCCCCTGGGGAGACCACAGACTCCTGGGGAGTCCAACCTGGAGAGACCAAGCATTAAAGTGCAGTCGTACCTGAGCACTCATCGCTTTCAGCACTTGTTCCTGGCTCGGTGCTCGTTGGTTTTGGCACTCGTCACGAGTTCCGGAATGGATCGACAAGTATTCAGGTACCACTGTACCTCCTTTCTTCTCTGCAAAATACCAACATCAGCAACAAAGTAATAGTAACAACAGTGCTAGCAGCTCCTACATATTAAACAGTTTACTTTGTGCTTTTTTGTGAATTAACCCATTTCATTCTTACAGAAACTTATGGTAAAGGGCTTTCCTGCCCCAGTGTTCAGGCGAAACAGAGTTGCAGACCTGTTAGGGAAGTTATATAGAATCATGGAGCCATGATGCAAGTCCAGCCTTTCCCCCCTTAACCATTGAACATTGAGTATTTTAGCAAAGGCTGCAATGCTGTGTGCACCCCACACTGTGAACAAAGCTCCTTTGTCCCCGGAATAGATTGACTGCTGTTTTACCTACCATTTGGTGTGAATATTGTTAAAGGCTTTCCCCGCAAAGGTAGAGCAGGTTTCAGATAATATCACATAATGTCAGCCTCAGACAGTGTCACGTGATGTCAGCCTCAGAGTCAAGATGCTGGAAACCGCAGGCCGTCCTGGCTGGGAGGCACACCCAGCCGTGCCCACCGCTCGCCGGGGGCAGATGCTGACCTCATGCGGTGCAAACTCAAACCCCGACGGCACGAGCCGGAGGAGGAACCCCCGGCTCTGTAGCTTGTTGCCGTTCAGGAAGTTTATTCAGACGTTGCTGCTATTTTCTAGTCAATTTCAACAGTATTTCTATGCAGGGTCTCTCCAGTTTTAAATAATGACTGCACACTGGGGGGAAAACCACACGTGGCCTGGCCAGAGCCGGCCTTGGCATCCAGGCTCCTGGTTAACGCCACTGTGAGTGACGGAAGGGTGTCTGGCCAGAAGTGTTGTCTTCTTTACAAGGGGTTAACTTTTTTTCCTGGTCTGCTTTGGAAAGGTCCCTTTTTAATTTCAGAAAGAGGGTTTTAAGGAGTTGAGGAAGAATTTATTTTAGTGTGCAGGTCGCTCCCTGGTGAATTGCAAATGGATTTAAATTGCCTGAAGTAAAATTGGAGAAACCTCTGTCGACTGAGCAGTTCAATGTCCTTTTAACATTCATGTGCAACCACAGTGCCCTGCCTGGTAGATTTCTTTGTTGCCATTGACCACATTGAAAAGAAAGCCTGGCTGAGTTCTGGTCCCAGCTCTGCCCTAGTTGTTCGCCGTGTGTCCCAGTTTCCTCATCTACGAAAAAGGTGTTGTAGTACTTGGTGCTTAGGATTGGTATATTGACTAAATGAGTTAATATTTAAAGGGCTTAGAACAGTAAATATAGCAGGTGCTGTTTAAATATCCGGTAGAAGAAAAGGCTTGTACTCGTGATAAAATTCAGAGTTCACTGGCACTCGTTTTGAGGGTTAATGGGAAGGCTTCCCACAGAACCACTGTGGGGCTCTCGTTCCCGCTCTGTCGTTCCTGAGCTGTTAATGCTGCTGCCACTGTCGTATATAACGAAGCCTCTCTGTCAGGCCAGTGCCCGTTTTACAGGTGAAGACATTGGGGCTTTGGAGGGTGGGCACACAGCCAGGGCATCTCTGAGTCAGAATTCGCCTCTGATGCGGCCTGAACAGCCCCACGCCCGGGCCTGGGGACAGGCGGTGAGGCCAGCGTCCTCTCCCTCCTTCCGGCAGAGCTGACGATGGCGGAGATGCGGCAGAGCCTGGAGCAGGAGCGCGACCGGCTCATTGCCGAGGTGAAGAAGCAGCTGGAGCTGGAGAAGCAGCAGGCAGTGGACGAGACCAAGAAGAAGCAGTGGTGCGCCAACTGCAAGAAAGAGGCCATTTTCTACTGCTGCTGGAACACCAGCTACTGCGACTACCCCTGCCAGCAGGCCCACTGGCCTGAGCACATGAAGTCCTGTACCCAGTCAGGTACCGCCATGCAGGGCGTCTCTGGCCCCGGCTGCAGCGGGGGCCGCAGGGCCGGGGGTGCGGGGGGCGCCTGATGCGGTGGGGGCGGCTTGCCCCGCTCCTCGCCGCTCGCGCGCGCGCTCGCTCTCTCTCTCTCTCTCTCTCTCTCTCTCTCTCACACACACACACACACACACACACACACACACACACCCCCACCCCCACCCCTTTGTGCTCTTTGCCAAAGTTTGGGGCGTGTCACAACAACCCAGGGGATTTTAGTTTCATGTGAATTGCAGTGGCTCTCAGCTGGGGACAGTTTTCGTGTCCTACCCCCCAAGAAATTGGCAACGACTGCAGACATTTGCGGTGGTTATAACAGAGGAGGTGCTATTGGCGTCTAGAAGGGAGAGGCCGGGGTGCTGCTGCCCACAGCGGAGGATGATCGGGCCCCGTGTGTCCGTGGTACTGAAGTGGAGAAACCCTTTCTCGGAAATCCTGGATGCGAGGCTTTAAATAAGGACTCCTAGTTCTGATGTGAAGGAAAAGTCTTAGTGTGGAACGAGTCCATTCTTGTCATCTCTTTCTAACACAGAGCAAGTGCGCCTCAGACCAGGAGATTGTAGCAGGAGACACTGTCCAGTTAGAATTTATTGATATTTTAAAAGTAATCTTTACAGCCTGCTTTTTCTTATGGCCAATAATATTAGCTTTATGTGCTCAGAATTAAAATCTCCATTTTGAAGGACTTATTTAAAGAAAAGTAACATAAATAATATGACAAGGTAGTATGTCTGTAGATTGGCAGCATTTTCAAAGGTGACATAGGAAAGACCAAGCTTGAGAAGCAGAAGTGTATGGGGATTTGTGGGCTGCGTGGCCTGTTGGAATTGCGCGGCTCTGCTCTTGTAGGCCCAGGGCAGCCGTAGACGCTGTGTAAATGGCAGGCGAGGCTGTGTTTCCATAAAGTTTTCTTTACAAAAACAGGTGGCATGGGTTTGCTGCCTCCTGCTCTGTACTGATCTTCTGCTTTGTTATTTTCAAAAAGGCAATTTTAAGCCATCCATGGCTATGTCCTTTAACCTTCCTTAGGGAGATGTCTTCTTAAGAGTGGCTCTAAAATTTAAATCTCTTCCAGCAGGGCAGTCGAGGTCCCCCAAGGTGTGGAACGTGTCTGACGACCCTTGTGCATTATTCACAAGATGGCCAGAGCCCCCTTCGGCTTCCCTCTCTGGGCGGCCTCATGATGTCCCTCCTTCTGAAGTTCCTCTCCCGAGTCCGCTTTTCCGTCTGTCCCCGTCTCGTCCGTCTCCTGAGGCCCCGTGCCCTTGACAGGCCGCTCTTCCCGTGGGTTTCCCCACCTCGCCTCGGCGCGGGGGTGCCCCGCGGGGCTCGCACGGGTCTCCAGCTAGAGTTTGTGAGGCCTGCCGTTCTGGATGATCAGGAGCTGGCTCCTGATTTTGGCCTTCGTGTGTTCCATGAGCTTGCTTTCATCTCCAGAAGAACTTAGTAAACCAGGAATTACTATAAAAATTAAACATACTCTTACACACAGTCTGAATGCAGCTTCTGGAAGACTGGCGGTCTGGCCGCCTTGGCTGGCGCTGAGCAGCGGCTGCCTCCGTCACAGCTGGTGTGGCTGGGGGGGAGCGTGCTGGGCCTTGGCACCGCCCCGGGCATGGCTGTGAGCCCCGCAGGCCCCGAAGCCACCGCCCTCATCTTACACGTGGTTCCTCTCCCTTTCACCCTCAGCTACCGCCCCTCAGCAGGAAGCAGATACCGAGGTGAACACAGAAACACTAAACAAGTCATCGTCCCAGGGGACCTCCTCCAGCACGCAGGCAGCCCCTCCAGAGACGGCCAGCACCTCGAAAGACAAGGAGGCGTCTGCTGAGAAAAGCAAGGATGGTGGCTCGGTGAGTATCTGGACGTCATTGGCCAGGGACACCGAGCCATTGGGCCAGGCAGAGTCTCAGGACCGGTCCCCATGCCTGCCACCCCGCAAAGTCGCCTAGATTTGTCTGGCGTCAGGATGGGGCAGTCAGACAGCGGGTGGGGGTGAGCCTCAGCCGGTCGCAGCAGGTCGCCTTGTTCCCCGGTGGGCACGCGGGCAGGAGCAGAGGAATATGGAGTCCCCGTGGACGTGTGTGATGTGACAGCTGCTCCCTGGAGACCCTCGACCTTTAGGCCAGCCTTGCCTAGTAGAACCTTCTGTGATGATGGATGTGCTCTGTATCTGCTCTGACCAGCACGGCAGCCATTAGCCGCACGGGACTGTTCGAGCACTTGGAACATGGACCTGCATTTTTAACTTTCATACTCACCGTCGCGGGCGACTGGTGGCCTCCGTGTTGGACAGCGAAAGTTGCATCTCTTAGTTTCCCAGTGTGTGGAATATGTTGTCTGTTAACATAATTTTAGTGGCACACGGATAATTTTTTCACGTCTTTAGTCCTCATGTATCTATGTCAGCGGGTATTAGGGAAAAACCAAGTTTTTATCCCATCAGTCAGAACCCTTTGATTTTATTGATATTATTGCCTAGTTAGAGGTGAATGTGAAATAAAAGTGAACTAACATAATTTTGCAGTAATAGACTTCCTTTTTGGATATGGCAAAACTCTGAAGGATTGGTAGGTCAGGGAGGGAGTGGTGAATGTTCTGGAAGCTGAGGCTACAGGGTTGAGGAAGGGGGCTCCCCAGGGCTGTGCTCCAGCCGTCGGGAGACGGGGCATAGGTAGAGGGCCGCCCCAGCCGCCCTGGCCTCCCTGCCTGTGCTCGCCAGGCAGAGGGCACGAAGGTGCCTTGGGGGCAGAAATGAGCACCCCCAAGGATCCCGGGGCTCCCTGGGGGCTACATTGGCCCCAGTGCCTTGAGTCCATCTCTCTCTCTTTGTATTTCTAGACCCTCGACCTTTCTGGCTCCAGGGAGACGCCCTCCTCCATTCTCTTAGGCTCCAACCAAGGCTCTGGTACGTTGCCCCCTGGTGGGTGAATGGTGCTCTCATTCCACACGGGCAGAGGGGAAGCCGTTTTCTCAGAGAGACCTGGAAGGGTTAATGGTTTTAAACTACCGTGGATCCTTAGGGATCCTTGGGGGTGCCCGGGGCGGGTCAGCGGGGGAGAGGGGGTGGCTGGGCAAGGCAGCTTGCAGGCCCCTCTCTCAACCCATCAGCATTGGCCTGTACACCAAGTCCTCACTTAATGTTGTTGGTAGGCTCTGCAACTTGAAGCGAAACGGCTATAACGCAACCAGTGTTACCGCAGGCTAATGGGTGTAAACAAGAATTAAATTCCCGTGGCATCTCATCATTGTTAAAATGAAACGACACTGAACGAGATGACGTCACTTGAGGACCTGCTGTATTTATTTATTGGGGATCCACATAAAACTTCACCCGGACAGGGGGTTCCCTTGCTGACTTGGGCTGGGGCAGACGATGTGCTTTGGGGTTGGCACTCTCCCTCCCTCAGGGAAATGACCACAGTGAAGGGAACTGCATGAAACTGGATTCCTGACGTGCCAGCGCCTGCGTGGCGTGGATGCGGGCGCTCGCGCTTCTAGGGAAATGAAGAAAAATTCGGGGCAGACGATCTTTCTGTAAAAGCCTTTCCTCTTAGGGAATAAGTAACCTGGTAGGCTGTATCGTGAGATCTTCGGAGACCAGATTTTGGTTTTTCTCTTCTGTGAGGTTTGAGCTGTTCTCGTTTCCAGCCCAAAGGTTCTTTTCCCCGAATCCTTCTAACCCTGATTTGGACCAATCCAGAAGGGGTCAAAGAACGTGTCTTCATTGAGGACAATTCTGCTTACTTGTCAGCTTTCAGGTCTTTCTTTCTGTTGGATAATTCGAACTTTCTTACTTCACTTTGGCATATGAAATGCATGGGGGAAGCCGTGACGTGCATTGTCAGTGTGGCTGGAGGTTTCCCGAGGGGGCAGAGAGTGGGATTCAGAAGAGGGAATGGCATGAACTGATTTTACGGAAAATAGGAACCTGGCGTTGACTACAGTTGAGCCACCTACAGAAAATGTAGCTCCGTTCCCACCTCCCCTTCAACTCCTATAAATCTGAGAACAGCTTCAGTTTGGTGCTAAGATGTCTTTTGCGTTTCTTTGATATCTTCTAGTTTTCTCCTTTTAACAGAGAGCAGACTTTAGACCTGAGCGGCAGGATACTCGCTTAAAAAATTACTACTACAGTTTGCTTTCCTTTATGTTTCCTAGTGGCGTTGCCTTCCAGGCATGGGCAAGTATTTGTGATTTTCTGCTTTGGGTGGTGATATAAAAATTTCTTAAATAAAACAATTTTATTTAAGTTTAAAATAAAAACATGAATTAAGAAAACACGTAGGAGGATTGTGGATGTATCAAAATTGCCCAGGTAGGATGAGAAGGGCCCCAGTTGAAGAAACACTTTCCGACAGGGGCCGCTGTTGAGGGGGTGGCGCTGCCAAGCGGTGGCATCAGCGTGGCACTGGGGAGGTGGCTGGTGCCCTGGGGAATGGCATCCGCTGGCATAAGCAGGACGGTAGACAGGGACGTGGTTGGGAGCTGCATCACGTTCCTTTTTGGAGGTGAAGGAGGTATCACCTAGCCCGGGGGTCAGCAAACTCTAAAGGACCACAAAGTAAATATTTTAAAGCCTGTGGGCCACACGGGCTATGTCACAACCGTTCAACGCTGCCACTGTGGGATGAAGCAGATATAGAGAATACGTGACGAAGTGAGTATGGCCATGCTCCAATGGAGTAGTAGTGTTTGAAAAAACAGGCATCGGGCTGGATTTGGGCCATAGTTGTCTGATTCTCACCTAAAGCACACAGATGTCCAAAGGGGTGAAAAGGAAGTTTCTGTTTCATTGAAGGTTAAAAACAAACAAACATGAACTAAGTAACGTGTAGGAAAGAAGAGGCAAGAAGCCCTGGTAGAGGCTGGTGATTTGGTGCCAGGTGGCTTGGGAGAAGATGATCCCCCGAGAGTCTGTTGATTGGAATGGGGCATCAGGAGAGGGGAGGGAGGGAGTCAGAAGGGGGAAGGAAAGACCCCCGTTCTACTGTGGATTCCTGGAGGGCGCAGGGCAGAGCGTCGAGGTGCACAGGCCTGCTGAGTGCCCCTGGGGCCGGCACTGGCGGGGCTTAGTGGTGAGCAAGGTGGACCGTTCCCCTTCGAATTCCTCATACACTGACTTAGCCTCTGCTGGCTCTCGGTGTTGTGACAAGCAGGTGAACTCGCACAGAGGAAAGTGGGCTCTATGAAACATTGGGGTTTCTGAGCTCTCTCCGGGCTTCTGGGCCTGGGGCGGTAAGAGGAAGAGTCTAGTTGGAAGGGAGAGAGGTCTAGTAGGGGGATGAGCTTCCTCGGGGTGGGCACGGGCCTGTGGCTTGTCTCTTAAAGATTTGAATAAAGCATTGCATGCATATAGTTAGAGGAAATAAAAGCGTACAGGGAAATCAGGGCCTGGTCCCGGTCTCCCCACCGTGTGTGATGCATCTAGTACTTACCTCCTTATTTGTAAATAATGTTTTTCCCTGTACTTCTGTTCCTAGACTTTATCTTTAGAAATTATTCAGTCATTTTCCAGCTTTAAGAGACGAGAGCTGGGGTCGTATAGGACGCCTCTCACTTTGTCCCAGACTGCTTATGGCGCTGTTTATGTGCTGTGTGGTTCCCCGATCCCGTACACCTCTTACTCACGAGTCCTCACTCTGTCAGCTAGAGGCAGCACTTCCCGGTCCGTGCCCTGGTGGCCCATGTCCTCCCTCACTGCCGCTGCCCCGTTCCCCTTCTCCCCAGGACTCCTGTCATGGAGGCTGAGAGCGCGCATTCTGTTCTGTAACTGGGGCCAAGGCTTCTCGCCGGAGGTGTTGGCCAAGCCTGAAAAGTTGAAACCGGCCCCCGTGCGGCAGTTTCTGTGCTGGGATGACAGTCTGCTCTCGTGCTGTCTTGCTTTTCCCTGGAGTTCCTATTTTTCCGCTCTGATCATATCTTCAGTTGTTTCCTAGCAAACTCTTCATTGTTACCGGTTATTTTATGGAGACCCCTTTCACAGCCCTAATTTTTGACTCTTCAGGTTCAGATGTTGCCATCCATCGTGGCTGAGAAGGCTGCTCCCTCAGTAAGGCCATCTGTAGCTCCTTCCTCAACCCGCCTCCCCGCAGACGCCTTCCTCACCCTCCCTTCCTGTTCTTTGTCCGCCGTTGGCCATGGGTTAGTTCCTACTTGCCCCAAGTGATCTGAGCGCCTTGGGTGCTGCCTCCCACCTTCCTGTGGGTGCTGGTGCCTGGTTCCCTGGCTCAGTTAGGCAGTTGGGCTGTCAGTGGTTCTGAGGAGTTTGCTTTCAAAATTTGGGGAATCTGCGGCTTACGGAGCTGCGTTTATGTCTTGTATACCTTATTTCTACCTGTTGTGTGTGCGCTCCCTTGTGGGTGTTCTGTTGAGTGGTGGGTCTTGCTTTGGCCTGCGTTTCCTCTTGGCTGGGCCTCTGGTGGCCACTGAAACTACCAGAACATGTGGTTTGGCTTCTTGAGGGGACATCCTTGCTCTTTTCACAAAGGCTCCTAGATTAACACCGATCCCGCCCCGCCGTGACCGGCCATACCAGCCGGCGCCCTGGGTCCCATCCATGAGAGGAGCTGGGGCCCAGATGCTGTGTGAGGCCCAGCCCTGCCCCCGTCTCTTCTCTGCCTTCACCAGAGCTGGGGGCAGGCACTTGATGTGGCCCGGCTGCATGGCGGGAGGGTTTTCCCTTGCTGGGGATGACCAGCTACAGCACTCCCCAAGCCCTTCCAGAAGAACCAGAGGGGCAGGTGCCACACATCGGGCAGAATGCTGAGGAGAGGTAGGTTCAGGATTGTTCAGATAGAGCCCGCCTCTGAGAATGCAATTCCATGGACTGGCAATTCCAGAATCATCCGGGGGATGTGAAGTGCAGCAGAGGGAATATAGCCAGTAACATTGTAATATCTACGGGTGGTGCCAGGTGGGGACCAGAAATGTCGGGGGACCCTGTGTGAAGTATTTGACTGTCTAACTGCTACGCTGTACATGTGAAACTAATAGGAAAAATACTGCATGTAAGCTAACTGGAAAAAAAAAAAAGGAAAACAGAAGAGCCAACCCTTGACCCCAGCTCTGCAGATTTCTGCCCTCTGTTGGTCATTGATGCGGGTGACGAAAGTGTTCCTCCTGAGGGCCCGCACCCTTGGGAGATCCGCGTTCTCTTCACTGTTCTCTCTTCCAGAAACAGCTCCCGACTCAACAGGCCGAAAGCAGTGTCGCGCCCTGGACGATGATGCGGCCCCTTCCTCCCTCATTTTGATTCTGTCTCTAAACCTGACGGTTGACTTCTTTCTTTCAGTCAATTAGTATCACCCCACCTCGGGAAATTTTTGAAAGTTTTGTCCCCGTCTGTCCGAACCTGGTAAATGATCTCAGACCTGCCGGGCTCCGAGAGGTTCGCCGACAGGCCTCTCGCCCTCGGGCACCCAGTCAGCCTGCAGGCCTGGGCGGTGATAGTTCTACAGCTTTTCTTACTCAGCCATTAGGAGCTTCCCGTGTCCTTGAAGCTCTCTTAGGTCTTATTCTGGTTCTGCATCCTTCGGCGACCCTCACTGTCCTTACTGGGGACCAGGGGCTCCGTGTTCCCAGCTGGACTTGACCAACCTGGTCCACATTCCTTCTTCTTCATATCTGCTCCTTTGGATGGTCTGGTGTAAGTCTGTTTTTCTAGTTGCCTCTACATTGATTAAAGAAACTTGGTTAATATAAGTAAGTAGATGAAATGCCAAGTTTTGGTGCCTTTTTCCTGTGTCCAGGGTCGGACACAAGTGCCTGCGGTGCTTGGTGTCATTCATGTCACAAGGATGCGCCGTTGTGGGTGCCGCACCAGAAATGCCTTCCTTGGCAATTTTCTCACTAATCCCTGTTCTCTGTGAGGTGACACCCTACTGATTTTTCCAACCAGCTGGGGTTAAATCCTAAGGAAAGGAAGCTGTTCTGCCTTTGTCATCGTCAGACCCGCATATTCCAGGGACTCAGTGGTGGCAGTATTCACCCATCAGAGCTGTGTGGGGTGGGAGGGGCTTGCGGGCCAGGCGGGAGCGCAGGCTGCGACGGCGCAGGCGGGAGGAGCGCTGAACGCCCTTTCTGTTGCTTTTCCTCCCAGACCATTCCCGGGGCAGTAAGTCCAGCTGCTGGAGCAGCAGCGATGAGAAGCGAGGCTCGTCGCGTTCTGAGCACAACACCAGTACCAGTTCGAAGAGCCTCATCCCGAAAGAGTCTCGGCTGGACGCCTTCTGGGACTAGGGACAAGTTGCGACACAAGCCATCCGCCCCACGGAGGAAAAAAAAACCAGACCCCAGGAGAACAGGAAACAGCAAAGAAACGTGAGGCAGAACAACCGCATTCAGACTTGAGGATCCCAACGTGCAGACTCGGCCTCTCCGCGGGGGGGTGCCCACACTACATCACGTCCAGCATTAGCTTTGACTGAGGACTGTTCGACCCACATGAAACCTACACTTTAGATGTAAATAATGTACAATTTGTGGATGTCACCAAGCCTAGAGTACCTTCCCCTTTTTATATTTGTATTGACTTTAACTTATAAAAAAAAATAGAAAAGCAATTAAAAAAAAACCCAACAACAAAAGGGATGTTTTGGTGTTGGAGAAGGGACGGTCCCATCAGCCCGCCTGTCACACAATGCTATGGGGACTGGGCCCGGGGGTGTCTGTTGCCCAGGGGAACACGAGCCGTGTTCATTCAAGTGTCTGGATGCGGTACAGTGGGATCATGGGTTTCGACACAGGTTCTGTGCTGTCGTGGGCTCTTCAAGTCAGGCCCTTGGCCCCTTTCAGATACTACGTTGCTAGGTTATCAAATGCAAGATCTCTGGACCAGAAGGACACGTGGAGAAGCTAGTTTATTTTATGGGATTTAAATGATGACTCTACTCCTAAAAGGGAAAACCTAATGTCCTTGTTTACAGAAGAGAAACAGAAACAAGCCCCACTCAGCTCAATGGCGGAAGAGAAGAACATAAAAAGTTTCGCGTCATAAGGTCTGACACAGAGCAATCTTTTCTTTGCATTGTGGTTCCTTTAAACACACTCACACACGCTTGGAAAGACGCTGCGCTTCTCGGAAGCAAGGACTCAGAGGCGAGACGCACGCAGAGGACATTTGAGTCTGGGACGAAGCATGTCTGTAGTATTTATATGATGGAATTTTACGTTTTTATGTAAGCATGAAACCAAGGCAGTGTGAGAGAAAACGCCCGCCATGCTGTCTGTTACACTACGTAAGCTGTAGTTCCATTTTGTATGTTGTGTAAAACAAAAAGCATTGAACAAACAGAAGGTGATGTATGTATATGAGAAAATTAATTGTACGATATCATTCCAGTACATTTTGTTGTACATTTTAGTCTTGTTTACTTTCTCTTCATTGTTGATAAGAGGATGCGAACTGTACAGTGTCCAGCTAGTAACCCACATTAGAGAAGAAATAAAAAGAGAGTACTAGAAGAAAACAGGAGAGAAAGAACATTTGTGAATTGCAGTTGTCAAAAAAAAAAATAGCCTAGCTGGCCTTATTTGTGAAGCATAATTGCTTTTAGCATATGGAAGTATTTTTTCACATTTTCTTTGTATAAAATTTGTATTAAACTTAAATATCTTTTTTGATGATGGTGTTTCTTTGTGACTGAGCCAGTGGACTCTCACGGTTTGCTCTTTTGGGTTCCTCCCCCTCCCCAATTTTTTCAGATTCCTTCACCTTTTTTAAATTAAACTGTTTTTGGAAAAATGGCTTGGTCGTCCTCCAGTTTGCAGTTTTCCATTTGGTCGGGATGGCCATGTCAGGTTCGCAGGCCGGACGCAGGAGGCTGAGCCGTGAGCGGTCAAGGACGCCTGCACAGGTGGTGGGCATGTTATACCTGAGGCCCCCAGTCCAGCTCCTTGAATGCTTTTGACCGAGATGTGAAATAAGGGAAACCCTGCGTCAGTCTTGGGAAGACAGCAGGACGGGAGGGGGATGTCGTTTCCGGGGAAGAAGGCGGCCTGAGCGCCACTCCGTGGGCAGCACATGACGTCAGCACTGCCCAGGCCCACCCCGGGCATTTAATATTCATGGGTCATATTACTTTGATTTTTTTTCAGCCATTTAAAAATATAAACACTCTTCACAGCCCACGGGCGGTTCTCTAAAGCAGGGAACTGCGGCCTTTGTCCCTCAGGCTGTTTGCTGTGAAAGGAATGGGATAGTGACTTAAAAACAAGTATTTCAATGACAGTTGGTAAATACTATCAGGGTCTGGTGTAAAGCGGTGTTTAGACACTTCTGAGGTGCTCACCTTGAAAAGCTGAGTATGGGACAGGGGTGTTTCAGAGCAGGACCAGGGCAGAAGGGGGCTGCACTCGCGGGGACCCTGCAGGCGCCTCTCCTGGGAGGGGGCGTTCCGCCCGAGACCTGAGTGAAAGCTAATGGGAAGATAAAGTGGGTGAGCATCCCAGGTGGAGTGAGTGGCATGTGCGAAGGGCCTGGGGCACGTGTGAACGTGACATGCGTGATGGGCAGCAAGGAGGCCGGCGTGGCCTAGCGGAGCGAGGGAGGCAGGGAGGGAACTGCTGGTGTCAGTGGCCTGAGGGGCCCCCAAACCAAAAAGGGCTGTCCGCCCCTCTGGGACCTCCCGCTGGCCCTTTTAGAAACAGGCCCAGTAAGTGCCTAGCTCAAGGCAAGAGAGCTGGTGAGAGATTCTAACTAGACTCCTTTTGAACTGCTCTTTATGGTAGATAGGGTGTCATTTTTTTTGTTAAAATGTTTAGTTTCCTTTCATTGGGGGTAGACATGCACCTTCCCTGGGTTCCCCCATTTTATCTTGACGACCACGGAGGAGGTGGCAGAGCCTCTTCGAGGGGAAGAGGCCAGGGTTGCAAGAGAGGCGCAGTCACCTCACTGTCCTCTTTCAGCCCCAACGAGCCCGGCCCTTCCTCCTCTCTGGGCCTTTCCGCCTGCTGTTCCCAGGGCCTGGCGCACCCTTCCATCTCGGCACCTTATCCTCCAGGTTGTCCTGCGTCCTCTGTCTCAGCCTCTTGCCCCTGAGCACGGTGTGCTGTCTCTGTTCACCGCTGTGCCCCTGGACGCACCCCTGCGGCCCCCCGGCCCCGAGTCCAGCCCCTCCCGCCGCAGCTGCAGCTTCCGGTAGGAGACAGGACATCCGAGGAAGAAGTGGCTTGCCAGTGGTAGAGGAATGGTAACTTGAAAAAAAAGGCTGCATTTCACTTTCACTATTTCCCTAGGCGATGCAGTCACATGCCTCCACTGTGAAAAGACAGAGTTTAGTCCCTCCAGCCACCCCGGCCCCCTCCCTGAGCACTCGGCAGTCTCCGCATTTACCCACCCCCGCAGAGGACGTTTTCTCCCCCTTTCTATGCATGAATGGCAACATTTAATACACACTCTTCCGTCCTGTCCCCTTTTTCACGTAACCTAAAGCCTGGGCTGTAGCTGCATGTTGGTACCTGCCCAGCGCGACCCTGAAATGATGAAGACGACAATGCCTGCTGTGGCCCCCCGGCGGCGGGTATGCAGACTGTCACACTGGCAGGACGCACAGTCCGGCGCTCCAGGGCGGCCATGAGCTGGGTGAGGGGGGTGGGGAGACTCATCCCACGTGGCTGCACAGGAGGGCCCCTATTAGAGGGGAAGGACTTGGATGATCCAGACAGTCTGGCTTCAGTCTCAGTCGAGCGTTTTCAGATGACCAGTGTCTCTGAATCTATGAATGAGGAAAAAAGGGAGGGCGCCACGGGCCTGCCGGGGTCCTCGCTCCTTTTAGCAAGGGCCAGGCAGGTTTGTCTAGGGGTGACCTTGAATGCAACCAGGCACTCTCGCCATCTGGTGGCCCCTGTGCAGAACTGCAGCCCCAGAGACCGAGCAGGATCAGGGAGAAGGTGGGCCAAAGTCATTTATTCATTCACGGACTGACTCTGAGCGCTGTGAGACACAGCACTGGGCAAAACAGGTGCGGCCTCTGCCCTTACCCTTCGGACACTTTCATTGGGAAGCAGTCAGATGTGCATATGATGCAATCTAAGTGGGACAGAAGCACCGAAGGTAACGAAGCAGGGTAAGGAGGGAGGCAGGTGGCGTGGTTACAGAGGGCCTGTCCGAGAAGCTGCGCTGTGAGCAAACACCTGAGGGGAGTGGGCACAGAGCCGTGACGTTCAAGACAGCTGTTCTAAACTCTGGCTGAACGTTAGAAGCACCTGGGGAGATATGAGACAAATCCATAATGCCCAGACGCTACCCCCTTCCCTGAAGAATGACATCGGTCTCTCTGGGCCTTGGGCATCTGCACTTTGTGAAGCCCCTCCTGGGGCAGCCGGAACTGAGAGCTACCGACCTGGTCGGAAGAACAGCCCAGGTAGAAGAGCAAGTGTAAAAGGCCTGAGGCAGGGACCTGGCATCTTTCCAGAAGAGACAGCAGGCCAGTGAGGCCAGATTGGCTTTGGGGTGGGGCTGAGCGCTCAGAGGGCGGGGCCTGGGTTGAGGTGGGAGGTGAGATGGGTGCATATGGATTGGCTAAGCTTTGGTTCCACGTGGGTGTATCTGAGTGAGTCTTAAGTACCTGGATTATTTGATTGGCTCATTGACTGTAACTATTTGATTATCAGATTGAATCTCAATACCTGGATGTATTTGATTGGCTGAGCCCGGGTACCATCTGGGTTTGATTGGTTGAGAGTAGCTCACATGCTTATATTCTAACTGCAAAGTAGGCTAGAAGTGTAAGATTCTGCCTGTTTCTGATGCAGATTCCCAAGGTGGGAAATTGTCCCAACAAAAGGCCTTGGGTTGATAAAAACCTTCACAGCACCCACTGCAGAATTGTCCAAAGTTTCCATCAGTCAGGACAGTCATAGAGAGCAGCATTCACCCAGCCAGTTGGAGCAGAAGGGTTTGGTAAGCTCACCGGTGTGTAGTTTGTACTGCATCAGTTTGGCGAGGCTAGAACTACATCTCCTAGAATCCCTTTCCTTGAGTGATTCTGAGTTAGAATTGACCGAAAGAGCAACTTGGCCAACAGGTTCCACCTGGTCCTTGCTGTCCTTTGCTGTGTCCAGGTCGTCTTGGCTCTGGGGCATCAGCGCCCAGCTCACCCCTGGGCGGGTAGCTGCAAAGGCAATGGCTACGCATCGGTTTCTCACCAGTGCGCCTTGGCAGACTCACCTGGGTGGCTGGACGTGCCCCACTGCATCTCAGGTTGCCTTGTTGTTGACTCCCGATGCCCCCTTTCAGACCTTGATCTCCCCAGCTCTTTCCACCACTGTATGAGGTCCAAGTCCATCACAAATTATTTACCCGGAACTCCTGGGCCAGATCTGGCTGCTTCCCTGATTGGATCTGATTGACACATTATGAGTATTTACAGAACCACAAGGAAGACGCAGGAAGCCACACTGCAGGACTGAGTCACCGATGTGGGGTGGGGATGGGGGTGGGGCTGCTCCCCCGGCTCCTGAAGTATCGCTGCTGACTCCGGGAGCAGATGCATCGGCTTCTGTGGCTGCCCTGCACCAACTTTGCTCTGGTCACGCCTGCAGGCTGGATGCCCTGTGTGCCAACTTAGCCCCACTTAGCGTAGTACCTAACACAGCTTCTGTGCATGCAGCTGATGGGTGGGCCCTTAATTGCTCCAGACCCTGGCTGTAAGGGAGTCTGGGGACAGTGTCTCCTAGCACAGGCAATTCTCATTACTGGGGATCTCCACGTGGCGGCAACAAGTCAATTGACCACTGAAGCCTGGGCAGGGCCTGAAGGAAATGCTGTGGGAATCCTTGCAGGGTGGCTCCGCAGCTGTGGGGTCGCACTGCCCTCTGGTGGTCAATGGGGAGCATAGCTCCGCCTGCTGTGGGCTACATCCACAGGGGCTGAGCAGTCCAGGGCAGGACGGTCTAGCCTCTCAACTCGGATTCTCCTTTACGCAGAATGAATTGCAGATGCACGCAGCAACCTGGAGGGGTCTCGGAAGCATCACGAGTGAGCGGATCCAGGCACAGAGGGGAACAGTCTGTCTGGGTCTGTTTCTGTGAACTAGATCAGGCCAAACTAGGGGACAGAAATCAGGATTGTGGTAGACTGTGGGCAGAGGCTGGGAAGGGCCAAGAGGGGACCTGGAAATGTCTTCTGTCTTCCTGGGTGGCGGTCACCGAAATGTAATCACAGGTAAAAATATATCAAGATGCTTACTTGCACTTTATGCAGTAAACTGTGTGTCGATTACAAAATAAGGCTAGAGAACCTCAAGTTTGTGGGGAATCTTGTGACCGGACACCCTGCCCCCACCCTTCCCACTCCAAGCCATTCTCCCTGCAGCAGCCAGGGGGATTTTAAAAATGTCAATCACATCAGGCCATTCTCCTGCTTAAAACTCTCTGGGATCTCTTCATTGGGTTTAGAATAAAATCCCTACTCGAATAAAATCCAAAATCCATGACCAAAAGGGTCCAACTGGATCCGGCCCGGCCTTGGCCTCTGACCCCTGGCTGCCGTCCTGGCCTCCAGCCACGCCAGCGTCCTTCCCTTTCCTCTTGATCACCTGGAAGGTGCTACTCATCCAACCATCCATCCATTCATCTTACCATACAAGCATTTGGTCATCGATTCAGTCATCCATCCACCCATAATCTCTCTCTATAAAACCATCTGTCTAGTCATCGCAACACAGTTATCCATCCATTTGCCCGTCCGTCCTCCTACCACCCAGCTGGCCATTCACCTTCTGCTTCTCCACCATCCAGTCGCCTAACACACTACCCACCCACCTACCCATTTAACCACGTATTTAACCACAAACTGCCCCAGTGTCCCTCTGACTATGATCCCAATTATACGTCTTCCTTTCCTCCCATCTCCTCTATAATGGGATTCCAATGTGCATCGGCATCCACTCTGTGAATTGACTCCAAACCCGTCACTCTGTGCTTGGTTCTGGGGATACAGAGATGAAACCAAGAGAACCTGCCGCGGGGGCGCTCAGAGTCCGGGCAGATGTCTCTCTCGCCCTTGGCGGTGGTTCCCCCACCATCAGAGATTCCAGCTCTGAGGCTGCAATTACAGACTCATCCCCCACCTCCACTGATGTGGCTACACCAGCCAACTGGTAACCCTGGATTTCACCGACGCGGCGAGGGAGGAGCCTTTACTTATTTAGCTTCTAATCAGATGGATCCAGACTCTGCTTGGAAGTCTATGAGCAGCAAAAGTACTCAAGGTGTTCTTGGAACTTCCCCAAATGTTCCCCCTACCTCGGCCTCATCCATTGGGTCCTTGGCCCCCCCACTGGAAAATAAAGTCTTATCATTGGAATGGAAGTTGTTTGTATTTTTCAGCCCAACCCTCATTTTCCCCAGTTCTTTAAGTAATAGCCCGCTGTTTATTCCTTTGGGGGACCAGCTCTCCCCAGCTTTATGTTCATGAGGGATCAAACCCCAAATCCAGCTCCATGGAGCCCGTGACTCAGGTGTGGCCAGTGAGACACGATCCTGGGGGTTGTGTCGGATCCCCTGGGCAGGAAGCGCTCTCTTTCCATTAGTGTGGATTTGCTAAAAGATTCTCAGAGCCACCTTTGCCACACAGGGAAGAACCTGCCGGAGAAGTAAGACCACACAGGAGAAAATCGTTTGGTCACCTGGATCCAGCTATGCCTGAAGACTATTTTATTTTTTGGGCTTAAGCAAGGGTGAGTTGTATTTTATTCCTTTGCAACTGAAAAGGTTCTGGAAAGACCAGCAGATTCAGAAGCCTTGAGAGTGGTAATGAAGTAGCGACACCTGACCCGCTTCAAAATGTAAACGTGGTTTTATTTAATGCCTTTTCTCCGTCACAAAGTACCGCCTCCTCCCCAGGGTCCCCTCGTCCTAGAAAACAAGATGGCAGCATAAGGCACGTGCACTGTCCACATGACGTCAGGTTAAGTCCTTAAACACAAAAATAAGCAATAGTCTTCCCACAGCCCCGAATCGCCTCCCTCGCCCGTTGTTCAAAGATGTTTGTCCCCCCAAAGCACGACTGGAGCAGACGGCTTCAGTCCGAACTGTGCACCTCCCCACACGCCAAGTGAAAACCAAAACCAGACCAACGACTAGGAACACCAACAACACAGGTGTGAGAGCATAATACCGGAGTAATGAGATTAGTCCATAAATTAAGAAGAGAAAAAAACTGAGCCTGTCCCCTCCTCATCACCAGCCCTCCCCCCCCCAACCAGCAATTCCTTGCTTTTGTTCCGTGAGACTGTGGAAAAGTCTGGACTCCGCATCAGCCCTTTTCCCCAAAGTTAAATATTCCGAAGCCACGGTTGGGTACTCTGCTTCCCAAGACCCGCGTTTGGACTGAAAGGACATCTACTGAGATGGTCACCGGACTCGTCCTCTGGCTTCACGGACCCTGCCCAGTGTCCAGCGGGAAGGCGAGGGGCCTGGGTGGGGGACACACCGTGGGGGGCAGGTGGAGACTCCGCGGGCTCTGCTATAAATACTCCAGCTCCAGGGCGTGCCTCAGCGCCTCCAGGTCGGCATGGCAGGATATCCGCCAGAAGGGCATGTTGTGCTGGAACACAGAACACCAGGCACTCGGTTACCCTCCTCCGCGCCCCTGCAGCCGCGTGGGTGCCGCGCCCATGGTTAGAGCCGCAGGAGACGTCCGCTCGAGCCAGCAGAGCGTGCGGGCATTTTCCAAACTGGGAGGCACGTCATTGGAGTCACCGAAATCAATCCATAGACAAGAAATAAACGCGATAATTCCACCTCATGCTATGAAGCAAGTAGAAGGGGGTAGAGAGGTGCTGGCAGGAGGGTATCTGTCCATGCCGGCTGGGTCAGGGAAGGCCTCTCTGCGGGGTGGGGGATGCAGGGGTGGGGGTGGGGGGGGACTTTGAAGCAGGCCGCAGAGGATGAGGAGGAGGAAGAACTGCACAAACAGGAATGGGGGCGGTCGAGGCAGAAGATCGCAAGTGCAAAGCCCTGAGGAGGATTTGAACTTGGACTGGCGTGTCCTCTGCTGTGTCGCATGACTCCTGGCACATAATAGGTGCTCAGGAAATAGTCATGGAAGGAGGGCGGATGAGAGGGAAGGTGTTTGTCGAGCGAAGTCCTCAACAAACATACCTTCCCCTCTCTATTTTTTTTTTTTACAGATTGTGGACAGCCAACTTCTGCCAGAACCAGCCCTTGACATTTAGAATATTCCCTTTGCTCAAGGAGAGCAGATGACTATCCATCATGGGCAACACATGCCATCTCTTTAATGGCTTCCAGAGGTCCCAGCTGCCCCCACCCTCTCCTCACCCCGGCCAAGCCTTCCTTTCTCTGCAAGGGTGGATTCTGGTTGCCGCCTGGCCAATCCTGCGCCCCTTTAAAGAGCGTAATTTATTTTTCCTGGAGGAAATGAGCAAAGGAGGAAGGGAGGGCCTCAGCTGCCCCCACCCCAGGCCTGGGGGCTCCAGGGTGCAGGTGGATTTATCACGTGTGGAGAGGTGGAGACAAATGGCGCGCTAAAATGGAGATATTAACAACACTGTCAGCCGAAGCAGGCAAAACCCCTTGTCCTGCCGCCATATTTCACGCTGCTCAGGTGTCTGGCGGCCTGGGCTAATGACTCCCATCCATCAGGCCGGGAGGGCCGCCGGCGCACAGCACGTCTCCCTAACAGGCTGGGCTGCTGCCTCAGACGCTGGAGAGGACTTCAGAGGGGGCAGTGTATGGGGTGTGTGCCCTAGCCTTCTTCGGTGGACTCCGCTGTCACCTGACAAGCTCAGGGGTGCAGACTGACAGTGTTTGAAACTCCTCAGTCTGGCTCCTTCATGCCAGGTGTCTGGAATAAAACAATCGGTTCGCATGTACCAGCTGTGTGACCTTAAGTAACTTACTTAACCTCTCTGAGTCTCAAATCTGTCTTCTACAAAATGACGTGGAATGATGCTCACTTTGCAGGCGGGTTTAGAGGACTGAATAAAATGACAATGGCAGTAATAAAGAGTAGAGGTTAAGGGCATGAGTATAAATGGTTTTCCCTTTATTTTCTCTAATAGAATCATTAGATACTGATCTTCTGGACAGTTACATGTTATACTGTCCCTTAGTATTTCATTCCAGGACAATAACGGGGTCATTTTAAAGCATTTGCTCCCTTTCCAACCGGGGAGAAGGGGGGCACAGGCTGTGACAGCCCCGTGGGTGTCCCTGCCCGTCTGGGTGACCGGAGGCGGGCATGGGCTGCTCGGGGCCACAGGCCTGAGCTGTTGTCCAATCCAGCTTTGGTCGAAGCAAAGCTCAGTTTAGTCGCTGTCACCTGTTTAGGGCAGGGCTTTCTTCTGTACCCGAACTTGGGGGAGGGGGAGGGCTCCAGCGGCGCCCTGGGCCCTGGAAGTGGGCTGCGGGCAGGCTGCCGCATGGGGCTGTGCGCCAACCCGCCGTGGTGCTCCTGGAGCTCCGGCAATTCATGGGATGATTCACGTGATTCATGCCAGTATTTCGGCCATATCTTGCGTATTTATTTACTACTTTCCCCTCTAAACCCATTCATTTTTAAAAGTGAACGCAATCTGCTTTAAGAGGAAGTGCGCAGAGCAAAAGCTGAGGTCCTCCCAAGGGCCCCAGCTGCCTGCCTGACCTCGCCTCCCGCCACTGCCCGCTGGCCAGGCTGGGCCCCTGCAGGAAGCTCCAGCCTTCGGACCTTTGCACTCCTCGGTTGCTTCCTTGGAATGCCCTCGCTCTGATATCCACTTGGCTCACCCCTCCTCCATCTTACTCAGACGGCACCCGCCAGGGAGGCCTGTCTTGAGCACTAGCTGCTCTTACAACCTGCCCTCCCCCGCCCCCGAGTCCCCTCTGTTCCCATTCTCTGCTTTACTCCCCCCCCCCCAGCCACCTGACCCACGTTACACTTAGGTGTTTATTGCCTGTCCCAGCCTGTGAGCTGAGTGAGGGGTGAGAGCCCTGTCTGCTGGCACACAGTAGGTGCTCAGCTAGTGGAGCCTGCACCCTAGCTGGAGGGTTTGTGATTAAGCCACCAATTACACAGGTACCCCTTTCATGATGAGAGGGGACAATGTCCCGAAGAAAGGATGAGGACAGCTGGGGGAGGGAGTCACAGGCAGGCCTGACAAGGCTGGAAGGGCAGAGCAGAGCTGGGAGCCAGTCCGGGAACTGCCCCAGGGAGGTGCTGCTGAGGCTGAGAAGTCGGTGTGGAAGGGCGGGGCGGCGCGGGGGGCGGGGCAGCCTTCCAGGTGGATGGAACAGCATGTGCAAAGCCTTCTCAACTCCCTTCTCCTGAGCCCCTCTCTCGGCACCCTAGGGACTTTCCCTCTTACAGGTTTCATCCTCTGAGACCCTAAAAATGTCTGCATTTCCTTGGAATTTCTTGTCAGGGAGGGAAGGGGGTAATCAGGTCCCCCCAGTGAAGCTCTGTGACATTAACAATCCACTTCCCGGGCCTCTGGGTGGGGGGTGGCAGGCTCCCTGGGATGCTGCTGACAGGCCCAGACCCGGGATCTTGGCAGCTGTTTCTTTTCCAAGAGCAGCGCTGCGGCTACCAGAACCCCCGTCCCTCTCCTCATGGGCCTGAGATCACAAACGCGGGGCTTTCTTTCTCATTAGCTTAATGCTGTCTTGATTAACTGGGAAGGGTTCCTGGAACATATGATCGGTAGGTATTAACTGAAACGCACACACGTGCACCCAGCCCCCCAGCAGGCTGCCCTGACGGGGTCTCGGGGCTCCTGAGCAGCTGTCCCAGAAACAATCCAGGGCTACCAGGGGCGGCGGCCAAAGGCACGGAGCGGGATTTGCAGAAGGAAATTACTCGGGATGCTTCTGCGATGTGCAAATGGGAATGGACCTGCCGGCAAAGAGCCTGGGGAAGCGGAGACGCAGCCGGCACCGGAGGCGGAGGAATCTGCGCGCAGGGCCCTCTAACCCCCAAGACGGCTCCGGAGAGGAGAAGGGCCGCCGGGAGAGGGGAGAAGTACCTTTTTCGCTCCCTGCTCCTCTTCGACCCCGTCGCCAATGACGATGTAGACGGCCTTCCGGCCGAACCTCTGCATTATCCTCTCGAAGCAGCTCTCCTTCCCTGCACGCCCGGAGGAAGGAGAGGAAGGAAAGAGGCTCGGTGAGGACCAGGGTGGCAAATGAGACCCTCGCTGAGCGTTTGCTGTGGGAGCCGCCGTCCTCCCAAGGGCTGGGCATTAAGCACTTCACCCTCCAGCACACTTTGGAGGCGTGTACTGCTGTCATCCCCACGTGACGGGCGACAGCGCAGAGGCACAGGGCGGTGAAGGGGCCTGCCTAGGGGTCACAGCAGAAGAGGCCGCGCAGGGGTCTGGAGCGGCCCCGGAGTCTGGGCCGCTGCCCGCTCGGGTCAGCAAGTTTGGTAACCATAACAACAACCCTAATAGTAACAACAACCGCGGCCACTCTCTGATTTCACTACATCCCAGGCTCTCTGCTCAGCGGCTCACCTACGGCAGGGTTTCGCAGCCTGGGCGCTATGGCCGCTGGGGCTGGACACCTCTTTGCTGCGGGCCTGACCTGTGTCCTGCAGGCTTAGCGGCACGCCTGGCCTGTCCCCAAAGGACGCCAGTAGCAACTCTTCCAGTTGTGAAAATGAAAAATGTCTCCAGGTGTCCTCTGAAAGGCAAACTGCCCCCTGTCCCCCCCCACCCCCGCCGCCGTCCCCCCACGTTGGGAGCCACTGCCTGACGTGAATTCATTGAACTAACAGCAATCCTAATCACATTGGAATCAACGCGATCTCCATTTTAGAGATGAACTGAGACTCAGGGCTGGCGAGTTGCCTTGAAGATGAGCAGAGTAGGAGGAGGAAGAATGATAATAATTATAGCACAGCTCCCGTTGTTGGGGCTTGTGCTCTGCTGGGAACTGCTCAGTGTTTTATATGTGCTGTTTAGCGTCTATGCTTCCATTTTACGGACCGGGAAGCCAAGGCAGAGAGAGGTGAAGTCGGTTGCCTTAGGCCAGGCGCAGGGTCAGGATTCGAACCCATGCTACCGGTCTCAGGCGCTGGAGCTCTAAACTCCTCTGTTAACTGCTTCCGCGGGCATCAGCTCTGGGGCGGGCCACTCCTCCCTCTGCGCCGCTTCCCTTCTCTGCGGGCGCAGAGGCTGGGCCAAGGCCGGGGATCACAACTGTCTTTTCAGGCAGCAAAACAACACACGCATCCTGTCCTTTGCCAAACCACTCTGCAGTGCGTCCCGCTAGAGGAGGTGGGTGGAGCTTGTTTCTCACCCCCTGGCGCCGGGTTGGCCATGTGACTTGCGTTGACCAAAGGCATGGTAAGGATCTGCCAAGCGAAATGGGTATAGGTGGTTCGGCTTGGCCACCTTCTGGCACGAGAAAAATATGGCCCTGGATGGCGGCTGGTCCCAGAGTGAGGAGGTAAGTGGAGCAGGCAGGGACCTGGTGTCAGGCCCAGCAGAGCCACCGCTGGCTCATTAACCCCGGAGTGAGAAATAAAAACCGTTGGGATGTTTGTTATGCAGCGTTATCAGAGCAGATCCTGGCTTGAGAAAAATTATTATTTTTCAGCTAAAACCGGGAGCTGGTGACCAAATTCCTGTCCTTTCTCAACTTTGACTGCTTCTAGCTTTTCAATCTTCAGGCTCCCCTAGTGGGAAAGAAGAGTCACCTCACCACTTCCCTGATGGCATTTGGTTCCTGTGACACAGGGGTCCTGCTGCAGAATCTCTAATGGCATCTGGGGCCTGACTGTCTATGATTGCAAAATCAAAAAGCACTTTTATGTAATGTTCAGGCCTAGACTTTTAGGAAAGGCAAAAATTGCTCTAAGAAAAAAATGCTTCTAAACTACTCTAAATTGTTTTTTTGCTCCAGAAGAAAACAAGGGTAAAAATTTCTCATTAAAAACATCTTAGCCAGATTTTTGTATTGTTTATATTGTATTTATTTTTTGGTGATATAAGAGTTAAAAAACCCGGTTCTCTCACACACCAAAAAACTCAAACAAATCACTATTACCTTGACGTTATTAATCTTTAGTTACTAAATTCTCTTATCTCATAAAAGCTCTGAGCCTAACGCTTGATCTCTTTGTTAATAAGGAAGATTACAAGCCTTAGAGAGGCATTAAAGCAGGCTAGCACTAAATGGAAACTCTGTCCTCAAAAGAAAATTTAAAAAACACTTTTCTCTCTATGTGGTTCAAGATTAAAGTCAAGGTTATTTGATGGTTGTACCACCTAAATTAAAACCCCCTTAGGTACCATGCTGTGGTGGAAACTGTTTCCCTCTTCCTTAGTAACAGAATTCCCTAAGTTTTATCTGTGCTCATGGTCACTTAGCTATGGACTACATTTCCCAGCCTCCCTTGCAACTAGTTGTGGACATAGGACTAAGGTGAGCAGAGGTAACTCTCACCCCTTCTGAGTCTTGGCTTTAAAATATCGGATGGGCATTACACCTTCCTCTTTTCCACCTTTCCGCAAGCTGGAATGCCGACGTGGCAGGACCCTGATTTGACCACCCACATGAGGATAAACTATAGGAGAGGGTCCCCCCAGCAGCCTGGATCACTCACCTCTGGTCTGTTGACGTGGGGGAGAGAAATAAGCTTTGTCAGCCCTTGTGTTTGGGGTGTTTGTTAGAGCAGCTTTGCAGCGACCCTAACTACTGAAAGCCTGTGCTCCTGGCCAATTTCCCGAGAAGCACAGCTTGAAGTCTCTGGATGTCAGGGATGTTTTGGTATCAGAGTCATGGCCATGGACATGCTCTTGAACATCCCTAGTGCCGTCTTCCTTCGACTTTCTGTGCCCGGGATGGAACGCTCCACCCACCCTCCTGCCTGCATCGCCCGAGCTCTGGGTCCCCCTTACCTGTCTTGGTCGCACTGTAGATGTTCTCGATGGGAAACACGGAGCCCAGCCCATACAGCAGCACTTTGGCCAGCGCAGGGATTAGCTGAGTGGTGGTGACCAGCACGTTGACACAGTTGGGCCTGAGGACAAAGGAGACTATAGAGCAGGACTCTGCGGGACCCCAAGGCAAGGCCTCCTCGCCCTGCAGCGTGAGTCTGGGTTTGGTGAGTACCCTGGTGGGCTGTGGGGGCTCCGGCTAAGGCGTCTTCAGGGAAGGATGGGGCTGAGGGTTCTCTGCTATTCTTTTAAGCCTGAAAGCTGCCTGACACGTTGAAACGTAAGGTGGGCGTAATACTTTCTTACTTAAAAAGCAAATCTTTATTGTAAGGGCCACACACTGAAATGGCTGCCGGGGCCTATCGGCAATGTAAACGAGTGGCATGGACCAAGCGTAGGACAGCGGGAGGCGGGAGCCTGGGGAGAGCTGGAGGGCACAGGCCAGTTCTGCGAGAACCCTGAGAGCTGCAACGGTGGATTAACTTTCCCAGCCTTTGGTGCCCACCTGGCCCCCAGCCCCCAGCCCCTCCTCACTAGTCTTTGGGACAAGGTGCATATCCCACCAAACTCATCAGGATCAGAAGGCAGCTCACAGGCTGCCATTCGGTGACTACTTGTGTGGTTGGGTCACCACATTTCCGATGCTGGTGCAGGGGGGTAATCTGTTACCTGGCCCAGATAATCTTTCTTAGGAGCAAGAGGCGGTCTGCTGCGAGGCCTAGAATGAAACTGGACCCTCCTTGCCTCACCTCAGAGGGCCCACTAGATGGTCCGTGATGTCCTGTAAAACAGACTCGGACAGTGATGTGACTGGTGGGCGGACGGGATGAGATGGACTGATGTGTCAAGGTCTTTAGCTCTGCGGGGCCCTGATAAGTCACCGCAGTATTGGCTCAGCTGCGACACAAGGTATCCGGGGTGCCTTGCACAGCCTGAGCTTTATCAAATGTCTGGAAGTGTGCCAAGTGAGAACGTGGAGGGTCCTAGCCCACCCGAGGTGGACATGGAGGAGCCAGCACCCTCAAATGGGAGAAAGTTCGCTGGCACAGAGGCAACGAGGGCTCCCACGTACCGGGAGTTGATGAGGTTTAGTGCCTTCAGGGAGTGGGTCAGCCAGAGGTCGGTCAGGGCTTCCAGTTCAGCTCTGAGCTGCAGCCAGGTCTCTCTTTTGGGAGCTCCTATCAAGCCTACAGACAAAGGAAATCAAGATGCAGCAGCTGTCATTTTAGAAAGGTCTGGGAGGGGTGAGGATTAGGGAAGGGGAGTCTTGTTACCTGGAGGTTACAAATTAGATGACACCAAGGTCAACTTTTATCAAGTAATCTTAATCTTATTTTGGGATTGATTGATTGATCAATCAGTCAAGCCATCCATTGATTGATCTATCCATCCACCCATCATCGCTCTATCCATCCACCGTCCAGCCCCCATTCATCCATCCATCCAACAAAAAATTCAGAAGTGCCTTCTGCACGGTCCGTATTGCGACAGGCACTGAACACACAGAGATAAACAAAACATCCCCATTACAGAGCTTACGCTGTTACCATGGAGACAAAAACTAATAAAATAAAATATCATAATGACTCATTTATTGAGTGCTCACTGTGTGCAGGACCCTGTGCTTTTCACATGACATTTCCTTTTGTTCTCACAGGCACCGTAGAGGTGGGCGCTCTTTTGATTTCTCTTTTTAACGGTGAGATATAAATGACACACATCAGTCAGTCAGGCAAAGAACCTGAGGCTTTGTGACTTGCTCACGACAGGGAGGAAGTAGTGGAGACAGATCTGGCACCCAGGCTGCTGGCCTCGAGCCCACTTCAGGTCTAAACCTGACTGTCGCCCCTCAGCCATCAGTGCCCTTAAGATAAAGTTCAGACTCGACGTCCCTGCCCCTGCTCACTGCCACTCTCATCTCTTGGCACTGCCCTGGTGTCCATTCCAGCCCCAGCGGCCTCCTCTTTGCTCCCTGCAACACCAAATACGTCCCTGCTGCAGGACCTTTGCACACCTCATTCCCTAGCCACTCTTTGGATCCTGCCTCCCCCTTCTTGCCCTGCTAAGGCCTTCAAGCTCATCGTAACGGCCATTTTTTCTGGAAGGCCTGCCCTGGCCAGTTCCTTCTGTTTTAGTCTTCTGACACACTGTACCCCTTCTTCACAGCACGTCTCGCAACTCTCATTTGTAGTGCTATCTGTGTGACTCTGTGTTCGGTGTCTGCCTCGGCCATTAGACTGGTGGCTCTATGTGGGCACGGACCACGTCGGTCTTGCTCGCTGCTGTCGTGGCAGCCCCTATAGCAGGGGCTGGCGTGCAGCTGGTGATGCATCAGTGTTGCAGGAGGAACGGATGCACTAGGACAAAGTGCTGCCTTGTGCCTGTGCCATTCAGATGTCACGGTCTCCGCACAGAAGGCTCCAGCTGTCCACACGCCTCCCCGTGGCCCGCAGGCCCTGCGTCGCCTGACACTGCCCCCTCTCTCGGCCCGGCCCGTCCAGCAGGCCCTCGCTCCAGCCACACTGCCCTTTATCTTTCCGAAAAGCCTCGAGCTCCTCTGTTCTCAGGGCTTTTCATGTGCCGTGTGTGGTCGACACTGCTAGTTGCCTCCACTGCCCATTTTTCTCTTTAAGAATTAATACAATAAAACTATGAAAAATCTCATTAGTAATTAGAACCATGGTTTTTAGCTAAGTCCATGGCCCCCAGGCTAAAGGGCTATGTTCCTCAGTTTCCACCTTGGCCCTCGCCAGGCTAGTTCTGGGATGCAGAGGCAGCTGGGGGCGGCGGGGGCGGGGCGGGTTTGGGGGGAGGCAGCAGAGACTGCAGGGGGGGGCTGCCCGCTGGCCTCCTGCCAGCCCTGAGCTCCCGGCCTGTTGACGCATCGGGTAATTTCCCCTCAGTTTATGGGAAAACAACGCGGCTTGACTGAAGCCCTGGGTATTTCCCGGGGCTTAACCTGGAGGGGGAGCAGATGGCCTGGCTGGCCGAGTCCAGCCCCGTCCCGCCCACCCCAGCACACCTGCTCCCCGGTTCTCCGTGCAGGGCGCGGGGAGGGGGGCAGGCGGGCTGACCTGAGGCCCTCCGCTCCCCTCCTGTAGTCAGCAGGCTTGGGCGCGAGGGGCCGCGGAGCGTGATTAAGACATGGCGGGGAAGGGGGCGTCATCTTGGGCGAGAAGCCTCTTATTCCTCAGCTTTCTCCCCCTCAAAGTGACGGGATGAGACACTCGTGCCCCCTTCCAGGGGACATCATGAGGGTCAGTCTGAGTGGGCCGATATCTGCGACCCTCTCAGAACCGTGCCTGGCGCAGAGCAGGTGCGACTTGCGTGACGGCGGCCTCCTTGATGAACTGCCCTTGGCCCAGGGTGCGGCCCGGGCTGCACTGGCAGGCCCTCGACCGGGGAGGCCGGCCTCTCCCCAGCCCACTCACCGCCAACGTTGTTCTTGTAGGTGTTGTACATCTCCTTGACCCGCCGATAGCGGAAGGCCAGCTTCCTCATCCAGTCCACGCCGCCGTGGACGCCGGAGCCCAGGCACAGGTTGGCTCCTGGGGCCGAACTGTGGAAGCCATCGGTGGAGAAGTTGTACGTGCTGGGGAGGGGCGGGGGCGGGGGGGGGGAGAAGAGGCAGTGTTAATGTGGGAGGTGGCGGGCTCTTCGCCGGGAGACCAGGGGCCCCATGGGACTGTGGGTGGGGCGCAGGGTGTCCACCAACCCCCTGAACGTGCAAGACTGCTACGTGCATGTGTGTTCTGGGAGGGGCGGGACCACGGCCTTTGTTAGCTTCCCAAACATGGCCGTGTCTTTGGCCCTTGTCTAGCCAGCACCCATTTCCCCTTAATTTTGGTGTGAAATAGCGCGCCTGTTTTCTTTTCTAGGGGGGACTATCCCTATCCACTGTATGCTCTGGCCACACAAGGGAAAGCCTTTCTCTTTTCCTTTAGAATTTATGGATGGAATAGAATTCCAAGAAAAAAAAAAAGTTGGATTTGGTCCTTTGCAGTCCAGAAGGAAACCCCAGTCGCCACTACTCTGATCCCCAAACCTGCCCCACCTCACGTCCCTCTTGAGGCCTGCCTGCTGACCCTTTCTTCCCGTTCTGTGAGCACCTCCATATCTTGCTACAGAAACTCCATTTTAATTTTTTATTTGTTCCATTAGGCAAAGCTGATTGCTCATGCTTTGCAGGTATAACACCCTTGGCCCCAGTGCGGCTCACTGGGTTGAGAAGTTCTACATGTGCAGAGACAGGCGGGGTGTGGGGAGGTGCACACCATGTCAAAGGCGTCGCACAGGATGAACAAGCCAAGTAGCTGCTGGGAATCATAGGGGACATGGGGGCGGGTCCCCACCTACAACAGCCGAGGGTGCACACGAAGCCCCAGCTCTGCAGAGAACACCACTTTCTCTCCCCATACCAGAAGCCTTGGTAGGTTTGCAAAATCACGCGAGTATTGCTTACGCTTTAACATCACGAGAAACCCCAGAGGGTAACAAGGGCTGTATGTACAGTATGACCAGACGCTTCTAAGATAAACATGAAAATCTCTTCAGAGAGAAAAAGCCTGGAAGGAGACATGTCAAAATGGTACCGAAAGCATCTCTGGGTGTGGGTTTGGGTGATTTTTTTTCTCTTTGCACTATTTTGCTCTTTCTGGATTTTTTGGGTTTAAGAGTAAAGAAAAGAAAGGCATTTTATTTTTTTTAAAAAAGAACATGCAGTGCAATATAAATGAAACAACACTTGGAAATTGTATCTTAAGTACCTCCCGGTTAACTGTGACGGCAGAGATAAAAAGGAATTTGAGAAGTGTGAAGTGGGTGCCAGGACACAGCGTGATGTGACGTGCTGCCGTCACCCACCAAGCCTGTGGCTCAGCCTCACTCCAGGCAAAGGCCAGGCCCCTGTGCCTGGATGGAAGGCTTTTCCTGCGGGGCGGGGGGGGCATGGGGGGGGCTGCCGTGGTGCCAACAGAAACCCTGCAGGATGCACAGAAGGTCTTGGGCAAGGTCTCAAGCTCAACAGCAAATTTCACCTTGGGGGCTCCCTCGGACAGCCAGGCCAGGACACTGGCCCCGGGGATGTAATCCCAAAGGCCTCGAACGTAGACTCTGGAGTGCCCTCCAGAGCAGACACCAATTGGCTTTGGTGGAAGTTATTCTTTCATTGTCTTTAAATTCTTGCCCATGAACAGACAAGAATACTCATGTATATGTCCACATGCATGTGTATACAGCTGTTCCCTAACACACACAGCACCTGTGTTGTTTTCCACAGGCATCTGTGTGAGTGTGTGTAAAATCAGAAGCAGGGAAGTCACAATGTCAGAAAGAGGTGAGTCTGAGATGGCGGGGACATAGGTGATTTTAGTTTCTTCTCTGCTCTGTACCGAATGACTCAAATTTAGAAAGACCGGTGGAGAATACATGACTTTTCTAACTAATCGTCTGCATAAAAAATTCCTCTTTCCCATGAAAGATGTTACACAAGACATGTTGCTTCTAAGTCCTTGTCAGCTCCCACCTTGGGTGGTGGTGACCAGGGGCTAAAAGCCAATGAAACAAACCCAGCTAGTAAAAGGGAGCAGGCACCACCTACTCAAAGGGGCAGAAAGCCATTTACCAAGGACTCTCTGTGCTTGTCACCTCCAGGAGGATGGGGCTCTATGACTGTCCCATCACAGCCCCTTGGTTCCAGGACCCAAGCTTTTAATCACCATGCGATCCTTCCTTCTCTAGTGTAAAGGATCCCATTTTTTTAGACTATTTCTTTTTTATTTTCCATCAACCTTATTTCCATTTTCTGTGTAAGAGCTGTGGAAGAACAGCTCAGTGATAGCCCTGGCCAGGCGGGTTAGAGCACTGTTCTGATTCATCACTGTTGTGGGTTCAATCCCCGGTCAGGGCACATAAAAGCAGCAACCAATGAATGCGTTAAGTCAGTGGAACAACGCATCGATGTCTTTTTCTTTTTTCCTCGCTCTAAAATCATAACATAAACATTTAAAAGACCACTGGTTGTTCCCACCCACTCAGTGGCCTGGGCAGAGAGGGCTGCAAGCCAGCATCAGTGGGAAGCTGCCGGGTAGGCCCAGAGGGGACCCGCGCCTGCACACTGGTCTGCCACCTTGAGCAGCAGTGCACTCGGGAGCCGGAGCAGTCCGTCCACCCTGAGATCCCTCCTTGGTCACAGCGGCCTTCTCCTTTTCAGCCTCTTCAGCATCTCTGCAGAGTCGAGATCAGGAAGGCCCTCCTACGGGTGGTCAGAGACGGCGCCGCGCATGCGCAGAGCCTCTTGGGTCAGCATCCAGCACATCTGACCCACCATGTGGGCTCCCTTGTTGCTGCGCAGGGATGGCGATGTCTGCACGACGCAGAGGGGAGATGCTCCACGCAGCGACTGCAGGCAGGCCCTGGGATTGGTGCCCAGAGGACGTCTCGGCTCCTGGAAGGCTGTCTGAGTCTGGTTAGCGGAGGTTGCGGGAGTGAAGCCGCCAGCCGCTGCCAGCAATGGAAGTGGCTCTGGTGGCAGCAGTAAACTTTAGCACTGCCCGCCGCCCGGTATCCCTGGAGGCCATGACATGGACCAGGGTCTTCTGGGGCAGCCGGGGTGCAAGCAGCCCGCAGCAGCTTCTCCCAGGTTCCCTTCAGATTTATAACAAGGACACCGTCCATCTTCCTTTGGTAGACGAGCTGCTCCATTTGGAAGTCAAGGTTGGTGCCACTCAACTGGGTTCCTGGTACAAGGAATTTGAGGACCTCCTCTTTCTTGTGCAGCACATCAAAGGCTCCGGACATTGTGGAGGTTTCCAGCGGGGACCAAGCACGCAGCTGTGTGGTCCTCTCCGAGTGATGTGGAAAGGCTGGATAATTTACTCGTGAAAAGGAACACTGTGAACTCAGAGGATACCCTGGGGAGCTGCCCGGATGCATTGCCAAGAGGTGGAGGGCAGAGGAGGGCGTCAGCGAATCCTGCCGCCCCTCCTTACCCACTGTGTGAGGATGGGCACGTTACCTAATCTCTCTGTGCTGCCCGCCCCGCAACTGCAAAATGGGGCGGGTGACAGGAGCATCTCCCTCTCAGGGCTACTGTGAAGATGCAGTGAGTTAATCCACATAAAGCACTTGGAACAAGGCGCGGTGCAAAGGAAGGGCGTTACCAAGGTTGGTTTTTATAGTGAACTGAAGGGAAAAAACAAGGGGCATTGGATGCTCGGTGCCTAGCACATAGTAGGCACTCAATAAATACTTCTTGAATGAACAAGTGGGGAATTTGGTTTCTAGGGGAAAACGCCCTTGGATTGTGAATTCTTGAAGAGAGGAGCCAAACAGCTCAGCATGAGACAGGGTTCAGAGGGACATTGCCATCTATTCCAAGCCAGCCAGCTGCAGGGGAGACTTGAAAAAAATGATGTCTCTAACCACCAAGATCACTGATGCATGAGTAGGAAAAAGAAAAGAAAGAAAACACCCTGGAACCGTGGCTCCTCATTGCCTTGAAAGGGAGAGGGGTTCCCAGAGATTACGTCTTGGAAAGGACACAGTTAACCTTGACCTAGGGTTTATTTGCTCTATAAATTGAGATGTGCCAGCTGGCACCAGAGCCTTGCTCCCTGCCAGTCTTGGTGGCCGAGGGGTTTTCTGAAGGGCTAGTTGGAATAAAGCAGCCGTCTTCCCACCTATCACTGCTAACTGTGCTGGGCTTTGCAAAGACGTGCGGGGCTCAGGAACAGAAACTTTGATTTCTTTCCCTGGAGTGGCTGGAAGACACAAACTCAGGAAGCAAACACTAAGGGAAGTTATGACTGGCCTCAGAGGCAAAACACTGTTTGGTTTAATAACATTATTGATGGGCCTAGGGGCATGGAATTGATAATTTGGGATAAGGACAAATTAACTATGTTCAGTTTTTATAAAGTTTCCCCAGGGGCATGTTTGGAACATTCTAGCTACATTCTTCTGAAAGCTGTCTCATTTTGAGTGGCTGGGTACCTGGTTTCTGGAATCCATGCCCTAGGAGTGTTTGTCCCCAGAAACCAGTCAGATATACCACTTAATCATTCAAGGAATATTTTTTGAATATCAACCTTATTAACTTCTATATTACATAATATATGCCTGTGAATGAATGCAGTCAAACCTTTGAAGAATGTCCACCGAACTCTTAATGGTGGTGTTTTGCCAGGCAAGGTCAGGAGTGGTTGCATTTCTTTAATAATACACATGTATTGCTTGAGTCAGCAGAGGAAAGACCCATAGAGACATACACATAAGTGGGTCACAGAGGATTTGTAGAAATCTCAGCTGCAATGACTTGAGGGGCTGAGGAAGAGGCTGCAGGGTGGGAGGCGTGGTTTCTGCGCTCAGAGAAACACAGGCCCCAGTTCTGGCCGCAGGCAGGCGGGACTTGCCTGATAACCAGCTCGCCCCTCCTCTCCACTTCCTAGTGAAAGGCCAGCTCCGTACCCCATCCAAAGGGGCGCACTTGACTCTCCCCGACCCTCTCATACCTTAGATCTTGGCCATTGTCATCGGATGAGACATCGTCGACATGGATCTGGTCACAATCCTATGGAGAATTTGGCAAGAAGAGAAAAAGAGGGAGAAATGTGATTGGTTAGTCTGATGCCACCTTTAAGAGGTGGTTTCATAAATGAGGGGTAGAATGAGCACCGGACTAGCAGTCAGAGCCTTGAATTCTAGTCTGAGCTTTGCCACTAAAGGTCAATGACCTTGGGTGAAGTTTTGTCCCCTCTTTTACCTTTGGTTTCCTTATAAACAAATGGGTTGGCTATAAGGGGGTGGGGTGACTATATCATTTATCAGGCAAACTGAGATAGCTCTGCAAGTAAAAGGGGCTGCTAATAATATTCCATTGAGAGGACAGGCATGCCGTGGGACCATCCACCTCCACCCCCAGTTACCCCAGGACACACAGTGCAAACCTTTATGTTGTCCCAGGTGTTTCCTCTGCCTGGAATGCTCTTCCACCTGCATCTGTTTAGTGAGCCTCGTGTTCTTTGGGCATTGGCTTCTGGACATATCCCCTTCCTAAGACCCCTCTGTGTCCCCTGGTCTGTGATCATCATTTATTGAGCACTTACTACGTGCCAGGCACCATTCCAAGGGCTTGCCCTTCGATGGACTCCAACCACATGCCGCTTGCCACCACCTGCCAGTCTCTCAGTTCCACTCAGTTCCCTTTGGGGAAACACCTTATCAAATGTGTGGCAAGACCACAGGGTTGGGGAACGATGAAGGCGGGCACGCAATCCAGATTCAACCAATCAGAGGGACCAGCATCCCTCTGGTCAAAGTGATTGCTTCAGGGAGAGCACGTGGTCTCAGCTGGACCAATGGGAAGCAGGCCTGGGACTCTGGTTGGGACTCTGGGAAAGAGGCGCTCGCTGGGAGCTGGGGAGGGGATCGCATTGTTTGGTCCCCTGGTTCAGCCGTAACTGAAGCCAGGCCACCCTGACCTGGTCGGCTGAATAAAGATGTCCACGTCCTAATCTCTGGCAACCTCTATGGCAAAAAGGACTTGGCAGGTGTGATTATGTTAAAGATCTTGAGGTGGGGAGACTTTCCTGGATTCTCCAGGTGGCCCCGAATGCAATGACAAGGGTCCTGTAACTAAGGGGCAGCAGGTTGTGTGATGACAGAGAGGATAAGGAGACTGGAGTGATGCGCTTTGAAGATGGAGGAAGAGGCCGCAAGCCAAGAAATACAAAAGCCGAACAGGCAAAGGACAGACTTCCCCTCGGAGCCTCTGGAAGAAACCAGCGCGCTGACACCTGAAGCTCAGGGAAACGGACTTGTTTCCAGACTTGTGGCTTCCAGAGCGGCGTTTGTGTTGGTGTAAGCCGCTAAGTGTGCGACAATCTGTTAGAGCAGCCGCAGGAAGCCGACACCTGGACTTTTCAGTTTCAGCCGGAGGGGTTGGATTTCTGTCACTTTGCAACCAGGAGCTAAGAGCGATGCGGCGCACCCCACAGAAGCTACATGTGATGCACCCCAATCCTGCCGACCCTGTCTGCGTCAGATGCTCCGTTGGGATGTGCGGATATGGCAAAAGCCGTGAGTGCAATTGCGCCGGCCCCAGCAGGAGCTCGGGCCCCAGCCTCTGACTGCCTGGGTTTGGATCCAGCTGTGTGACCCCGAGCAAATGACGTGATCCCTCAGAGGCCGGGCTGGTACAGGGAGATGACGAGGGAGCCTTTTTCACAGGGCGGACATGAGGCAGACGGGGCTGCTGCATTATAGGTGTCCAGTACAGTGCCTGGCACACAGGACGTACTGCACAAATGTGAGTGTTTGTTATTGCGAGGCCTGTGGGGGATGCTAAATGGCACCCCGCGTTAAGAAAGCCCCGGGAGAATGCTAGGAAAAACTGGGAGAAGGGCACTGAGTGGCCACCCGTGAGCCAGCAGATAACTGCCTTACACTTGAACCTCTTCTGGGCGTTATTTCATATTTTCTCTCTTCCCATATTTTCAGCCACTCTGACTGATGAGTGGTGGTCTCAGGTATAATTTCTCGCCCCCTCCCCAAAGCAGCAGAGCTCTAGGGTGCACCCCAGACGTAAAAAAAATCTTAGAGTCACATGAATATTGTAGCAATTACCCACACATGGTTATCTATAGTTATAGTTCCATTAATTAAAATGAAATAAACGTCCAAATTCAGTTCCTTAGTCCGATTTTAAGTGCTCAACAGCCACATGGAGCCAGGGGCTCTGGTACTGGCTGGTGGATGTCTTTCCGCCATCACAGAAGCTTCTACTGGGGTATTGAGGGATACAGGAACCAGGCCGACAGCTTCCCTTCTATGCCAGTAAGGTCAATCACGGAAGTTGCAAGCTGGCCTGGAGAAGAGGCTTATTTAGCCACACTCTGCTTAACACACACACATATATATATATATATATATATATATATTTTTTTTTTTTTTTTTTGTGAAACAATACCCAGTGTGCAAACCCAGGGAATCTCTCTCTCGCTCTTCAGGTCCTCAGCCACTTTGAGAACCTACACGCCCTGGCACGCAGGGCTTGCATTCCTGTATTCTGACGATCGGTGCCCGGGACAGCCACTTCCAGTTCCCCAGTGTCTACTGGGCTGTCTTCATCTTACATCACCTGGTCACTTGGCCCCTGTGGGCACCCGAGTTTGAGACCTCTGCTCCACAGCCCCCCTACAGAGATGGGAGGATCTTCGGGACAGCACTCCCGACCGACGTGTTAATGAAAACTGTATTTCCAACACGGACTTTACAGACCCACCCCAGAGAAAACAAAATGAGTTGTAGATCCCCTCCCCATCCCCCCGAGTCCACTGCTTTGCCTGCAACTGGCAAAACACCTCCCTCTGCCCTCTGGTCCCTCGCTTGAGCTGCTAAGCTGCTCTGGGGGGTCACGCAGGCTCAGGACCCCCGGGGCAGGGTTCCCTGTCCTTTCCCTGATGTCACAGGAAAGGTATGTGGGAGGCTCTGGTTTTCTCATTTGCGAGGGGATTGTTGGGGGCGCTAAAGTGTGACAACAGTAGCGATCACATTTCGGACTTAGTAAAATACCATGACGCTCAGCGAGACACTACCTCATACCCCACCAGCTGACCGGGATTGAGTTACCGCTGAGCCGGCCCTGCGGGGCGGTGGACGCTGCCGAGGACAGAAGGACAGCGCTGAGCTCCTGGGGAGGTGGATCCCATGCCTCTCAACCCTGCGGCACGGAGGGCAGGCCCCCGAGGCACAGGACACCGGCTTTTCACAGCCCAGGGTGCTAATGGCCTCTCTGGGTCAAACTGTGATTATCTGGGGGGGGGGGTGGTCTGAGCGGGACCAGCTGGCAAAGACAGAGGAAGGGTCCCCACAGGCTCGACCTGGGGACATGGGTGTGGCACAGTGCAATCCTGGCCTCCAGGAATCGACGCTTTCTGACTCAGGGAGACGCCCACCAGGAACTGGGAAGGCCCCTCGGGTGGATCACAGTGAAATGAAGTATGGTATATCCATTCAGTGCAACCCTACCCAGCGGTTCAGAGGAATACGGTGGATTTTCATGTTAGCACTTGGAATTACTTCCAGGACACCCTACAGCGTGAAAACAGTAGGCTGGGGAGTGTAACTGAGCTCTGCAACGGGACCCACCGCAGAGGGCGTTGGAGCGAGTCCGTGAGCCAGACAGGGAAAGCCCTTTGAAAAGTGCCTCTCGCACAGAAAACGTCCCACACACGTTTGGGAAAATCATTGCCATTATTACCATTTTACGTTCTATAGGCCCAAACTCTGTGCCTGGTACAGTCACGATCAAATGAAATCGGGTTCACCATTGAGAGGGGCTCACGGATGGTCAACGTGCTGATGAGGGCATGTAGAGGCCAAGCGGGAGACTCCATGCCCATGTCTGGATGCCCTGCATCCACGCGTCTCAGGAACCCAGGCCGAGGAGGGCTGGGCGTGTGGACCTGAACCCGTGAGTTCGTGTGCGTGGCGTTCAGATGCCCCTCCCTGGGCTCCAGCCCCTGCCTTGCCATTTTCTAGGTGTGTGATCTTGGGCGACTTGTTTCATACCTGTGAATCTTTGGCCGTTTTCTGCTTTTTCAAATAAACTCTTAATTTCAGACTAGTTTTAGATTGACGGAAAAGTTGCAAAATATAGAGTTCCCATATACCCAGTCCAATTATCCTCACTGTTAACATCTCATATTTGTACGGTGAATTCGTCACAATAAATAAATATCACTACATTACTATTAACTAAGGTCAGTGCTTTATTCAGATTTCCTTAGTTTTCCATTAAGGTCCTTTTTTTCTCTTCTAGGATTCCACCCAGGGCGCCCATTACATTTTGTCCTGTGAGCTGTGGCAATTTCTCAGACTTTCCTTGGTTCTGATGACAATTTCAAGGAGGACTGGTCAAGCATTTTGTAAAATGGCTCTCAACTGGGATCTGTCTCATGTTTTTCTCGTGGTTGGACTGGGGTAATGAGCTCTGGGGGGAAGTGCCACTCTCGTCCCACCGTATCAAGGGTGTGTACTAGCAACACGACTTACCGCTGTTGACGTTGCCCGTGATCACCTGGCTCATGGGCTGTCCGTCAGGTGTCCCCACTGTCAGGTCTCTCTCCCCCACCTTTCCATATTCTACTCTTTGGAAGGAAGTCACTATGTGACGTTCACAGTTAAGCACCTACACAAATTATTTGGAATTTTCCAAAATGGAAGATATGCCTATTTTTCCACAGTATGTTTGCTGTGTGTCTTCCCTGCCCCAGGCCTAGAACCAGACATTTCTTCAAGGAGCCCTGGTTCCTTTTCCTGGAAAATGGTCATAGAAACCAAGATCTGGGTGCTGGGTGTGCTTGGTGCCACAAGAGTGTCATTGCTTCTGAGTCCTCTCTGGCCACAGAGCAAAGTCTCCAGTTTTGCATTTTTTTTTTAAAAAGTTGAGCCCTGGCTGATGTGGCTCTGTTGGTTTGGAGCATCATCCCATGCACCAAAAGGTTGTGGGTTCAACTCCTGGTCAGGGCACATGCCTAGGTTGCAGGTTCAGTCTCTGGTCCGGGAATG